AGCCCAAGTAAAAGGGGCCAAACTCACCCAGTACCCGGAATACTCAGTCAAACTAGTAACACTCAAAATAAAAGGCTACATGCGAGATCATGTCAGCACTACGTATACTAGAGGATTGGTATATCTGTACGAGAGATCTGAGAAACGAACAGGTGCTGTCAAGCTCGCCAAGTCGCCGTTGAATGATGCGATGGACTGTAGTTGTCGCCATTTCGTCAGCACTGCTTAGTCAAATAAAAGGAGGGAGATTAACAAACCTTTAGAAATGGTCCCCAGGAACTCTTTGCAGCTTGCGGCACGTCACTACCTTCTTCTCTACTGGTACTCATAATGGCGGGGGTGGTCTAAGTTGATTAAAAATGGGTAGGCAATACTCTAAGTGACAGTTGAAGGGTAAACGCAAATCAGAAGCAATAGGGGTAGTTAAGGTAGATTCTTTGGAGCTGACGATGTTGGAGGTGAAAGGAAGGAACGACGGATCTCAATTCCACAGGGCACCCGCATATTCGCTGGGCAAGGGCGGGCATATTACGTTATCACACCAAGAGTTGGCTGGGAACGATCCGACGAATGACGACACGGCCGGCGGCGGACTTAGACAGTTGACGGTGATTGGTGAAGGGCATACAAAACGTACTCTATGTACATGTACATAGCTAGGGACATGCAAACATGTTACATAACATTAAAGCCCTGTTTTTCTAATGGTTTTGTCGACTTTTGAGGTTTAAAGTTTTTAACCTAGTACGAGGAAATGGATTATTAGTATACAAATTCGGTTATGAACAAATTGGGTTGCAATTGTGATTATTGCCGAGCTTTTTGCCTCCAAGGTTTATGTGTGCTGTTGCCATACTTTATGCCTGACTAGGGGTTAGCCCGGTATTACTAAGTACATACTCCGAACAGTGATTGACGACCTTGCTTTTAAACTAAATTTGAATAGAGCGTATTTGCCAACCGTCAATTTCAAGAATTTACAAATTGTGGGGCTCCGAAATGGCAACCGGGGCTGTTAATTTTGAATTTCGGTGGGGCGGCGTGCTGTGAGATATACCAGGAGGATCACAAGTACCCAGTTTTGTTACTACCGAAGCTAGTATCATGGGTATGAATTTTCAGTTCCAACAGCGTACTTCACAGGTAGCGTGATGGGTTGTCTGGTTTTCGGGGTTTATTCTGTCATACCGTTAACCAGATCGATTTTGGCCACTGCGGGGAACTGTCAATTTTGCCTCCCGAAACTGTCAAGTTTGAAGTGTCAATAGTTGAAATTGACGGTTGGCAAATACGCTCTATTATAAGTCGCTGACTCGAGTCAGTCAAATCAACCAACTACATGTACGATGCAGGGGACAGGATATCTTTATTACTTGCCAGATTTTCAATAGTAGGACGGATTTTGGGCGATTCTAGTGGTTGCTACCTAAAATTCGTCCTACATATACTACATGTATTAAAAATCTAGCAAGTTGTACGCACTGAGTACACATACATATATACATGCGTTAGTCTCGTTCCCAGACCCAATCCAGTGATGGTAGTGGTGGTTGAGTACATGTATTTTTGATATGATAGTAATTTAGCGTGGTCGTAATTTATTATTGTCCACACCACCGGATTATGTCTAGAACGAGACTACATGAACTTTTGCATGTAAGTACATGTATTCAGTACATACATGTACATGTATTTACTTGTATTTACTTTGTACCTATAGCCGCCTACATCTAATCCTGTCCTAGGTCTCTGTAAGTACAGATTCCGGTAGAATTATTGCGAAAGTGGGTTCTCCGTGACCCGATAGTCCTATTAGCCCTTAAAAGATTTTTGCTACGAGCACAGACCAACAGGATCCACTCTTTTAGCTCTGGCTTTCGCAATAATTCTACCGGAAACTGTAGAAGTAAAAAACACTTGAATGGGTAAAGTCTTCTATCGTCAATACAGACGAAGGGATGCCAACTACGGTCACTTGAACATATAGTGCTTGTCAGATCGTCTCTGGAGTTTGTGATCATGTCTGGTGATAAACAGGAGCTTTTCTATAATCTTCGAGCTGGGAGGCCATATGTACATGTAGTACATGCTAAGTCTTCCTCGTGTTGGACTGCTAGTGCGCACGTGTCCGACCAAAAGTTAATAGTATGCGTAATTTCAGACGAAATCAGCACTATCAAGATCCAGAATCCTGACACAGAGTGCAGTAATGGCGATATGTGTATTTGTTAAATCACAATGAATATCTCACGATATATACTGGCTACAGAAACATGATACATGGAGTTTCGGTTCAAGATTCTTGGTGCGATGTCAGGCAAGAATTTACCATTCTATGGCCATGGATCCGGACGTGTGAATGAACACATACACCTACAAAGACACCTGCGCTCCCCCTCAACCACACATCAACTACAACAATCCATCGAACACATTCCTTCATTCATCACCGCCATGCCCTCCATTGTTACTATCAAGGAAGAAAAGGTTGAGTCCGACTCTACCCCAAGAAAGACTCTAGATGAGAAACATGAAGTGAAACTTGAAGAATCCTCTTCAGACTTAAACCCCAATATTTATGAGGAGACCGATGAATGTGACTTACAACACTCAAATCACCATGTTTGGCTTGTTAAACTCCCAGCGTTTATTCGAGAAAACTGGAATCCCATCCTCTCGAATTCTGAAGAGGAAGTTGTTCTTGGCCGAGTCATGGTCAATAAAAAGGATGCCAGTGTAAGAGAACCTACCTTTCTTTATCGTAAGCGAGTGGCAAGAAACTAATGATCCTGAGAGGGGGCCATGCGCCAGATGATGAAGATCTTTCTTTCTGATGAGCAGTATGTCAATACCGGGATTCCGCGAGCGTACAACCTGAAACCAACCAACTCGGAACTTGCAAACACCTTCGTGTTCACGGAAAAGGTTACCTTAAAGAGAAAGGCAGAAGAAGATGATGAGCTTCCTGAAATACCTTCTAGGCTCCTCAGGAAAGTTCACGTCAAAGGGCCACAAGGAGAAGGGGTAAACCCTACATTTACCCGCCGAATTATAAAGAACAGTGAGCATCATTACCACACATCTACATAAACACAATTTTTTAACATAAGAAAATATAGGCCCGACTGCCCTCATGGGAACTGCAATTGCTGAGCTAGTTATGCAACCTGTTAAAAATCCTGAGAATGCAGAATTTGAGCGGCAACGAATCTTGAATGCGAGGAACCTAGAAAAAAAGACGAAATATTTCAACAAACACATCGATGACAATGCTTTCATCTCCAAACAGACTGGGCCCATGGCCATCAAGCCTTTCTTAAAGATCACAGTATGTGCTAACTCACATCCTTCTTCTATTTGAAAATATTATCTTCTGACACCTTGTGCTATCATAATAGCAATCTAATAGCCTTCGTGTGAAGAAACTCGACAAAGCATATCGTGGCTCAAAGGAAACCATCCAAACAAAACTTTTCGACCTTTTCGAAGATTATGAGTATTACTCAATTAAGCTTCTCGTTGAGAAACTTGACCAGCCAGAAGCGTATCTTAGAGAGATATTGGAAGATATTGCAGAATACACTGTTCGCGGGGACTATGCTGGAAAGTGGTGCTTGAAGAGCGAGTACAAACGGAAGTTGGAGAATAGTTAGTGGTCAATCGATGTGAGAAATCACTATACGCGTGAATTACTCATAATCCTAGCGATTAAACCTTAGTTAGCTCTGGTGAGACCCCCTGCTAGATTAACGCATAAGTTGTATTTTTGATATTACCTTATGAGAAAGTTTGCCATAGTGGTTTAGCAATCTTGAACCCTGTATACATGGGAGGAAAATAATCGGTGCTACTCCTGTGTAATTTCATATGTACTTTTTCTTTAATTCACATGTATACTTTCCGTAAATCATGCTCTGATATCTACATGTATGCCTTATGGATTGGACACTTCCTACTTGTGTATGGGGTAATTTGAATACTTAATATACTAGATCGCTAAAACCCCTCATGGAGCTCTAATTCATTGCTGGGAACTGATACCTGACAATCTATTTGAAAGGTTGGGTGAAGGCATGCCTAGGCACATTGAGGCTGTTAAAAGGACAAGGGGTTGGTACACAAGACATTAGATGTCATTTAACTATACTACAAAAAACCAGTTCTTTAAAGCATCAATTGTGCTTGTGGTGGGGCGGCGCGAATGCGATGATTTCTGACATCATGCTATTCATATATGCACGGCCAGATAAATTCACGTACTTGACTTTAACTACATACATTATATTGTATGCTATATACATGTATGTGTGTATGTGTTACATGTATGTATATGGGTGTCGATCTGGTAAAACCGTCCGCACAGCCAAATCCTTATCCCGAAGAACCACGCGACCGATCACTCCGAACCTTCCTAAAGTTCAGAGAACCGTGGCGAGGGCCCGGAATTACTTTTTCGGCCATTTGTCCCATCGTTGCGTTACCACAGTACCAGGCCTTTTACTAGATCGACACCCCTAGTTAGTACGTATAGCTCGTCGGAACTACATGTAGGCATTGGCGTATTAGAGATAAATGTATGTACATGTACTTGAGCGTTCAAGTAGTTTCATACCCTAAAACTACATACGTGTACAAATTACCGTGAAAAAGTCAAAACGATATTGGCAAGAAAGGCCAATGTCACTCATCAAAGACAAAGTTAACCTTCTTTCGGGATACACACGATCTCACTCGACACATTCACGTGATCTTTGCCAAGAAGGCAGATGCGCGCCACACAGCGATCCTAGTCGGACATGCCATGCACGGACCTGGTCCCACCACTTATGATCGCAAGGACAAAACCCAGCGAACCGCCCCCCATTCTCTCCCTCTTTCCCCTTCTTTCCTGCATTTGCTCTTTTACCCCACCGCCACCATCATTAGAAACTTCATCTGCATCCTCCAGCCCTTTTGGAATCACACAGTTTGTAGTATCTTTGGCGCATTATTATTATACCATGTCTGAAGACCAGGCACTTCTAGCAAAAATAGGCCAGCTTGCTGGTCAGCCACCCGGCCCCTATCGCATTCGGTGACTCTTTCGAGGCATGGTCTCAGAAGCTGATGATGGAAAACAACGTAATCTACAGGTCAAATCAATCGACATAAAAATCAACGGGAACTGGCACCAGGCTCTCCTTCTTCTTCCAGTACTGGGCATCAAGGACAACATCCTTATCACTCTTCTAACTATCGTATGGGACTCTTTACTCTTCTGCTACGCTGTTTACTTCATTTCCATATCTGTTTTCTCTGATAATCTGGATTTGTGGCGACCACTACTTGCACGCGATGTTAACAGTCAACTATTAGAAAATTCAACTAGGGGAAGAGGCACGCCATCATGGCGACCGCCGATAAGGGCTGCTTACACCCGAACTAGGTTTCGAGGCCGAGGAGGCCGGGTAGCACCTGTTGCTTATTCACATAGAACCCTTGTGGTCAATAATAATAAACCAGTATCTGGGTCGACGAGCCCTACAATTGCCACAGCTTCCTCAGTATCAAGTTTTGGCACCGAATCTATAAATGCGGCATTGCCTTCTCCAACATCAGTCCCAGTACCTGGGTCCAGTTTGCCTGCCCAGCAAAAGTCGACGGCATGGGTGGCAAAACGCGCACCAGGTGCGGTGCAACTTATCAATAGCTCCATTTTTGGCCAACAGGCTCAGGCGAAAGCCAAGGAGAGATTGCGGAGAAGAGAGGAAAAAGATAAATTGAAAATGAAAAGTTGGATGCAAAAGTCCCGTGGTCCTACTTATGGAGGGTTGGCGTCAAACACAAATCAAACTCCTTACGAGGTCATAATATCAGGGGAACGCTATCGAGTTGCTGCAAACGGCAGCAAACTAGAAAAAATATCTGGTGAGGGCAAGGAACAAACATTAATAGGAATGGAACAAAATAGTGTTGGGTTTAACTGGTCAGCAACAGATGATCCGAAGGCAGCGAAATCCACTCCTAAGAAAGCCGTCGTTGGTGGTGTTAATTTCGTACGAAGTAAGAACGGGAATCTTTGGAGGGCTGGTTTAGTGAAAGCATCACGGTGAGTATACATCATTGCCTCCATAGAGCATTGTCCCACTCTTATCGTCTCTCGTTGTATGGCTGACAATAAACCCTATTATTTTACGGTACAGCCAATCAACGAACACGCGCGGTTTAAAGATTAATAAACCCTGCAAATACTTTTCAAATACCGGTACCGACTATTTCTTCCAATCGCTTATCTCGGCTCTTATTGCAGACTTCATTGTTGCCTTAGAGCTCCCCTTCACAAAAAATACCGCGCCATTGGATACAAATGGGAAAGGGTTGATGAACTGACTCGATCACTCGAATTTTTTTTTTTACTTATAGGACAATGCAAATACGGGATGTCTTGCCCATACACCCATGATGCTCACAAAGTTGCTATTTGCCCGCGATTTCTCAAAAATGATTCGTGTCCGGACGGGGATTCATGCGACTTGTCTCACGATGCCAAGCCACATCGTGTTCCAGCGTGCCTACATTTTGGTTATGGCAATTGTCAGAAAGACCAATGTTTGTATGCGCACGTCAAGGTTAACCCTGCTGCTCCTATCTGCCGCCCCTTCGCAACCTATGGATATTGCGACAAGGGCGCAGAGTGCACCGAGCGACACGTACGAGATTGTCCTGACTTCGACGAAAAGGGCGTTTGCAACGACAAATCGTGCAAGCTATCACACGTGCAAAAGGCTGGACGAAGGCGAGTAATAGAGAAAGCGGCCGCCGCAGCCGCTTCGGCCCACAGATCCAGTGTTGAAGAGGACAAAGATTCCGAGGAAAGCGATATTTCCAGCGAAGAGGAGGGTGAAGAAATCAACAGTGATGATGTCGATTCTGATGCGTTTAGCGACGATGATTTTCTCTCTAAGGACGACACTCCTCATGAAGTCACTATGCAACAGGACTTTATCCACTTCTAACCCAATGAACATAGATACATATAAAAAAAATAGCCAAACTTGCTCAAGAAGCAATGGTCTTACTACTCTTTTTTGGGACTTATTCGACCTTTCCAGATATACCCCCGGTTTTTCTTCATTATACCATGTTTCATGCGCGCGTCGTTAACTAATCTCTATTAATATGGGGATGACTTCACCTAACATTGGACGAAGTGTTGCTTTTTTTTAATGCGATCATTCCTTTTTTTTCTCCGTTCTTTCCCCTTGTATTTTCTTATTCTGCTTAAACTTCTATTCTCATGCGATAACGGCTGGGAGTCTGGGGAAAGTAAGCAGGCCGTCTCCCCGAGATGTTGCTTTATTGGCGGTATTAGTTTTTGTTAGGGTGGGAAAAGTCGGGCGTTTGGAAGGTTCTATTGGTTGGGTTGGTTGTCTCGTTTCTTCTTACTGCGTCTCCTCATCGGTCGATGAGACAGACACGTGGAAAGCCGGCGTCGACGACGAGTCGACAATCGATTGTTTGTGATACACAGAAATGGTAACACAGTCAAGAAGAGTGCAGGCTGAATAGAAGAAAAAAAATAAAGAGCTGGAAGTAAGAGTTGGAAGTGCAACAATGGAATGGTTATTTTGGGGGGTCAGGCGCTCTTCGAAAGAGGAGGAAGCGAAATACATGGTGGGGAAAAAAAGGGATTAGTTCTGAGGCAAATGTTGTAGTTACGAGAAATACGAGACAAAAATAAAACATAGTAAAAATGTTACTTGGAAAAATCAACTCTTGTTGAAAACAGATGTGATCCAGAAGCCTAATGACGAACAATGCAAGGTGATGATGTTGTATGTTGCCTTGTTGGGGCTTTGAAAAAATGCCTGTGGTTTGTTTCCCAGGATCAGTAAGTGGGAAACATTACAACAAAGCGCTTGTATGTGGGGCAAGACAAGGGTGGTGTAGAGTATTTGCAAAGTTAGTCAGGGCTCCGGGATATCCTGTGCCATCTGTTGGTGAGCTGTTCGTCTTGGGTTGTGCAAGAGTATTTGGTTTCTGCCCTTTTCTACACTCCGCATGTTTCAGGATTGGAAGTTATTAGTTCTACCCCTCCCACGCCTATTTTGTATGTCTTTGTCCATCTGTCCAGGCCCCCGTCCTGTCCGGTTCGCTGGTAAACGAAAGCATGCAAGGTTAATGTCGGGCCATTTCATCATCATCGCTGGTCACTGGCTGCAAGCCCATTCCAGTCCAGTTCAGCCAGTGATGATGCTGTTCCTTAGCAACTCGTCTCGAAATCAACAGGGGCAGGGGCAACGCTTCTGCACGACGCCGCCGTCATGAATGAAATGACATGACATGATGGCGGAGAGCCTCGACGATCGAGAGAGGTTGATGTGCTTGGCTACAGTGGAACAATGTATATGTCATGTTGTATGCAGCAGAGGTAGAAGATTTCACCTGAAAGTCCCTGTCCCTGGTGATCGTAATAATTGTAACTAGGTAGAGTAGGTACATACCTACATGGTACAGTAGTTAGACATTTATTCATTCCAGTGCGATGGATAGCCCAGGATGGCTGGAGGGATGTCTACACTCTACATTACAGTGCAGAACCAGAATTTCAAAGTCATGTTCATCCGAGTTAAGTATGTGCATAGTAAGCTCCCTCAGGGAAGTACCCAGAGTATTCCTACTGATGTCTAAGGCTACATGTATCCTGTCTGCAAGGCCGGGGATGGGATACTTAGAACTAGGTACTAGGAATAACACAGCTACTAATCAGGTAAGGATGTACGTACTGCCTTGAAGTGCGGATTCCATTTCCGCATAGAAAAAAAATAGTCTAGAAGGAAAAGGGATAGTTATGTCTATTCAACAGGCGGTCCATATCGATATTTCTAATAATTCTCTGGTTTCGGTAGTTGAGATTTGACCAGGAACTATATCGCGGCTATCGATTATCGATTATCTATCGGAGTGACACTAATATTAGAGGGGCGAGATGAGTAATACGTTAGTAACGTGTAACGCACTTGGTTCACGATCCGTGTTGAGATAATCTGGGGAACCCAAGCGAGCAAGTATGGATTAGGGTTTGCATTCTCCAGCTCGTGACAGCGGGGTTCGTTTCTATCGCGTCACGTCAACCCGTTATCGATATCGGGATCTATCCTTAAAATTCCTTGCTGTTGTCCGACCAACTCAACACACATAAATTGGGTCGATAGTTTTGTAAACATGGTCCCGGGTCGAGACTGACATAGGTACATACTCAGAACAACGTTTGCTGCCCAAATTTCGAACAAGCAGGGAGAAAACCCCGTGCTGATTCTGATTTCTAACCCCACCGCCTGCAAGAACGCCGTCCCTGCACCGTCAGTCTTAATCCATCCAAGCAGTCATCTTATCCCCACTTGATTCTGTCAGTCCCCGGATCCATCCGCCTTCAAAACCGTTCCTGAATATGTTGCGTGACGTGAGGTTGAGGCTCCTACCGAACGTTCTCGACTGTCTACGCTGGTCTCCGGATGGGCAGCTGGCCGTGTCAGCCAGTGAGGATGTAATTATCTTGGTCCGTTCTTTCAATTTGATCTTCCTTGCCCCCAAGATGTGGCCAAAATTTAAATACTTCGCAGAAAGCATGCCAAATAAAATTTTGCCTACGTGCATTAGAGACATAGCTAACCAGAAGCCCCGAGTCTTGCAGGTCCCGAAAAATGGAAACACTAGCGGAAAACGCTCGCACCAGTTTCACCATGCTCGGGCGAATCTGAGGGAGTTAATGGTGAATTCCATGAACGATGAGATCCCCCCTGCAGACGGTATTGTTCCACTCACTGGGCTTGATCATTTTTTGAGTGTGGGCGAAATCGAATAGTTCAGGGGCTTTAGACTTGATGCTGATGTTTGAGATTTTCGAGACGCAGCGGAGATTTACAGTATCGGCGACGAGCAGGGGCCCGGGTATGCGAAGCAATTGGCATGGTCGCCTTTGGGAACTTCCAAGTATCGCAGGTCAGTCCGGTTCAGTGGCTACAGGATGCAGGATAAGAGCTTAGAGCATGATCAGAATCCCCACTAGTTGAAGAGACAATACTGAAATATAATGATGGTGATTGGTGGTGAAGATGCATTTTGGCAGTCCTCGCAACGAACCACCAAATAAGAATTTTTGAGCCCAAAGACCATCCTTGGAGCGATTGGCACCTGGTACGTGAAGCGAACTTTCTCACACCAAATCTTTTAGACCAATCATTTATTACTCAATATAACAAAAAACTAATTGGCGTGGGCAGAAACACGATCTTACACTTGACATATTCGACTATGAAGGATGGACGTCCGAAAGCTCCGATGAAACTACGTCCAGACTACGCTCAAGAACACGAGCCATATCGTGGTCCCCCGCATGTCACTTATTTACAGCACGCCGTTGTGGCGAGTCACTGATAGCAGCAGCCAATGAGAACTTTGAGATTGTATTTTTTAGGTTTAACTTACTCTTGTATCTAGTCTGCCGAGAAAATTTCGTTTTGCTAACTAGGTGGGGGAACGCAGGGTCACGCATGACTACCACTCAATTGTGGGGTATTTCACTGCTGCTGAAGGTGCAGGATTGCAAGCGGGAACTGGAATACAGGCAACATGGGTGAACAATCTCACCTGGAGCCTGTGGAAACGTGCGCAGGAGGAGGGGAAGAATGAGGCTTTTTTGGCCTATTCATTTCATGGAAGGGTTTACATGTCCAGAGTTACCATAGGCCTAGACGTGGATAAAGAAGGCAATCCCTCTGTCAATGTTTCGGTTGGAGAAGAGACTTTGGTGGGCAAGTCTATGTCGGATGTTCATCCGGTTTTCGCAATCGCGTGGGCTGACGAGGTATGCTCAGACCGCAGAGCGATCAGACAGTATCAGTGATCGTTTTGCTGATATGATATTGGTGCAGGAATTCAATGGATTGTCGATCCTGGCGTATGCAGTATCTAAATACATTATGATCGCTGCGATAAACACCGATGGAGAAATTGTGTCCACGAGGGAGTTCGTGAATGGGTTTGTAGAACCTATTACTGGTACGTAATATTCCTGACTGGAGTTTTGAAGCAGGAGCTCTGACCCCAAAATATGCCTGTAGGCCTATGTTTCACACCCTCCACAAATTCATCCGGAGTAGTCCTACATGCTATTACTGTCAATGGTCAAAGCCAAACGGTAGTTTATTCTCCGCTCTCCGCGGCTCTTTATGACCACAATAATATCTCCACCTGTCACACATCTGGGGATATTGACCAAACAGATACCCATATGCCCGATTCCTATCCAGAAGACAAAGAGGAAGAAGAGGCACTTCGAGCAATGGCCACCCGCTGGACCAACGCCATCTCACTAAGGAAGCAGGATTTCGTGAACGAGTACGAGCTTTCTGCCGCCAATTGCAGGGTGTATGGTATTGCACCGAGCCCTCTAGGTGGCGTGATAGCGGCAGCGTGCAGTTTCCACCCAAATGATAGCTTGGAGTATATTACTGCATCAAAAGAGAACACTAGGATTGTATTTGGTACACATGAAGGTAGTGAAGGGGTATGGAAAGCAAGGGGCTTCTTAGCTGGAGAAGAAATAGACCTAAGTAAAGTGCCGAATCCTATAGCCCGGGCAAGTGAAGCTCTCCTCTTGGAGGCAGAGACTCTTGGTGACAACCGGGAGGGTATCTTGAGGAATATCCGGAAGTCTTTAGATCGTTTTAAGGGAACAGGTTGGGGCCTAGACAGTGCTTCTATACCATCGGAGGCGGTCGAGAATGCTTTATCCGCCAATATCCTCCTCCAACCTTCGTTGAATGCGCTTCGATATAGTTCCTGTCTAGAGATAATCCCTGATAGCAACAATTTTGGTCTTCCGTTAGTCCCACGGGAGAACACGGAAATAGTAGCACATCACATCAACAGTATCCTCCGAGCACCTCGGAATGAGACTACCGCTAGATCGACGCTGAGCAAACGCATTCTATATTCAGTTGCATGTATCGGCATTCTTGGGTTGTACAACCGCCGACCTGTACTTGAAGCTGCCCGGGATGCTCTTAGCTGGCTTTCTAGTGTCGATGAAACGTCTACCGATAACGCAGGGGATCCCGAAAGAACCATCATAGATGTCATCACTGAGCTTCAGATTGTTGAAAGACGCATTGCCGACTTGGACGTCATAGAACGCGGAGACGACGACGGTTCAGGTCTGGCAACGATTCGGGAAAAAGACAAGCTATTCACCAGCAAGTTCGAGAAATGCACGCTCTGCAAGAAAGGAATGGTCTGGGAGGATCTGCGAGTTGCGGAGTGCGAGGGGAATCATCGCTTTTCGCGTTGCGCGTTGACGTTCCTCCCAATCAAGGAACCAAAACTCACCAAAGAATGCACAATATGCTCGAGGACCGTGCTCGGGGATGCGGTGCTTGAAGGTGATAAAATGGAAATGAGGACTAGAGGACATGAGGGTAAGAAAACTTTGGCTGAGGCGGTTTTGACCGGATTGGACATATGCGTACATTGTGGCGGGAGGTATTGGGCGAAAGGGAGTTAATCACATATATATATCCTTCGCTTTTGTACTTTGTTGCTATGGACGTCACGGTACTTGTAGACTGAATGAATATCCGATATCCTGGGAATACTTGTGTTTTTGAAACAACTCCTTGATCGTCCGCCTCACTCGGGCATGGGAGGAAAAGCCGTTATGATACCGGTACTCCGGATCTCTCAAAACTCGGGATGTACGATTGCAAGCTGTGCATGAAGCATGGCCAATGTGGAGCCCCTGCGCCGTCCGATTGGGGAGGTCATTGCTGATTGGAATACTCGCGATATGCAAAAATCGGAAGGGGGGACCCTTAGGTGATATGTGACCGCTAAGTCCTTCAGTTTTCTAGAATGCGGGGTAGTTCTGTCTTGAGAGTTACTAATTGGGCTGATAGCGCATGCGTACCCTATTCGTCTCCCGAGACCCGAGCGAGACTTTGTGTCTCATCCTATTGCTTTGTGCAGTTCTGAAAATTAACAAGGGTAAGAAAGGTGGGTTTCGTCATTTACATGGAGATGGGCCCTTTAAAATGGTACATCATATGATCTAATGTAGAGTATGTAGCCTCTCTGCCATTTATCAAATAGATTGTGTCGTTGCCCGTTGAAGCCGACAGAACGGGCAGTTTTGTATCATGCCGTAGGATAAGTACAACACGGCCTATTAAATAACATAAGTATATAACAGCGATAACCTGCATTAGCATCAAGGCTCCAATCCCAAATCTGGTAGCTACACAGCCCCTTTCATCCTTACGTATTTAGATGTGGGGTGGGAGTGCACCAGTAAATTATTTTTCTCGGGCAGAAAAAAAAAGAAAAAAAGAGTTGAGCAGCAGATACAGTCGTTCACGAATACTGCCACTTGACGAACAGGGGACTTTGGGCCAATAGAAATTAAAAGGACTGGAGATCTCGCAGCTTGGCTGTTGCTTGACTATTTCTTGCCATACTTGGAATCCCTGTTCGTCAAGTGGCAGTATTCGTGAACGACTGTAGGTAGGGGGAAAAAATGTGAGATGTTGAGATCCACGTGAGACCGTCTTCAAAATCATTTGCCCTTGGTCGGAAATACAGCCAACCAGCGATGCTTTTTAGTCCCGCTCTCCTCTCCAAGGAGCTCCGCGATATTACATGACCAATGTGACGGGCCGGCGAGTTCCATTATTTTAAAGTGACGTTTCTTACTCATGCTCGTTACAAAACCACTGTACCAAGCGAGGAGTTAGTGTGCGTTCATTTGAGAACCGCATGTGCCCGAATTTCACGATGTGTGACCGCGGCCAAAAGGAAAGTGAAGAAAAGAAAAAACTTCCTCGAACGGCGTGAGCTCCGAGGGAGAGGATTCGAGGAGAAGTAAATCAAATATCCTACATAGAACATGCCGTATTCAATTGTCTTAGGAAAGCCGCAACTTCGCCGCATGCTATCATAGAACCAAAAACTGACTTCAAAGGGTTTCGCATCGGGGATCTGGCCCATCTCTGATCTCCGAAGTAGAGTATTTGCGCGTTTTTCCCGAAAGCTTGATCCCCCCCCCCAAATGAGAATTAGAGGACACACACAAACCAAAATAGACCGAGAAAACTGAGTATCCGACTTTACCGATCAAGGTGTGGGATTTGTGACCTAGTTCAATTTATGTTTCAGGCATGCGGCATCATGATAAAGACCTGCATTGTGTGCACTTTTTGACCCTAAACGACGTAAGAGTAACACCACATGTCTGTAAGTGCTTCTGCTGCGAAGAGGAACGTTTAGAGATCTTGAATCCATCCGGGTAAATTTCTAAATTCTGTGAGGGGGGAAGGTCTGCGGCTTTATAGCTAGCAAGACATCAAGGTGCAATACCTATCTTGTCCTCTAGCTCGACTCTCTCCTTATCGTATGTGTGTTTATTCGGGGACCCACCCAGTATGCAGAGCTGGTGGTTGCACCACCACCAAACTTGGGCGAAGAGTGGTTCGTAGAACTGATCGACGGGTAAATACCCGGGTCTACATGAGTTCCGGTTCCACTGTATATGAACTTGTTTCGTTTATGTCGAGGTGCTGTGTGTGGAGACGAGGCAGAACGTGATTCAATTCGTCAATTGCTGCTTGCAGTCTGCGGTGAAGAAGGAAGAATTGAAGACCCGTCCGGCTCTACTGTGGAGCATACATCGTGTAATTATCAGGATATCCGCCGCCGCCGCCGCCGCCATCATGTCCGATAGATATGTACATGTATATACATGCCAGAAGTGATATCAATTCGGAGGCTCTCGGAAGATTGGTACTGATAGCGGGTACCTGACTGCTGCTTCCGATGAGGATGGATGAGGATGGATGAGGTTCATGTACACCATCACACATATCATCGCATACATGTGAGTACGGTTGAGTACCGTAGTTAGAAACCCCTGTGTATGGGGTACACTTCAAAGTATGGAGATTTGAAAGCAAGAAATCGTTGAGGAGGTTGAGGTTATAAGTAAGGATTGTTGGATTGTCGGGTTGAGGTGAGGTTTCAAATTCCTCAACGTCTTTAGTAGGTAACGTAACATGTAGTTACCGATGATCAGCCTTATGGTGACTCCTTTCCTTTGTTCCTGTTCCAGGGTCCGCCAAGCGTCAAAGCATTCCCGACAAGGCCTTCGAGAACGCCAGGGCCGCACAGACTAGAGACCTGACCATGCTTAATTCAACCGCGAACCTCATTTAGTCCCTTCCCTGATTACACCACCAGAATCCCTGGGCACATCACCACCATCACTTAATAAAACGCCGGGCAGTGAAACAGAGGCAAATACGCAATATTCATTCCCACCACAGGTATCAATCCGCAGCTGCAGATGCAAGGGCGTTTGACTGTATTCTGCGCGTGCACAGAGACAGCATCGCATCAGTACATAGCAGCAAAGAGGTTTGCGTCGAAAACACGCGGATGAGATGTTCCCGGGAAGGATCAGAAACGAGATGAGGGTCGAGACTCCCTCAACCAATTCTTTATGATCGCCATTTTTATGTCGTCTTCCGTTTTGACAGGATGGATCGAAAGGAAGAAAAAAGAATTATACTTTAGGTTTGCAGCCATCCAATGGCTAGACCCTTCAAAATCAAATCATAGTTAGGTGGAAAACCGTTAATGGCATTCTCAAGGAGTGAGACTTAAAGGTGAATCATAAAATCACATGTTTGGATTTAACGGTTGTGGTTGTGGTTGTGGTTTTGAGTTTTCTGCCTACTTCTGTTACCGCGGGTTTTTGTTTAAAGGGACCTATCAACGCCCACTAAAATTGGTACAGTACTACTTTTGATAATTTCCTGTTTTACCGGCCCGCCGACTCCGCAGGCTGCACATATGTGAGTGTTTTACTGGAGTCTTAGCCAACTCGAGTACTTGGACAATAATAATAACTGATAGGGTCGATGGATGTCAAAATGCACATGTTTAATGATCTCCAACGCAGTTGTGGGAAAATCTTTTCATCGCAGATGTCACAATCCGGAACTGTCCTTGCGCATATTACCTGCATTGGCAAGATCGAAAGATCGAGGGAGAAATCAAGGTTCGGATGAAACATTTATGCGAGATGGAAGTGGAAGGATACCTACAATCGTTACCCATGTCATGCCCGTAGGATTACACATTTGAATGTAGGTATGTATTTTAGCCTCTTTCACAAGCCACTCACGAATAGTTGACATATCTTGCGTGCACCGGCGGCCGGACTCTAGAGGGACTTCAACCGTACCGGGTCTTCGTTGTATTCTATTTGCTGAGGACTTTGACATTCGATTAGCAGATCTGTGGGATTGATGGGGATCGAAAAATGTTGACCGGAACTTTTTTCGCTACAGCATTGGTGCTACTGGCCTTCGGCGTATGAGCTCAAGCTAGTGGTAAATAAAAGCTTTAATCCTTACCAGTCGTTATTCGGTTTTCCATTTCCAGTGGCCCTCTTGATATCGGGCACGGATTGGTTACAGAGGGAAGCACCTAATAGCCAATTAATGAATACTGAGAGTGGAGAAGAGTGAAATGATTAAATCTCGGCTTTCAGTGTCGGTAACTACAGTATACTGACGTTGATGATTTGAGTAACTTCGTTCATTGAATTATTAACGACTGAGCTATATGGAAGGGTCCTAATTGCAATTCTTGGTGATGGGGATAAAAAGCAACATCACCGCAACGTTTCTCTGTATTCACAGATGGCTCCTGTGCTTCAGTAAGCCCTGCTTGAACCGGATTTGAATCTGCACTGCAGGGTTTCTGCTTGACCAAAGGAGAGAGTAAACGCCTACGTCAATGGTGGCATGAGCGTGAGAGCCTCCATCAGAAATATCTCCTCACGACACACATATTGTGGTACATACATACCAACCAATCTTTTGGATGTTGTATCACCACCAAAACGCGGGTGTGAAGTTTATCGAGAAGTTTGGGTCCTCCTTCCGTCCCGCCCGGGATTCGGCAAACGAAATAAATCAGAAGGGAAAGAAAAGAAATAAAAGGGCGGGGAAAGGTGAGGGCGGGGTGCGATGCCGGGTACGATCATTGGCCGACTGGTATTCGCCCCTCCTCCCGCCTAGCTAGAGTAGTAGGTAGGCCCTTAGCTCTTCCGTTTCTTGCCTACCCTACCCCCCGACGACAAGCTACCTATGTTGAGTACCTCGGGCACCAGAACCTATGCCACAGCCGCAAAATGGGATAACGTTTGCCTTCTGTCTTGCCATGTTTCATTTCTCCTCAGGCGGCTGAGGGTTTTTTCCCTGTTAGCCATGGCAACTAGGTCGATTGGGTACGGGCTACTGATGTACAAGTTGACTTGGGTACATATGTACTACCGATTTGGACCAAAATTGTACCAGTCATCGCGGGGAGAAGGAACGAAGCTGCGGACTGATAGGAGACGACAGTCAGTAGGGCGGCAGCGGCAGCGGGGACCAGTCGACTGCCTACGATAAAGCGACCGGCCGATAAGTTTGCCTTAACCTGTCTCGGAGTAAGTAAGGCCGGTCCGAGTGTGAGGTAAGGTAGCTCTTTAAGCTAGTCTTGGCTCCATGTATGTACCCCAAGTATCAGATACATTGGGGGCGGCGTAGAGTACATCATGGCCCAGGTCTGGTCTTACGCAAGACAACTGCTTTCGCGATCATTACCCACATAGTAACCTTCCGATAGAGACATGTAGGAAAAGCATTGGTCCCGATACATACCTTGCCCTCAGCTATCGCCGGAGATTTTATTTTAGCTTCCTACATCGGGCGATGGAGAGCGGCACTCTAACTTTAGGGTATGGCAAGTACATTCCCAAAGCGCACTTTAGGGTTGTCTCAATCGCAATATCACTCTAGATAGCAGCAAATCATAGTGTGGGGTGGAAGTCAAGGCCCATGGCTGACCCTCTTTGAGAGTACTCCAACTACGCACATCTGATACATACATGAATAGAGTATATTCATGCACTGACTGGTACTTACATACAGGCCTGAACGCGCAGCCTGCGGATGCGAAATCCTAGAGACCGTGAAAAGATCAGAAAGAAGAAGTGCAGTGGGGGAGAAAATTTTCCCTTCTTTTTCTACACTTTTGGAGTTCGGCACTTTTAACTATACCGATCTCGAATACCCTCGCGAGGTTCCATCTACATAAGACATAAGCCTGAACCCAGAAGAAGCAAAGGATCTGTCGAAAAACAGGAAACTGGGCGACCTGAAAAAGGAAATATCGGCTCTTTTATCACCCAAAGGGAAAGCAAAAAGAAAATGCTGCCTGCCTACTGTCTACATACAAAAAGATTGGGGAAAGGTTCAAGGTGACAGGCGGCGTGACATCGCCAAAAAGCCCGGATTGGGCAGCGGCAGACGCGTCATGAAAATCACGTCCGGAAGGCCCGTGGGGGACTCAACTTTTTTTTAAGACCCAGGAAGGGGGCTTTGCGCTGTTTATCCTGCCTGGGACAGTAGGACCCACCCTATCACCTTTGTGGAAGCTCCAACCAATTGTCTGCATGAGTAGAGATCAAAGAGGGGAAAGGCGCAAAAAAGGGTAGGATTCCGTAACCGTGATCAGGCGTGGGGCGGAAAGGACGGGGGTTTGCTGATACGGGATTGACGGATAGTTGGGCACTTCGGACCAATCGCTTGTGGTCCTGGTTAGTGGGAGAGGCTGCCAGAGGCATTCTCGGTCGGTAACAGGGAACTTCGGAAGGTATCCTGCCTGGGAGACTTGCGTGATAATCGTTGCTTGGGGCGGTGCGCAAGGGCGGACGGGTAGGCTGTTTGGAGCAGCTCGAAGCCGTGGTGGTTTGCGACCTTGATATCTTTTTTGGCCCTCCAAGCTTACGGTACATGCCATAGATACCTAGAATACCTACCACTCTACTATTCAGAGTACTCCCATGCTCCGCCGCCATCATTCTCCATGAGCAATGCCAGTACTCAATGTGTAACTCTACTCTGCCTAGAGCAGTCAAGGTAAATACTCTAGTGTAGAGTACCTACAGTAAGCTATTACTCCAAGCAAGTACTTTTTTTTACTGGGGTGAGTGGTCAAGACAAGAATGGGGAAAAAGCAAATACGAGACGCGAGAGCGAGGCGACTTTTTTGGATCATCCCCAGACGAGCGCGTCCATTCGGATCACAGAAGGAAAGGTTGGTGTTTTATGCTATCCTTAGTTCCCTAGTTCCTCGAGATCTGCTCACGCGCGCGTGGATCGATTTTTCGCTTATTGGGCTGGATCCTCTAATTTTTTGATTTTTGATTTCGTTTATTTTTTTGGTCCTGGCTTTTCCCTTCTTTTCTGCCTGCGGAAAAGGCCAATGATATGTTGCACTCCATGTACCACTACCCGCCGTTTCCCTTCGTTTCCTCTAACTATAGGGTATGTAACGGTCCATGTTTGGCTTTGTTTGTGAATGGGAACCATATTCAGCTACCGGTATATACACCTATTTGCATGAAAGGGTACATTCGACGAGGTTCCGGCCGCGGCAACTTGCAACAATTGGCGATAGTTTTTGTGATGAGTTTCCCTTTTGTCACTTTTTGTCATTAATATTCTGAATGCATTGTACTTTCATGTCTTTCCTTTTCTTATTTTCGTTCATTTCTCCCCGTAGTTGGCTGGGATGATGTCTTTCTCTCTTACAGGTTACGCCACGGACCGTCTGGTCTCTTCACAGAAGATCAGGCAGGACGCGCGCAATTGGGGTGGGTCGCGCGAAATCTGAATGGAAAGTTGCCAAAAAGAAAAAATCAAGGCAAAATGGTGCGCCGCGGACATGGAGAACCTTGCTCTACAGTACAGCCTGCAATGTCAGTCGAATCGGCACCCTTCGTTCCCCAAAATAATATAAATTATTTATCGATGGGATACAAAAATATTGTCGGTATGAAATATATACATTAAATAAAAAAGACCGCATGTTACGGTTTAGGGAACAGAATAGCCCCATTGATCATGGGAAAGGTGGGATAATGATCAGCGCAGATTCCTAGCCGGATAGCCCGATGGAAGGAATATTGAGAATCCGGGAATTCACGAGGGCAAGCAAGCCAAAAAAGTTTGGCTCCAGAACGGATACAGACGATTGACAAATGGTCACGGTGCGCCGTAAGGACCGACATACCTATGAGGGAGGGAGACTACGGCACCGACAGGACCAGACGGGGGCAAAAAAAACCATCGATTCGCTGCGTCGAGAAAAAGAGGCTGCGAATGGTCAAGACAGCCTGCCCTGCTTAGTTGAGACACAGCTCGTGAATGGATCTTCGCGTGGATGCGACACTCTCTCACCACTCTCACTCACTCTCACTCACTACTCACTAGAGCGCTCTCAATCACTTCCAACCAGCTAGCCTCGTTCAATAGGACTCTCACTGAGGACCATTTAGAAAAAGCACATTTACATGGGGAAGGAGGGGTGGTTTTGGATCTTAGTGGAGGGCGCGAAGGGAAGAAGAAGAGGGGCTTTTTCTATTCTAATACCCACCAGTGTATTTGATTATTCCTGAGAGGTCCTGACCGCATGTCTCCTCCCTTCCCTTCCGGTGGTGGGCAGCAGCTGGCTCTATCGAATGGAAGTGCAGAACAGATGCTTCTAGTGGCCAGGATCATGAGTGGACAGAGTGAAGGGGGGAGGGATGGGTGCAAGGTGACAACGAATCAGACAGGAGGGGCTGCAGGCTGAGGAACAGAATCGTCGCCCCAGCAGCAGCAGCAACAGGAAGCACGCTCCCTCCCAGTTGCTTTCCCAGACATGGTCCATACTGGATTGGACGAAGGGCGCGGGTCTCTCTGTGAGGGAGGGGGTCAGGCTACAGTAGAGAAGCAGCCAAGGATCATGCCCACCCGCTATATATCAATGGGACGAGCTCGGGGCTTCTGATTTTCCATATTTCCTCTCCGTTTCCCCCTCCTCGTTCCATTTTCTCTCCCCAGACCCAAACGTGTATCCGCCGTTTTAAGAGACGACCCATTTGTCTGTATAACTGAGTTAAATTACAGACCATCGTCACGAATTTACTACTACATCTTCATAAGTCTTGCAGATACTGCATTGATATTATTTTGCTTCCCCCTCACTTACTTTACGATACCCCTCTGTCATAGTACACACACAAACACACACGCACACACACACACACGCGAGCGAAATGTCTACAGGAGGATATCTTCCGTTCCAGATGGAACAATACCTTCAGCATAGTCTTTCTGTCGATACACGACGGACATGGCTGGACGATGATGAATCGTCAATACTTGACGAGAACATCCTCGACAACAACCTTCTAGATTCTGCTCTCGATATGTCTCCAATCGACCGACGACGTCCTTCCCTATTGGAGTCATCGTCGGCCATTTTTTCTCCCTCAAATGACTGGGATTTTGATCATGATATGGGTATGGCTGGTCCCGCCGATGATGCTGCCGTCCCAGCGGCTACTTTCGAGCACAGCAATGGAACCAACAACCCATTTATCAAGCTTGAGCAGGCACAGCCATCATACGCTCAACAGAACGGTTCATGGTCGTCGAATCATGGTGCTTCAGGCTCGTGCACACCTGCCCCGGCATCATACGACAACAATGCGTTCCCCCACTCCACCTACGAAGATGGCTCTGCATACCTCGCTCCCGCGATTTCTGCAAGCCCCGCAGGTGCTTTTGATAACAACATCCACATTACTCCTCATGCCACTGTCTTCCAATCGAGCCTAAACAGCTCTATGCCATCGACACCGGCTCAGAAGGATTGGCAGGCTACTGGTGCTGAGCACGAGGGACAGCCAATGCAGAAGAGGATGCGACCACAGAGCCCCAGCCCGAGAGCACATTCTCCTCTGCACGTTCTGCGAAGAGACGGGATCCGAAAGAAGAACGCCCGTTTTGATATCCCGGCTGAGAGGACTTTGATGAACATCGATCAGTTGATTGCCCGATCAAACGACGATAACGAGATCAAGGAGTTGAAGCAACAGAAACGATTACTCCGAAACCGACAGGCGGCGTGAGTAAACCCTTGGATACGTTTTCTTATCTTGTAGCCATTTACTGATATATATCATCTAGTCTCGATTCTCGCCAGCGCAAGAAGCAGCACACTGAGCGCCTCGAGGAGGAGAAGAAGATTCACAGCGCTGTCATCCAGGAGCTTGAGGATAAGATTAATGCGATGGCATTGCAAGAGGAGGCTCTTCACCAGAGACTCGAGGCTGTTGCCCGTGAGCGCGACTTTCTTGCACACAAGGCTGAGACTCTTCAGATGGAGAAGGAGGATATGGTCCGCAACCACACCATCGAGACTGGCGAACTTCGAAAGAAGAACAGCTACTTCGCGGAGCAAATTCAAAAGATGCAGGACACTCTTGAACGTACTCCTATGGCACATGCTGCCAGCTCATCTGGTTTCAGCGATGACTTCAACTTGGATACCGACTTTGATCTTAATGACAACTACTGGAATGACCCTATGCAGATGTCCAACTCTGAGGTTTCTATCAAGGCCGAGAAAGTTCAATCACATGGCGATTCGGACAAGCCGGCAGCTGCTCCTGGTCTTTTGCTTATTGTATGTCTATCATTTACACTTTTTTTTTTCTTTTTTTTTTTTCTTTGAAAGAAAATATGTACTAACATCTTGTGCTCTAGCTTCTTTTGTGTGGTGCATTCGTTGCTTCCTCGAAGTCTTCGATTCACTCTTTGCCTCCTCTGCCAAAGCAACTTCAAGCTGCCTCTGCTAGCGTTTTAAGCAACATCTTTCAAGATGCTGGTGTCACAACTATGCAGCCAAACGCTGTTGAGGTTGCTGATGGATCCTCCACTTCTGACTGGGTGGTTGCTAAGTCTGCCGTACCAAACATGGTTGGACTTGACTCTTCTTTGGCAGTATTGAACGCACAACTCGATGGCAAACCAACTACCGAACAACAGCACGAGCAGTTCATGCAACTGAGTGCCGCTGAATACAACGATGTTACCACAAACAACTACCTTCGTGATCCTGAACCGATTTCTCAACGTGGCCGACGACACCTCGAAGAGGGTCTTGCTTCCATGCGAAATAACAAGGGCTCCGCTGCTGAGGTTTATACACGATCGCTTCTCTGGGACAAGGTTGATGCCGAGGTAGTGCGACGCTTTGCTGCCTTCGCTGCACGAGCACAAGCAGATACCAAGGTCAAGACCGTAGGCGAGGGTGGCGGATATGGCGATAGCGCTGTATAAAGCGTCTACAAATATTTTCTTTGCTATTTTTTCTTTCTTGGAGGCACCAGACACACCCCAAACGGACTTTGCTATACGCATTTATTTCATATGTCTTACACTTCCTTCCCGACTATGAGCGGAACAAACTCTTCGAGCACTTGGCTCGACCGATCGACAACGATCACCCTGGGTCTTCACCCAAATTTTCTTTTGTTTTTTTTGTCTGAAGAACGGCCTAATCTTTTTGACATTCCTGCGCGGATTGATGGATTGATGTCTCGATCTTGAACTTGACTACCTTGGTGCGGGGCTTGTTTGGTTACCTACGAAAGGTGCGGTACTTATTATGTGAACTGGACTGGACGACTGCGATCGACGAAATTTAAAGACGATGCAAAGTATTTACGATATTGACGAATTGGGCGGCCTTGATGAGCGGTATTATTCAGCAATTTGGACTTGGTCGGCGGCGGCATAGCAATGGAAATTGGTTTTGATATTCCTGCTTTTGATTTTTGCGTTTTTTTATTTGATTTTAGCGTTTTCTCCTCCGTAACCTCAAGTTTGCTTGTTTGCGTGCGTTGCCATTCCCCCCCCCCTTAGTATTTCTTCCTTGTATCTTTCTGTATTTTTGCGTTTGATTTTGCGTTCTTGTTTCTTGCTTTTTATACTTTATATTCTCACAGTATTTTAGCTATACCTGAGGCTGGTTTCCTCAGGATGGCTCTCTGGCGGCCTCTTCGAGTTTTGATTTCTCGGTTCTTTCTCTGTAATTAAATTCGTTCAGGTCATACTTCTTTTTTCTTGGGGGGCTTTGCTTATATTCTATCTATTGTCTTGTTTTTACTGCTACGTTTTTTTGTCTTATGTTTGTCTTCTTGATCACGAACGTCTACGAGTTACGATGTTACGATATTTACGCCGTTACGACGTGACGACGGTTTACGATTTTTCTTCTCCTATTACTCTCTATCTCAGCCTTGGGGCTTGATATGTTCTTGTTTGTTAGTTGTGTTGAATTGGCTTCTGTTTTTAATTTGAGGACTGAGAATTATTTCTTTCATATTTTTGATAAAAATTTGGCGACGATATTAAGAGGAGCCTTTCATCATATAGTAAAAGGGCGGTTTCCTGAATAGTCTTTTCCTCTCTCTCAGACACAATTAGTATCATACTTTACTTTGATTTTTCTTTTATATTACGATAGACTACTAGTAACTATGTACTACCTGAAGAAGTTGAAAATAAATATAGGAAGAACATAAACGGATTTTCCATGACATCAGACACCCTTCCACTTACGATTCCACTTTGATATCGCAATCTAAAACACTACAAGATTGATGGTGACAGGGAATAGGTGTTCCAAGATCCTAGAGAATGGTGCTTTTTGGCGTCTAGAACATGGAACGTTTTCCCATCTTAATCGTCCTTCATGTACTTGTCCTTGTATATCCTAGAAAGATCATGAAAAAAGCAAGGTATTGTCAGCCTCACGCACGATCAGGTTATCGCATCAAAAGAAGCATAGTAAAAAAGCATGGGCAGGAAAGAAGCGAGAAAGCCACTTGTGGCCCTGCCTCACAACAAAGTCACTCAGCAAGGTCACCCAGGTTTCCCGAAACAAGTGGTGATCCTAGCCGAAACGCCAAAAAAATAGCAGCGACCAAAAAAGAATAAGAGGGAAAATATTGACCAGCATGTGTACTTTAGTAGCAACAATTAAGACCACGGGGATGACGGAATGCATTCTTACCAACTGTTACCGAGAATCTTGTTGCCTTGCTTTTCAGCCATGCGGTAGAATTTTGCAGCTTTGTACTAGAATAGAGTGTGAAACCGAGACCGGGGGTGAACCCGGTCGATTTTCTTTGCGTCAGCCTAAGTCTAGGAAGCCTTATTTTTTTTTTTTACAAGCAGCGATCAGGGTAAAAAAAGTCCTCTTTCCCCATCCACCGAAGCTTCCGAGAGAAAGTACCGACATGCCGATATATGCCCGGGGTATGGAAATCCCCGAATGGAGGTTTGGGATTTATACGTAGATCATAGGTGCTGGGAGTGAAGAGCGATTATCAGATACTGACCTTATCCTTCTTACATCCAAATCCCTCCAGATAGCACCACGCGACCTCGTTCTGTGCATCCGCGTCGCCCAGGTTTGCTGCAGTCTCGTAGTATTCCCTTGCGGCAACGGGATCCTTCTCCACACCCCAGGCGTGACGGAAGCAATTGCCAAGCTCGAATATAGCAAGCACCAGCTCTCCCTTCGCGGAGCCGCCCTTCTTCATCCCGGCGGCTAGTGCTTGCTCTTCGACGGCGGCCGAGTTACGAGCGGCGGCCTGAAGGTAAGTGAGTGCCTTGGGAAGGTCTACGTCGATACCCCATCCGTGTCTAAACATCACATATTAGTGGATCCTGCCCTTGACCCCGAAACTCCGACCTGGCAACCCCCGACTGGCAGAACTTTTGAATCATGAATCATGATATGGTGATAGCGATGGAAACAATAGAGGGTGATCGAACCTTAAAGCTAATCCATAGAGAACCTGGCTCAATGGGTTATTCTGCTCGGCAAGCTTTCCGAACATTCGAGTTGATCTAGCTAGCTCTGGATAGGTTCAAAATGGCTGTCAGTCCTGTCCGTTCACCGCAAGCTTACATATTGCTTGTCCAACCCATTCCCTTCTATTTATCGACCGACCATGGACCTTAGGCTTAGGAGCCCAACAGAGTACAATGAAACCCACCTACGTACCTCCGGCTTCATGAAGTCGTATGGCTTCCTGAATATTATCCTGTTCGTCCGATTTCACCATCAGAATCGGCCATCAACGATCATCATCGAAGATCACTTACATCAGTATCTACGGTGCTGACGACGCTCGTGCTCCTCTTACGTCCGCCGCTGTCCTCCGCTCCAAGATGTCCCCCAAGATGCCCAACGCCGTTTACAGAGCTCGGCTGTCCCCCGGACGCCAGGAGGGCTGCTCTGTGTTCCCACTGATCCTCGCCAGCGCCTTTCTCGAGGCTTGGTAAATTTACTGGGACATGAGCCGAGGATCTTGAACGGGGTCGGCCAAAGCTATGGATATGGAAGGAATCTCTGAAACGGTCGGACAAGGGTGACTTTGGCCGAACTCTATCAAGGGACAATCTTTCGTTTACCGGGCTTGAACGTGGTTGTCCATCAGGAAAGTCCGGAGTCATGAGGATAGCATTTTGAGACAACTGAAGCTCTGTATTAGCTCAAGATATCCCCTTCGTCTGATAACTTTGATAAGAAACGCGGAGGGGAACAGGGGATGTGTTGGGTGGAGGGGGAACTTGCAGTATCACTCCGCATGAGTGTGATTTCGGGAGTTGATCGCGTGTCCAGCGGGGGTCCTTTCATATTTTTCTCCTCTCTCTTGAACATACTCTTAAACTCAGTTAAAGGCATGGCGTCTTGCTGATCTGTAGGGTCCTGTTGGTTGGTGTTTCTTCGTGTTTACCTCGTGACAGGGACAGCTAGGAGTGTTTGGAGCTCGTTTAGGAGTATGAGGGGTTATCTTTTCTTGATGCGGTTACCAGAAGCTCTGGTGATTAATGCAGGTGAGTATCTGTGAGCAGTAAACTATGCTGCTGCTATCCGTGACGACTGATTGATTTGTTTGGTTTGGTATAAGAATCCTTTCGAGAGAAAAGAGTTGTGGTGGAGTGGCTATTAAATGTGTATATATAGTCCAAGTCGCCTCCCTTCTACGCCATGATATCTCATCGCTCGGCCCCAAGGAATGTTTGTACATCGAGAAGTCCGTGAATAGGGAAATTATATGGTGTTGCAGATCGGCGGAGAGTGGGAGGGGGGATGAGCAGCTAAGCCACACTCAGTCAAGCAGTTACCGAGCCCGACAGGCTTAATTACTACATGTACCGCACATAAAGCTGACCATGTCTTAAAATACATCCTTCGCGCTTACCAAGGTTGCTCGTCACCAAGCCGCTGGTTTTCCTCAGCCCAGAAATGTCATTCGGAAGCTTCCGTCTTCGCAAATGAGGAACATGCACACAGATGTATTTGACAATAGACACAATGCGCACTTTCTTCTCCGATCGTCAGAGCTATACATACATGTACATACGTACATACATAGATACAGATACAGAAAATTAGGATAGGAAGAAAGGAAAGAGAAAGAACAAAAAACGACATGGCTCAAAGAATAATGAACGTCGAGTGTGCACGCGGATATTCGTGCAACTCGGACCGCCTAGAAAGTAGAGAAATATAATAGTAACAATAAAAATGGATACCAAAGAATGACTTGTGACGCCTGGTCCCATTGCAACGCTAGTCCCCGCAATCTGCCATACAATCAAATCAATCACTGTACATACCAGTTCCAACCTCTTCGCCTTATTTTCTCCTTGCAGAAACATGATAAATAAAATCTGCCAGAAAGTTCCTCGTAGCTCATGTAAACACCAAGAGAAGGGAAACAGCAACAAACAAACGCCTTTCTAAAGCTTTATAAATAAAGTTCATGAAATAGAATATAGACTCCACACACACAAACACAAATACACACTGACGCGCTATTAAAACAATATCCATCAATCCAACCATAAAGTACTACTCCTCAGGGGTGTTGCTTCGACTCGAACCAAGGAAATGCGACTGATCTATCTTCATGATCCACTCGATCATATCTCTTTCATCTTTTGCCGCAAAAAGATAGGTGTTGAGCGGTGCGTAAACAGCAAATACATGCGGCCTCCGCAGTAATTTTGCTACTTGTGGCTGATGGTCAATTCGGCAGTGGCTGAGGTTGACCGCCATGATCTCCTGGCCATCAGATACCCTAAACATGTGCATGTATGGTCGTCGCAGCTCGAAATATCTCTTCACCCAAGCCTTATTCGTTTCGTCCAGCGTCCACAGATACCCGGACTTAAGCATTGGTGTACTGCAACAGCGTCAGAAAGTGTCAATCATACGATATACTAGCCTCGATACATACCTTCTAGGAATCTGCCGAACTTCAGCAATCAACCTAGGTGGCTCTGCCTCAGTTGCTTCCGCAAAGCAGGCACCATTCTGCGGGGGCTCGGTATTTCTTCTCACGAGGATCCTCTACATACCCGTTAGCATGTTATATAGAGATGACTAGCGTATTGCGGTAACCCACTTCACTTGGGTCCTTCCCGGAGGTCCAAAGCTTTACGAACTTTCGTAGCACAGTGATCTGCGGGTCTTCCACTAGGATTGGCATGATGCTTGAGACCGTTGACGTCTCCCGTGTCATTATCTCGGCTGTTTCGATCTGCTCGACTGGCTCAAAGGTTTTAACTGTCTCGGCTGTTTCGATTTCGGTAGCGGGGGGTTCCTGCGCCTCCCCTTTAAGTTTACCGTTTTCTTTAGATGCGGACCTCTCCAAATCCAAACTTGTTATACCCTCATCCACGAGGATGCTCTCCGGCAGACCGTTTACACCAGTCACACCAAGTCCCAGCCCACCATTTTCAGGCTGCATGACCTCTTCCATCGATACCGATACGGGATTTAAAGTTAATGGAGACCCGTTCCTAGTAACAGGTAGCGACCCCAAGAACCCTTTCGCATTCTCCACTTCTGCGACCCTTATCCTTCTCTTTCGTGCCCTTAAAAAGTCCCTGACAAGACTCACACCTCGAGGCATCCATGGGCCAAGATTTTCCTCGCCCTTAACATATCTATGTAGTGTGTTCATTCTCCATAGGTCCCCCGCCCTCCTTGCTACAGCAGGTCGGATAACAAGTTGAAATAAACCCACACTCACATGTATGATCCTGCTGTTATTCCACATCTGCAAGAATTTGCTTGGGGTTTTGACGACCCTAGGCTGTACTTGCGAGTAGATATCTTGTGAAAACGCGATTGGTTCCGACAGCCTATCCGACGTAATGTTCCACCGCAGACTCATCTGAACGCGGTACTTATCAGCAGTAGTCCGGTCTAATAGTATCGAATTGTGTAGACTGGAGTCCCATTGTGCGACAACCGTGACTGTACTTGTCCCGTCCGCGTTGGTTTTTACTACAGGGCCCAAGACAGGATTAAGCCTTATTTCTCGAGTGGTTGAAGAAAGATCAGGAATTTTGCCCCTGGGATCCAATAAACGAACTTGGCCCATCCGAATATGTGTGATGTCACGCCACTGCAATGTGTCTCTTGAACTGTGCGTGAGGCTAAGTTGCACCCTACGCTGCAAACCCTGTCGGAGCTGGAATGATCCAGGATCAATATCAGACTGCTGTGACACCTCTACTGGCAGATACTCCCCCGTTTCAGAGAGCTCCAGTATTTGTACCGTTGAAAACACATCATGCCGTTCTTCTGTATAGAACTCGGTTTCGTTTAGGCGTGCACCCCTCTTCTTCTTTGGCGAAATTGGCTTGTTGTCCCGCATATCATCCCAGCTGATGAGCTTTTCGAGGTGCATCTGCATTATTTTTGCGAAGATAGCTACCCGTAACGTTGCATTCCTTAGCGGAGTTCCTAATGGAATACTCATACTATGGGTGCTATGAAATTTGACCGGGCCTTCATCAAAGTCGGATACAACAGTGGTCGCAGTAGCACCGCTCTCATCAGAGACTCCAGGGATAAACATCTGGGCGTGAACTGATGTTCCCTCCCGTTCAGCAAACCCGACCATTTCTCGCATAACGACATTGAATTTCAGAGTAGATGAGGGGGCTTCTGCAGAGGATGGTTCCAAAGCGAGCTTAATCATGCCAACCACGCTGGCAGTGTGGGGCGAAGTAACGTCCAGGACAAATTCTTGAGACCGCGACTCGAAAATTGCAGTGAGTGGTACATCGACATCCCCTATCAACGAATATTGTGGAAGGATAGGTTCTGAAAAAGGATCGTCGAGTCGGAAGTGCTTTGTAGAGAGTTAGTTGGTCATGTATATATGTGGAGATTTGGAGAAATTCACCTGTAAATATTCTGGTCGATCTATGTACTGATAAATCTGTCTCATTTGACGCACACGGGTTTGAAGTTTTTCCAGGGACCAAAGATGTACTACTGCGTTTTGAAAATCCATCACCCTCACCCCAACACAGGGCTTACGCGCCATGTCTAGAAACTCATCGTCTTCTGCTGATATCCCATTAAGTACTAGATCATAGCTTGACTGGAATGTGTGTCCTTCGTCCACGATTGTAAATTGGAACACAACATTCTTTTCCATTTCATTGCTCATAATCTGTGCCTCCTTCAGAGTAGCAGCATGCTGCAAAATTGCCTCGGCCATACGAACATATCTCCGTTGTCGCCAATGATCGACGGTTTGCTTCGCGAGACTCTTCTCTTGGCCCGTTAAATCCTCTGGATCTTTGTTTTTCGGGGGAGAAAGACTAATCTCCTCGAGTCTGCTTTCAAACTCCTGTCGCTGCTTTTCTAACTCTTGTCGCATCTCTTGTTTGGCCGAATCCAGCTTTTCCTGCATCTTTGTTCTTTCTGCTTTGATCTCCTCGAATTCAACATTAGCTTCTTCTGCAGCCTTCAACTTCTCTTGATACTCCTCTTTTTGCCTTTCCAGTTGTTCTTGCATTTCCTCTTTCACCATTCTGAGCCTATCTTCAGCTTCCCCTGGAGTTCCAGGTATCGTGATCATCGTGTCGAGTGAAAGATCGTCTAAGGTACCCATCGAAGTGTATTTCTCTCGACTGCCAGGGTAAGACATTACTGACTCCGTCTCATCATCGATTGAATCCAGCCGACTATCCGGTCGCCCCTTCCGAATCATCTTTACCCTCTGCATTTCCTCCAATAATACATCCAACTCATCATCCGTTAGATTGGTTATCCTCGAATTGTCTCCTAGTAATGCAGAGGCAGCCTCTCTTCGTGCAAACGACCAGTCGATATCCCTACTATTTGCAGGGATGTGTGACGGCGAGTCTGGTCGGCTACTACCATTTGTCTCTGATTCAATCCTTTCCATCATATCAGCAGTTATCCCATTGCTCGATGAGTGTCGATGGTCGGGGGATTGTGCCCCAGCGTTCATGGTAGCAGACTGTCGTAGTTTATCTCTTTCTGCACGTGCTTCCTGCGGGTGGTTAAATCGAAATATATGAAAGTCCCCTAAGATAATACGATATCCTGTTCGTAGCCTTCGAGGTGCATCTATTCGCAGACCGTTGACCATCACTGCTGCCCCTTCGTTCGGTATTAATGTAACCACTCCATTCTCATTCTCAAAACGACAGTGATCCATGAGTATCTTAGAGCCGTTGAGCCGGATCTGCGCAGTTTGTGAGGTTTCAACGTTTCCAACAGTGGTCGTCCCTGCCTTAATATTATATACAAGGCACTCAGCGAGTAGAGGGTCATCACTAGCTTGTGTGAGCCATAATTTTTAATCGATATATAATTAGGATATAGGAGCCGAACCTCAGATTGACAAGATGTGGTATCCTTTTTGGTGTTGATAGGCCAACGAACCCCTTTTCTATACTAATTCCCAATTCCTCCAACGCAGCCTCGCGCTCCTTGTGGACAAGCTGTGTCTTCTCCATTCTTTGTTCCCATGTTTGATTGAGATCTCCCAGAAGTTTTTCAGAAGCAGTCAACTGTTCTGCAATTTCTGCCTTGGAAACCTTCTTTATCACTCCATCGGGGGTCGTGATCGTAACCATTTGTTTTTCCAGTGGTGTGTCTGGGGCATACCTCTCCTCCTCTGGTAAACTTCCACCGCCTGATAATTTTGATCTCAACTGCTGAAGCTCTTCCTTCAACTCCCGAATCATTTTTGCGTTCGGATCCTCATTGACAACGGCATGATTCTTGATCCGCTTTGCTGAGTCGGCATATCTTAGTGTCGATAATGTCTCGTCGAAGTTTATATCAGCTGGTGAGATAGCTGCAATCATAGCCGTCATACTATTACCTCCCAGTGAATCCTTCAATAACCATGTCAAAATCGAGTCTCTATATGGAACCATATTTGCATTCTTTTTCTTCCCAGTTGATAGATCTGCCAAAGCCGCAATGACACGGCCCAAAGTTGATAAAGACCTGTTAATTTCTGCTCCCTCCTTTAACCTAGCCCCGGTAGCCCCGGTAGATTGTGCCCTCTCAGATCCTGCCAAATCAACCAGACTTATTCTCGATACTTTTTCAGAATCGAATCCAGTCTCAGTATCGTGAATTTTTTGCGATAATATAATTGTAAAGACGGCGTGGGAACGCGAAGATGTTTCGTTCATATTGGTCGCCGCAACTGTTCGTGCTTTGTTGCCCTCGTCCATAAGGTTTTCAATTTCAGCGAAATTGTTAACTATCAATTTTGCAAGATCTTCAACGTAAGGTCCTAAAGCTGGATGCTCTCTGACTTTCAGATTCCCTTTAGTGGATGGATTTAATAAATCACGAACACGCTCGTTATAAATTTCTAAGTACGAAACTTCAACGGTGCATTTTAAGTTCGGATCTGCTTGCATAGCATCACTGTGGCAAGTAATGTTAGAGTCGATCATCATATAATGTTAATACAACTTACATTCGCTCAAACATATGCTGGCAAATCTTTGGGATAACACCATACTCCTCTCCGTATCCCATCTACCAAATCACAACTATTAGTATCAACTCCAAAGTCTTGTCCGATTCCTCCCCCCTCCGAGTGATAGAAACCACAACTCGTACCATAGAATATGATTTCCCGGAACCTGTCTGGCCATAAGCAAAGATACAGTTATTATAACCCCCAAATGCATTATCCAGTAATGGTCTTCCGAGGTCGTCAAAAAGATTCCCCTGGCCCGCTAAACCGGCCGTCAGCATCAAATCCCATCGAACTAGCCCGTCCCGAGATACCCACCATATGGACAATCGGGGTCGTCTTTTGAAAAACTCCAGTAACTCCGGTCGAAATTAAACGTCTTGGGGCCGCCGTGGTCCTTAGACCCTTTACCCGCAGTCTTTTCCGCGCCAGGCGGCGGTAATAAAACCGTTTGGCTGTCTTTCATCTGAACAATACATTTTGCGCCTCTGTCTCTCTCTATTCAACGAGTTCCCCCAGAGCATCAGCCGCAGTCCTCCCAGGTATTAAGCGGTGACAAGCAAGTACCTCTGCTATTGAACGGCCGCACACGCACCACCACCTTAATATTCGCCCCCATTCTTGCGGTCGTTGACCGGATGTCCTAGAAATCCCAAAATTCCCTTCCGCTCCACTTCTTCAGTCCCTTATCCTTAGTTAACCTAGAGTAGTTTGATGGTATGGATATAGATGGAGATAGCAGAAAGCTTCGGATTTGACGGGACCTAAAAAACGTTGAATGCGTTAACTGTCAACTGTCAATTTTGAGGTCTTTGAGTAAACGTTCTTATAAGGGATGGTAGAGAAGGAGCGGCAAACCGTAACGCGTCGGAATATTGATGGCACGCACCGTGCCCAGCGATGTAAAGAAGCCCGTGTATCTTTGCGGGCAAGAATAGTTCAACTGATCTAGTAAACGGGGGGTTGACTGTTGACTATGCTGGGGCGAAACCTAGGAGATTTGAGACCCTGAGATGGAGTGCAAGGGGCGCGGGTCTTGGCAAGATGACCTACCTACACCAGATGAGCAAGCACGAGTCGTGGTGGCTTAGAGCCATCAACAGCAACTCTGCCACAGCTACCCTTCATCAAAGAACCAAACAATCCACACAATGGTATACCTCTCTCGAAGTGGGGAAAGGAAAAGGGGATTCCGAGGGCGATGTGCTAATCTATAATTCTACAGTCTGCCCAAAATTCAGCTGGAATACAGACCCTCCTCGATGTACGAACACCCACTAGCTCCAGGGAATAATACTGATGGACATGTAGGCCGAGAGAGAGGCACAAAAGATCGTCCAAAAAGGTACGAAGCTATCCCACTCAGCTATCATATAGAAAGCTCAACGCTGATTGTCTACCTAGCAAGAACTTGTGTGTAACCCTCCGCCTTAAGAGACCCCGCCCTCTACCCCTCAGCAGTATCTAACACCTACAATCTCCCATTCAGATCGCACACAGAAAGTGAAAGACGCTCGCAGTGAAGCTCAAAAGGAAATCGATGAGTACAAGAAGCAGAAGGAAGCAGAATTTGCAAAATTTGAATCCGAGGTTTGTTCCTTATCTACACACGGTTCTACGAAACCCCAGGGTGGTGCTCACTAACTCATAATAGCACACTGGGGTCAATGCAAGGGCCGAGGAGGAGGCAGCTAAAGAAGTCGAGGAGAAGCTGAAGGAAATTGAAGCGGCCAAGGGGGAGAAAGGCCCCCAAGTCATCGAGGAACTATTGAAAGCTGTCACGGACATTAAGCCAGAACCACATCGTAACGCTGCTGTCACTCCTGTTTGAGCCTCTTTATGTCCTCGATGTTAGACTTGCATGGACGAGAATTCGCAAGCACACCTCGTCGCTTTAAGCAACCATATATCTCTTTAAAAACATACTAAACTCTACTACTTTGCCGCAATTATCTTAAACAATATCCTTACCATTCGTCTGAAACATGAAAATATAGCTGTCAGGTCTTTAATTTACTTGGTTAAACGAATCATCCTAGGAGTATATACACATATACACGCTAGCCAAAAGGCGTTCAGTAAAAGCTGTGAATTCAGCGCAACTGGGTGAACACAAAACTAGGCATCATACGAACCAATTTCGTTTTATTATTTTCTTGCCCCTGAATTTTGAATTTTGGGTGAGGTATTCAGGTTTTATTACCCGCCTGGTTTCGCTGAATTTATGACTTTGGTAGAAGATGGTATTCTGACCCGTGGACTGTCAAGGTATTGACGTGCCCAGGGTGTTCGAAAGCGATATCTATCACAACATGCACTCCCTATATTCAGATTTCGAGTACAGAATTCTTCGCCATGTATAAGCATACATTTGGTGGTATTTTAATACAAGGCATCTACTTTCCAGGCAAGAAGCTAAGTACTGTGAAGCAGCAATAATGACCCAGCTTCCAGGAAATCAACATAATAACAGACCTTTTTTCTTTCTCTCATTATGAAGAGAATCTGCACTCATATTGGCCTTGAGATAGCCTCGTGTGAGAAATCACCGAATGAATGCGCATCATCTTCCAACTCCTTGGTAGTTGTTGATTTCAAACCTCTAATTCTAGATACATATTGTAGGTACGGTTACGACGAACTTGAGATTCCATACCATCTAGGCCCGTAAGGGCTCAAATCGCCATTCGAACACAGCCCGACCGATCTGTACAGTCGGAATATCTACTAAATGTAGGTATACATGTAATTCTTGGATATAGATCGCTGTCTTCGCGCCAAAATCGACCGACCACTTAGGCTTCTCTATATATATTAACTCTCAATTGTTTCCCGAAAACCATGAAACCTTCGATTGGGATAGAAGGATGTGCTACTTAAGAACTACCTAAAAGTATACATTTCAATACAAAGTATCTCCATTCATCAAATACATGTATTTAAGGGGTTATGTGGCTTTCAATTCGTAGATTTTGAGATTTGGGCAGATTTTGTCAAGACCCCATACAAATTCGAAGTATTAGCACATTTTCCAAGAACAAAACGCCCTACATCAATTCTACCGTGGTTAAGGTAAAATTTTAAACGTTAGTTCCTGGTATTTTTTCTGATTTTTAAATTGTATCATGATTATACTGACTGTCACAAATAAATAATATATTCGAATTGTTGGCTGCACTTTACACCCGTTAACGCCCGAAAAAGGGAAGTGTTTGCCGAAAGTGAAAGTGCGGTATAATTCGCACCGTTAGTGATCACTACAGTCGCTCACCTAGTGACGGCAGATCCTGTCTGATGGTTGTGTTTGCAGTAATTTCCCCTTGGCGTCTCAAAGTTAACTCTATTATTGGCCTCAAATCCCTGACCGCCATCAGACAGGATCCGCCTTCACCCCGTGAGTGACTGTACCGCAGTCAACTAGAAATCGTGCACGGTCCTCTATCCCTTAGTCTGCCCCGCGTCCTACTAAATATATCTCAGAGTAAAAAGTGCCGGAAGAACTCCTGAATGGCCAAAAAGGTATTAAATGTCTGCCACAGCAAGCCACAACTACATCACACCAACTACATCACACTAAGACAGAGCAGTGGATGCTAATGACACCAACGCTCAACCTCACTACTCCCATTAAAGATACCGGTCGAGTGGCTGAATAGTAGGCTGTGACGTCATTGTTCTAGTGGCCTGTTTGGCAGTTTAAGGCGTTGCAACGGACTTACCAACGGGTCACTTATGTGGAGAGGACGAGTTGCTTTCTAGAAAAGTAGATTACCTATCGTTTAACAAGTCAAGTTAACCAAATGTGGTTGGGTTGGAGTGATATTGTAGCAACAGGAAACAAAAGCAGCTTTTTTATTTCAGTCGGTTTGTTGACTTTGGTTGACTTTTGTATTACAAATCTACTGGACAGAATGTGTTGCCAAACACTCAAAACTTTTCAAAAGTCAATATTTCACGGATAAGTCATTCCCCACCAAAATTTAACAAGTCGACCCCGTTGCCAAACGGGCCCTAAATACATGTATGTTTTCACTCTGGACAGAAATTTTGAAAAGTCACTTAAATTTATACAGCATATAATATAACCACCTCGTAATTTATTCCAATAAAATCATCCCGGTATGTAAAAAGACCAACTATAACAAACCCGATTGACAAGAATCGCCCAAAAATAAAAAACAAATGAACAAAATATTATCAAACAGTAACAGGAAGGAACACCAATATGAAGAAAAAGAAAAAAGAGGAAAGAAAAAACTCCCGCTATCATTTCGTCATGAAAATTATTTCCCTCAAAATATGTTATAGTTGAAGTCGTCCATAATTCCAGAAACCGGACTAACTAGTTTACTCGAATAATAGGCAATTCGACACCCTCTTGATCCAGTGACTAATTCCCTCCTTAACTTTCTTACCTTCTCGACCTCAGGACTCTTCCCCCATTTGAGGACGCACTCGTATCCCTCTTGGTAGCTTTTATTATAGAGCCCACCTCCTTCTTTATACCTTCAACTCGATTTTCCTTCAAGCTACCATTGCTTCCCGTAGCTTTCACGCCACCCCGTCTCAACCCTGAACCCGTGGAAGCTACCGCCGCATTTTTGGGTTTACTCTGCGAACTTTTTGCCTCGCGATTCACGGCACCTTGACCAACTTCCGCGCTAGTGAAAGTAGCATCTAAAGATGAGCGGGTCGTTGCACGGGAAGAAGATCGACTGGAGGATGCTATTGAGGGGGGGCTGGAGGGTATATTTCTTATAACCCGGGCTGGTGCCTTAGAGGTTGTATTTTTATTAGTCTTGGTGGAAGAAGACGGGAGAGTAGATGCTGAGGGAAGGCTGGGTTTTGAAGGCGAAAGGGCGAGGGGGCGGGGTGTATTTGCGGTAGCAGGAATAGGTGGTGGTGGCATTTGTTCCCGGGCAGAAACTGTATTCTTAGTGACCCTTTTCTTCTGGACCAGAAGGCGTGTTGACTGGGGACTTTCTGTTCCTTCTTCTCCCCCGCTATTGAAGATACACTTAGTAATGGTACGACGACAAGAGGATACAATAATAAAACCTCAGCCTCTTTATATCCTCCACGAATTCTTTGACCGCTGCAGAGTTCAGCTTGGCTGACACTGGTCCATCAGTAACAGCGACGGGTCCATGTTGTGCGAGTAATTCCCCCATTGTAACATCCCATAGTTTCTTTGGTACTCTATTAATGCGCATTTCGATCCTTTGTTTGAGGGCCTGCGCTTGCATCGCACATTGGGAACGAAGTTTCTTAGCTCGCTCAGTTACTATACAAGTTAGACAGTCTTTCGAGGTTTCATATAAGGTCCCACAAACGTACACTCTAGGTCCAGATTTTCTATTAAAACCATTTTCTGGTTCTTTGTAACTCCAGCAAGACGTACCTGGCGCAAAGGCGACTTCATGGGTGTCTTTATGGCCACTTGTCGTGAGGGTGATAGCTGTGGAATTGGTAATGGCGAGGCAGAAGCTGTCGGTGAAGCGCCCTTCTTACGGCGGAGTGGAGCCATTTTTCTAGAACACTTTTCCTTGTAATATCTTCTAATACCACGAATTCTAGTTCCTTTTCCTGTATCTGGAGGAAGCCGGACGAACGCGTAATTGTTAGCCAAGTATAGAGTGTAGTTGATTAGGATGTCGCGTTCTGAACAAACAAACACGACAAAGAAGCCTGCTAATAATGCTTGGCGTATGGCCGGGTAACCCACTTCACGATTGTAAGTTGAAGGTGGGTTGTGCTTTGCACCTCCGGATAGCTTACTCTAGCGTTCGACCTCCCCTCCATCACCACAACCACAACCATTACCATCATCGCCATCAACTCAAATTACAACCCAGTATCAGCTTCATCTACACCATCTCTCTTTATATAATTCATATCCAATACAGCTTTAACTATGGTGCTGGAGGCTACTATGATCATGTTCGTCTTCCTTGGATGTATTGAACTTTGTTTCAGAAGCTTACTAACAACATATAGAATCGACAATAGCGAGAGTAGTAGAAATGGGGACTATTCGTATGCTTTCTACCGCTCTCTGGATTTTTTGATTAAATGTAGAGCTTGTGGCTGATAAAATACCTGAATCAGACCAACCCGTTTCGGAGCTCAAGCTGATGCCGTCACACTCATTTTTGAGGCCAAAACCCAAGCAAATCCCGAATCTTCTGTCGGACTGATGACGATGGGTGGAAAAGGCCCGGAGGTGTTGGTTACGCTGACAACGGATGTTGGGAAGATATTGACCGGAATACATGATACCAAGATAAAAGGAGGAACTCATTTAACTACAGGGATTCAGGTAGCAGGGGTAAGTCAAATATATATCCTTAAAGGTCCTCGATATAGGGCATAATATGTATTTATTGCATGTAATGTGAATTTGGTGCCGAGGAACCTTGGTAGCAAGTATGCTGACTTCAGGGTTCACAGCTTGCGCTGAAGCACCGCCAAAACAAAGCGCAACGTCAACGTATCATTGTTTTTGTCGGATCGCCCATCACCGAAGATGAAAAGACACTTGTCAAGCTTGCCAAGAAGATGAAAAAGAACAATATCGCGATAGACTTTATCAACTTTGGAGAGGTCGATTCAGAAAATACCACCAAACTTCAAGCCTTCGTTGATGCCATCAACTCTAATGATAATTCTCACCTCGCTACAATTCCTCCCGGCCCTCATCTTCTCTCAGACCTTCTTGTTACTACTCCGATCTTGGGCGAAGCCGGAAGTGCGCAATCCGGTGGTGCGGGTGGTGAAGGTTCTGGTTCCGGAGAAGGTGCTGGGGCGTTTGAGTTCGGAGTTGATCCTAGCTTGGATCCAGAACTGGCTCTGGCGCTTAGAATGTCTATGGAAGAGGAAAAGGCTAGGTTGGCAAAAGAAGAGAAAGAGAAGGCAGATAAAGAGAAGAAGGAAAGCGAAGGCTCGGGATTATCGGGAATCAAAGAAGAGGATGAGAGCACACCCTTGTTGAAGGACGACGAGAAAGACGACGGTGAAGGTTCGAGTGGGAATAAGAAAGATGACGATAAAATGGATATCGCATGAGCAACGGCTAGAGTCTTCGCTTTAGGAAGAATTTCGATATATCCGGGTTCAAGTTTGAGGTCAAGGCCAAGGCCAAGGCGCATGTGCAATGTACAGTATCAGCCATTAGACCATCGTCTTCTTGATCCTAATTCCCATTGAGCGTTATTAGCATCAGATCCCTGTTCTTTTTTATGTCTCTGCCCAAATAAGTGCAAAGAAGATAAAGCTAAATGTTTAAACAGCCCTTTAGAGATAAAGAATTGTATCAGACGCGAGTAAACCCCTAATGAGTTTCTTTTTTTATGTTAAACCTCTCCTCAAAGGAAAATAAGTTTGGTTTTAGGTCATGTCTTCATTATATGCCTGGAACTGATAGCCGCCCAGACCGCGATGACCCCATTTAAACTGGAGAAACTGGGACGTCCGGCTTTTTCCATAATGAAGCATACTACGTGACTATCTGGGCCATTTTATGCGGCAGTGGTACCACAAAAATCAGCTTTTATACCTGTAGTGTTTGAGTCCCCAACGATTGACGGGTAGGAAAGAATAGTTATATCCAGGCACTACAGCCAACGCGAGGCAGCGATACCCCGTTGGCCGTCGGCGAAGCGGGGGCGGCGTAAATTTCTTTTGGGTAGAGTAGGCACATGTATGTATGTATATGTATGTACTCTACTCTAGAGTACTCCACATACTCTAGGTACATATACGTACTCTAGGTACTCGGGGCTATGTACCTACTCTAGCGAGAAGCGTGTAAATCCCAAGTAGGAGGCTAAGGCCGTTATTGAGGTATCATGCTGGTGCTGTGGATAGAGGTACTCGCAATTTTTTGGCGTTTCCGGACTGGACTGGGTCTGCATACCACCAAAATATGGTTCTTATGCACGATTTTCGCCCATATGCAGACCCAGTTCAGTCCGGAAACGCCAAAAAAATTGCGAGTACATACATACATATGTGTACCGTAGTCCAATTACGAGGACTACCGATACTGCATATGCCACATCTTTCCACTTTTGTTTTTGGCAGTTACTTCCTCCCTGCACTATCTTTTTTCTTTTTCTTTTCGTCCGAATCTGTGCTACGATAAGGAACTCGGCATATTCATTTTTCTAACGTTTTATAAACCCCAGGTGCGCGCAAATCCTCTTGTGAATTTTTTTTTAGTTTAGTGAGTTACGCGCCACGTGAGGACGGTAAGGTATCGTGACTTAAGCGCAACCGCGGGACAGTAACAGTAACTCAATGATTACAGTTAGTACGACTTTGGACTAGACTACAAACTGTGTGTGAATGTAGTACAAGCAAACAACATCACAAACTGCGCTCTAAAGTTCTGTATACTCTTCTGACACGCTACAAATCTCTCTTCGGCGACACGCACATCCTCTTTGTTACCTTGTCGATAATAATTATAGATCCATAAGCTATATATATTTTTTGCTAGCACCTCGCCCAGATGAGCTTATACTCTGCTACCTAATATGATTATAGTGATAGATAATATCATGATGTCATTGCAGAACCGGAACGCCATTCGAAGAGATATTTCGAGGATCATTATTTATCCGGTCCCGGTCATCTCTGAAAGGCCACGTCCACAAAACTTCTGGAACTCGAGATACTCGATACAGCCCTGGTACCGTTGAGAATTTCAACTCTGGTTCGCAGATCCTATTGCACATTAAATTAATATGATAACGTTTACGACAGGGGTTGTGCGTTACAGGACAAGATATCGAAACATTTCCTCGTGATCAGGCGACGTCAAAATACATACATACAAGTAGATACTACTGCTGTATACTAAAGTAATCCTTGTGACATCGGCGGCCGAAATTCCGTAAAACATAGGCCGAGGTATCGCCTAAGAGGATGTTATTTGACCCATGTTTCCGTAGAAGACGGATTTCAAGATCTTTTAGACTGAACTCCACATCACGTGCCACAAAACTTCGAGCAGCTTTCTGTAAAAAAAAAAAAAAAATCAATCCATAAGTACATACAATACAATCATTACGAGAAGAAGCATCTGAGCGGAAGCTAATACCTAGCCGGGAGCACTGGCTGAAATCGCCTTGCCTTAAGAATTAATTATCAAATCCGCTAAACATCAATCCCTTTCCTGGTGATTTGCTGAGACCATCCCAACTCAGAGGGGGTCAGAGCAAAATACTGTTGAGATCTCAACCGCATAAGAAAGGCAAAATTCGTGATGCCGAAGGAGGCTGTGATAACAATCTGTAGATGTATGTACTAGCCGTAGGGTATGTAGCAGATAAATGATTGTGATAAAGTTCGTCCGAGAATGCTGTGATATTGAATCGTACTACGAAGCGAGGCTGTTTGGGACTACTGTGAGTTGCATCTGTTGAGGAGAGCCCCACTATGGAGGATAAGGGCTTTTAGTGCTACAAGGTTGAAATGCGGCCACGAACGTGCGCATTATTGTTCAGAGCTACATGTAACTAACGGTGCTGTTGCAAAGGTCTTGGCATCATTGACACCTCACTAGGCAAGTAATATCGTAAAAATCTTGTTACAAGACTCCAAGACGTATCTACACGAAACTCACATCGCACTATGATAACTAAGTGCAATTGTCAAGGGTCGGGGCTGATAAAGTGAAAAAAAATCTACCTGTTCATGTTTCCCCCGCCTTCGAGTTTTAGTAATTGTAGACACATAGGGTATGCCGCACCGGCCTGTAACTTATCTAATGTTTGAAAAGAGGCATGTAACTTCGACGATCAACACTGTACTCGAGGGGGATGCAGTACTGCCTTGGATCCCCAATAGTAGCAGTCCACATAAATTTTAGGAAAAAATAATTCGCTCGCCTAAGAAAAGGTGACGGTTGAGTTTACTGCGTCAGCTGCAATGCAACTGATCATACTCTACTCCTCTTCCCGGGCCCCTTGTAGGAAGTATCAGACATCTGTAGGTGGATAAACAATTTTTCTACCATTCTTTCAAAACAAAGAAACCAGTAGTAAATTGGGCTACTGAAGCACAGAAGATCATAGCACTAACAGGCCCAGGGAATGCATGATCCCTGACCGTCATCATCGAAATCGACGAGCTAGCGTTTCAATACAGACATCATGATCATCCCGGGCTTCCTGTAACTCTGATACACTTATTGCTTACTGTGCCTTCAAACCATGTCCAGTTATTGCCCCGTTACCAATTGTGTACTTGCCTAGGAATACCTAGGCATGCAAAGTAACTACATGTACCTACTCTACGCCCCCAGTCTCTTGTGGTTTGCCGTCCTTGCATGAGCCGGCCGGCTGTTCCATTGCCTATATGCTGTGCTTTGTACCAACTTATGATAATACGATAAAAAAAAAACGGCAGATATCACCAATGAGAGTTTATTCAAACCGGCGGAAATAGGCGGAAAGGGAATCAAACAAGTCTTGAGTTTTTTTGGAGTTATGAGTAATGGAAACCATGGCTCTCATTAATTCTCGCAGAACACACCCTCTTAGTTTTTGAAACCTGTTTCTCGCTTTTTTTCCCTTCTCTCTATTCTTTCCCTTCGGGTATTTCTCGATGGGTGTGTGTGATGCGCGTGTACGTGGTCGGAACGATAAGCTTTTTCTTTTTCTTTTGGCCAGTTCTTAGGACGAGAAAATCTGAGGCTCAAGCTTCCCGGGCGATAACGGGGTAACAAAAACAGTACCGCCGTGAGATCTCATCGCCAAAGAACAATAATAAGAAACTGGGCTAGGGAGAAAGAGAGAAAACGGCAGACGGAACTTATGCCGTACCGTGGGCTGTTTCAGCAGGCATTCAGAGGAGTGACACAACCGAAGAAACATGGTGACATGCGAAGTTTATCAGAATCCACCGAGCGGGCACGTGGACATCGCCATGGCAAGACAATTGAAATCAAAAGTGAAGAAAATTACATGTATCTACATGTAGTACTAAGACGGTACTTCCCAGGTGAATACATATCACTAAACATGCTCACTCGCATCGGACGAGAGAAAAAGAGCATCCCGACAGCTTTCGGATCTTGCAGTGATCAATCGATTTCGATTCCCTGACCTCAATCCCGTGTTGCTAGTTATACAGTAGATCTTGTCTTCCCGAAAACTAATAATAATAATAATAATAATAGCAGTAAGAAGGAAATTGTAGTAATGAAAACCTTGCTCGCTTGCTGAAAAACCACTCTCACAGAAACACCAACATAAACATAAACAAACCAAAATATAAACCAAACCGAAAAAGGCATTTGAACCAAGGATATAAGGCGAAAGCAAGAATAATTCGCTAATAATGATAATAAAGAAAGAAGCGAATGTATACCCCACCCAGTGATAATGAAAACCTCCAGAAACCATAAGAACAGACCCCAATATACCAGAAACCAAAAACCAGAAAGAGACCCATTGTTGACAACCTCTTCGCCGAAATTTTGTTTTTTCCCCAAGATCTTAGAATGTTACTCCATAAAATAAAGAAATGGAACGAAAGAAAAGAAAAAAAAAAGCCCCAGAAAACCCAGAGGAAACCATCCAAGAGCCATTATAAAGGAAAATCCGCCAAACCGTGACTTCACCCATTTTTTTTTTTGATAAGTTTTCTCCCATATCTTTTTTTGTGTCCTTTTTTTCTCCTTTACCCTTATTTTTCAAGTTTTTTTGATTTGATTTCTTCGCTTTCCATCTTGTCATCGCAGTAAAAGAGTATCGTCCATTTAAGTATTAGCCTGGTCCATCTCGTGTGTCGTTAAGATCTTCGGTCAGGGTATGATAGTCAAGGGTGCCACGCCCTCATTACCTGGCCCCAAGGCTCAATTTGGAGAGAAGTGAAAGCGTAACAAAAACAGATGCAAGGTGCCAAAGCGAATCAGATGAAGGCAAAAGGTAGAAAGGTAAAGAACATTTGGGTTTGAAGTGAGATATCCAAAAAGAAATTAGAAGTCCAAAACTTTGAGATGAGATATAAGATATAAAAACCAGAACCAAATAAATCAACCACTCTGGATACACCAGTGCCCAAAAACTCTGTAATCACAACCGTTGATATAAAATTCCTAAACACGCTAAATAAAGAAAATGCAAAACAAAAGAAAATGCCCAACGAATAGAGAATAGAGAATGTCACAGGAAACTTTGGAGCATGTGTGTTATACTTGATCCATGTCCAGTGATGGAAAAGATCTTATGAAAAGTGCTCGTGGAGCTCGTATCGTCATCAACTTCGTGAAAAGGACTTAAAGAGCTAAATGATGTGCGTCTTGGGGTCGATAGGATGGATATATATTGGGATCTTCGATTTTGTCGAAGGTCTCGAAGGAACGTTGGAGTATTTTGGCGAGTTCGTGGATTTAACGCAAATCGTTTTAGATGAACCCCCATCACCGATGGTCTAGTCTTCCTCATCTATACCCCCCAAAACATCATCATCGTCGCTCTCACTCGGCATATTGGGAAGAGACAATCTACCATTAACTGTTTTTGGCTTTTTTCCAGGAGTGCCAGACGACAAGCCTCCTGGAGCCTTCCTTTTCATCCCACCACTAGTTGGCGTCGTATTATTTCCAGTTCCAGCCCCCATAGGGTGGGGTTGCCGATTAGGTGTTCGGTTCACGTTGCTGTTCGGGTTCATTTTGTCCGCCTCTTTACCCTTCACTGCACCAGCTTGCACGTTGTTACTTCCAGCTCCCGCTCCAGCATTTACTTCCTCATCCTTCTTTCGTCTCTCCATTTCCGCAACTTCATCTGCAGTCAAGAATCTTCCACCAGGCCCTCTGGGCCGTCTCATTGCATGGTTATGCCGGGATTCATGCAGATATGGTTTTCGTTGCTTCGACGTTAACCTAAGAGCTTCTTCGAGCTTCTGACGAGCAACACGACGCTTCAGTATTCGGTGAAACTGCTTGGCATTAACATAAAGAGGTGATTCTTCCGCCGGCACAAGATCTGGAGACTGTTGGTGAGGTTGTACAGGCGGATGCATTGGTGATTGTTGCACCGGCTGTGTAGGAGCTGGGGGTTGTTGTTGAGGTGGTGGGGGTGGGGGAGCTTGCTGGGTTGCTGGCGGTTGCGGAGGAGCTGAGGTTCTTGTGTTATTTACTGGCTGGGCATGCTGCATAGGAGGAGTCCCAGCGGGAGCTTGATGTTGGCTCATCCTTCGCTGAGGTGCACCCATAGCCTGCTGTTGGGGCACTTGCTGATTCGGAGGTTGTATAGCTTGCTGAGGTCCAGCCTGGTTTGTAGCAGCTACAGCCATTTGTGGAGACCTGTTTTGTGTTCCTTCCCGCTTAACCTTCACTGCTGCGGCATTCATTCTGGGTGATTGTACACTCTGTGGGCCATTTCCCTTGAGATTCATCGCATCACTGGACATATAGTATGTTCCTGTATTTCCCAGGTAGTTTTGGTAATAAGGGTGTCCTTGGCCTTGAATTGGAGAATGTTGGTTTCCTGGCGGATGCATACTCGCGTTATTGTGATGAGATCCTCCCCCACCAATCCCACTACCAGTGTTCTGTGGCGAGTATGCTGCTGTAGCATGAAGATGTGATGGATGGGGTTGTGGAGTAAATCTAGCGTATGCTGCATCCATTTTGGAAGGTCTGAATGATGAAGCTCAAAATGCCTCTGAGTATTCTGTGGAAATATTGATGTCTCTTTGAGCTTCCACTCAGTGTTGATATCTTATTTTCTGATGTGACAACTGGATGTTGGCCGAACGATTAAAGTTTGAGGATAGTTGATATTCTGTGTGTGTCTCGTAAAGCCGTGAATTCCGTAGCAACGTAAGACGCGACGACGCGATATGTCGAATGTTATCTCAAAGACACCACGGTGGGCTCAGAGAAGAATGACTGGATGGGGTAAATGCGGAGAATCTGTCAGGAACGCAACCGTGCGGGAAGAGGCAGCAAGGTCTATAAGCTATAGTAGGCGGCAAGGTAGATAGAGCTTAACTGACAGGTTGTGAACTGATGAGTCTTAAGCTTGAGGCTTTCAAAAAATCCAGCGTGCAAGTAAGTACAACAATGACGGTTCGTCAACTAGTTGTCGCAAGTCAAGTGGCTGGCCGGTCCCAAGGTGCAGTAGTGGAGCTTCCCGTCACAAACTACGAAGAACGTGAACCCGGCTGTTGCCTTATTCGTGAACGTCAGAATACTATGTTCTGTAACAGGTTGTTGCCAGCGACTGTGCAAAATCTGCCGTAGAATGTCTCAATTCCAGACAAACCTTCGTTTGGGGTGGGTTTGTTATTTTTAATTTTTTTTTCCTTTCCTCGTTCCAAAAAATTGCAGAGCAAAGCACGTGTCTGTCTGTTGCGTTGGCCAAATATTTTGCGGAAAGAAAATTCGAAGGCCGCTGGTAGTGGTGGTGTTGGTGGGGTGTGTGTGCGTGGGTACTTCGTAATGGGATGGGGGGGCAACCTGCAGCTTGAGTGATGTGTTAGTGACTTGGAGCAAAGAGCGCGGGGGAGGCGTTAAAAGGGAAATCGTACTGAAGAGGCTGATCTTCTACCTAGCCAATTGATGAACAGATTCTGATGGCTGGCGTTGAGTGGTCTTCAAGCGAAAGTACCAGCAAGGAACTGTATGATGATACTGAGGTCGAGATGCCCGAGCGTTTCGCACACAATGTTTCTCCGTTCCAGTGAAAGACTGCTGGGGATAAAGGTACTTTGCAGAGAGTAGTAGTAACGCCTAAATTGTAGAAAAGTATGATGACGATGAAAGTTCCTGTGTCGGATTGGAGGACCTGGAATTGGACGGATTCTAGGGTGGAAGACTGCGTAGGAAGTAATAATGGGGAGTTATGATTAGCAACCGTTCTAGCTTGCGATGCGGCAGTGAGGATGCACGCTGATTGGGAGGGTGATGCGCTGGCAGTCGGTCTATGCAGTGCAGAACACGACACTACAACACTGCCGATCTCAACTAACTATCGAATTTTCAAGGGATATTTTATTGTAATTTTTTTTCTTTACCTTTTTCTTTTCTTCTTTTCAAACACTGCCCAGCTGGGGTGGTGAAAGTTAAGTTACGGCCCCGAAGATTTACAACCCTGGCGCGGATTGTTTTCGTCGTGCTTCTTCTGCTGCTTGATGACGGAACAGTTGGTACCGTACCGGTGTGTGGTGCTGTTGTCGATGCTGTTCCTGCTGCCGCTGATGCGACTGCTACTACTGCGACTACCTACTCACAGTTGCTGCTGCCTCCCACCAGGTACGGGTTTTTTCTTCTTCTTTCCTTAGTAGACTAGTGTGTGGTCTGTACCCTGAGTTCGAAAGAAGCCCACAAATAGACTCTGATAATTCGTCAGGGTGACAGTCAAAAGGGCGGATTCGGTAGCAGCAAAGTCAGCTGCTTTACCTGTGCAGCCAGTCAGAAGTCAGCAGCCGACCCTTTGAGCGCACACGGGTTCCCAGCCCTACGGAACAGACGCAGGACAGATAATCAGTCTAATCAGACGGTCAAAAAAATTCAGAGCAGTACAGCCTGAAGAATGAGATATGACGAAGGGTAACAGATTCTTGGGATTTCACCTTGCTATTTTTTGGGGAGCAGCAACAACCTTTTTTTTTTTTCCTTTCTCTCTAAAGGTGGGGGGGGGGGAGGGGCCAACTGAAATATGATTGGGCGCGAGAGGCTGGGATTCAACGAAGAAGTTCTGGAGATGGCAGCGGGGGTAGCAGGGCAAGGCCAAATAGGACTTTTTTTTTTTGGCTGGGCAGGGTTTGGGTTTGGAAATGAGATGGCACTTTGATTGGTAAAAACACTCAGCAACGCCCAGCGACGCACCGAAGCCTTAGAAGTGTGGAGGCAACACGCGAAAAATCGAAAAGGGGAAAGACTTGGGGTAAGTGTCTCAAGAAATGCATTCCGACCCACACTATCGGACAACCATAGCCGGTGTGGCAGATTATTTCCGCGCGCGAAAGGCTGCTGTGATGTGATGTGTTCGTTAGTCATCACGAGAATGGCGGTGGCTGGGTGCTTCGTGGGGCATCCCGATTGGTTGAATCCAGTTTCACTTCAAATGTGAAATATGTACCTACCTTCCCTGGGCGCAACGTGATGTCGTCCGCAGCATTTTGAATCAAGGAAAAACATAGAAAGTGACGACAAAAGGTACATCCTGTAACCTGGAGCTGTAGGGAAAAAGAAGCCTACATGCGTAGGAGAATGTAAGTACAAGGTACTCTACTCTAGTACTCTATTATGCCTAGTACATGTATGTATGTATGTAGGCAAAGTCTGATAATGCACAGCTCTATGCAAACTCAGATCATCTGTTGTCATTTCGCAAGGTGGTCTTGTAGGCTCTATCAAGAATTGGGCATGTAGTTCTGATATTCTAGTATTCTGCGATAATATCAGCTGGTTTCCAGACAGATATCTTTTCTTTCCTATCGATTTTCCCAGGCTTAATCAATGTGCTTGACGAGCCATCGCGACATTTGAGTCTCGATATCCACATCAATGTCTCTCCGGACACCGTCCGCGTCTCACCGTCCGCGTCTCACAGGGCCGAAGAATTGTTTTTTATCTCCATCTCCTCTTATGAACCCGATCTTCAATCCCTTACTCCGAGTCCTCCCGTGTCGGCCTAAAAGACTATCCCGCGGAGCCTCCGCCACCACGATCCCGGTCCCCAGAGGGGAAAAGCAAGCGTAGCCAGATATCACACTCAAGAATTCGATCCCATATAAAAGAATACGGCAAGGCGTTCGCAGGACGGGGCTTGAGATTATTAAGGGTTCGAACCATAGGCAGGGTACGGGCCGCTTGTTGACAATTGATATCTCATTGATATCGGATCAGGTAAAGCACGGACGAGAATGAGTCTGTTTTTGACGGCAGACGCGATGGGATGGGTCGTCGTGCTCACGCGGACGCATAACGCGGGAGCACGGGTTAGTCGCAGAAAATCTTCTCGCCAAATCCTTCGGGCGCTCTCATCTCATCTCATCTCGACTGATCTTCATTGCTTCATTTCGCTCCGAACCCTGCTTGGTCCCGACCACCATCGCTGTAAGCAACTACACGCAGGTGTCATAGTTCGTCCCCACCCCTCCTAATATCGTCACTTGTTTTGTCTGGCTGTTTTGGCTCTGGAGTTTTGCTCCGTTGATTTCTCTTGTTTTGTCTTGTCCTGTCGTCGTCCCTGGCCTATCCCTACTATGGATGGTCCTTCTAGTTCATCGACTCGCTTGTTCTAGATCCCCCATCCCTCGCAGCAACAGCACGTCACTTCAGGTACCAGGAACGAAACCACACATCAGATAGTTGCACATGCCAGCCATAGAAGAACATTCAGTAATCTCACGAGCCTAAGCCGCAAATAAAATTAAAAAAACACATAAATCGCAATAAAACGAAGAATATACCTCGAAACTGTCCAGGGATCCCAGGAGAAACAAATTGCGGGAAAGAGAAATAGAACAGAAAAGAAATTTTGGAAGCGCGCGCTGTTCACGTGGGCCCAGAGGTTTGAAACTACAAGTCCGACATCAACCGAAATGAGGTTTATGCGCAACACCTCGATAACCGATCTGCACGCCAACTTTATGTTCCTTTTGTTCGGTTTCAGTTGCTTACCCATAGCGCACGGACAATTAACTGAAAAATCCAAGAATAACAGGGGCGGTTCTGGATTTGCAGCAAGCGTCTACGGTAACCATTATGAGACCGATGAAGTTATGGATAGTGATTTTTACCAGGTTAAGCGAATAAACTTACCAACAGATTGGCAAATAACAAGCAGGGCACCCTTTCCACAAAAGGAAGCCTTCATGTCTGAGATTTACGAAAACTGCTTAGTTTGTGGTTGCAGGGATAGTAAGGCTGCTAACTAATACCGCACGGGGAACTTGGTGTTCGTGATGAACTCGCAACACGATGTCTTTCTTACAAACAGGGTATCACTGTTGTACCTTCGGGTTCCGGTGGCTTTCCTCCTTCCTCAACGGCTGGCGAACGTTGGTATTGGAATGGACACGATCTTGCATCTCCACTTGTTATTTATCGTTTCAAGATCTATACATGTGAGTTTCTACGATCATGTGTCCAAGAAACATTCTAATGCTTCTTATTTTCCGTACAGGTTCCCGAACGCAAAATTACCCGTGACAGGCCGGTTTGGTGCGATCGTGGGGGTCCTTCGTACCTCGTATTTTATTGAATTCGATTCATAATTACCATCGGAACAACAAACACTCGTAAATCGCTTGGCTGGTTAAACTCGGGCGACGGCTGTTACATGTTGACAGTTAATATCTGCAGATCGTGGTGGTAAGTTTCGTTAACTAACTCTGGTTCCGAACTTCCTGCATTCGCACATCTCATTTCCGGTAATTCCTAACTGCCGTATTGCATAGAACTGACTAACCTGTCAGAAGTTTCAACGGCAATATTCATCACGTGTTTTAGTCTGCATAATCTGAATGTGGCATATCGATACTCTAGTGTTCGGTTACGCATGCAAGCGGATCGGTCGCATTCCAAACCTCTGAGCTTAGATCTCTCACCTTGCTTTATTCACTAATCCGATAGTTGGCAGAGCGAAAATACCGGCTTCACGACAACTCTTCATATTCGCACGGCAACCTTTATGACAGATTCTTTACGGAATCACAAATATATAATCGGCCTAAGAATTAACAGTAGGTATCTATGGAAACACCCGTTATTGAAACTAAATTGAGAAAGATTCCATCATGCGACAACAAAAGAATAAACTTCCATATGTATTTTTTTCTGCAACCATACAGCCTAGGCTATAGGTCGCGCGCATGCACCTATCGCTTTCTGGGGTTTCTTAATTATAACTTGGAAAGCCACTGACCCGTCTGTGATACTCAATTGCTAGGCTGAGAAATAATCTCACCACTTTATCTTATTTTCAATAGGGAATTAACAGGGACGACTTACCAATTTTGAAAATGACACAAGCAAGAGGCTGACATGGTTTATCAAACGTCCAGTTATGTGTGACAGTAACTGTCCAAGCTAAGGTCGTTTTGTGATTGATTAGTTACCCGCCTGTACAGTACACAACGTCGGTTCCTTATTCTGATCAACTAATATTAGCTAACCTATTTGGGTCGATTATTTAGTTAAAATTATTTGGATTTTATGTAAGCAGGCGACATCTTCAGAATGCGATGCACCTCCGACCAAAATTTACTTACGCCACCGGGCCCACGATTATTTTCGAACCAAATTTCTGAATCACATAGAAATCTCCCCTTATCACCCTACTAACCAATAAAACTTTAATTAGAAAACTTTGAGTATTAAGCGGCATACAATGACTATCTGGTCGAGATTAGATTTTCATATCTTATTAGAGTTCAGCTTCTGAGAGTGGGCTCCAAACTTAGAAATTAAAATAAAAGTAATAGAAGGTCTGATTCGGTTCGGACCCTCTGACGGGGCCAAAAACAAAAGTCCGCGGAAGATGAAAACCCGGGGAAAACGGACCCCGATAACCAGGTCAGCTTGCTGTCAGGCAACAACATGTACTCAATGACTGTGTTTCTAGACGATGTCTTAATCAGTCAGATACCTGGAATTGGCATCTGACGATGCTGGGGTTCTATTACCGGTTTAGTGAGATTCTGCTTGCAGCCTCGAATCACGGTCGGCACTCTGGTTGTTCGCCGCAGGACAGGCTGAGTGATTAGCGCTGCAGCCCAATAAGGAATTTACGGGAGAAGGCAGAAGTGGGAAAAGTTGCCTCAGTAGTCTAGGGGCTATGTATGGTCTAAATTGCTACAGAAAGCTGGACCCCATCTCATCCATAGCCTTCGCGACCCACGCCGTTGGGTGCATATCCTAGCTCACTGATGCAAATGGTGCGAGACGCGTGTGCCCCTGCTTCTGCCTCATGACAGGAGGAAGGCACAGCAGAAGACATAGTGCGCGCCCTGGATACGTGGTTGATTGGCTATGGTGGAGATTGCCAAGATGGTGATCTCGGTCATGGATTATCACTCGATGATGATCTTGGTCACTAACGGCTTTGGGGCATGCCCTAGGCGTCTACAGCCTATAAAGAAGTGTTATAAATACTCATGAGCAGGTTTGTGAGAATATTGCGGTGTGAAGCGAGGTGATCGAATTATGATGATGGCGATGATGCTGTCGCCCTGTAGTGGTGTGAAGGCCTTGTGGATACGAGACACGTGAATACGCACACAAGCCATGAGTCCTCGAAAGCTTACTACTGAGATCTCAATGTACTCATATAGTATAGCACATGTTAAAAGCTTCCAGGCAGATCAGCCTGGATCACAGTCCATCACTCGCGCTAAATCCTCCCCAGGGCTGGAGCAGCGGTGAGACATTTCTCAACCGTAGCTCCACCGACCTTGCCATGGGAGAAGGTTTATCCGCGTTAATGTGCCTGCAGGAGACCTCCGGTTTCCGGCCGAGTCGGTGGCTGGTTTTGGTTTATGATATTAGGGAATTCACTCTCCAGCCAATCTGATTGGTGCTTTGCCTTTGCGCGCTCTCATTGGCCGGAATCTGGATACAAGTCTCGCGCCAAAAGCTGAGTTTCAAGGATTATTGACCGCAAAAGAATTAAAATGGATCTTATTTGCTTTGCAAAGGAGATCATGTGGCTATGACTATCCGTTAGTAGTTGATCTATGTATAGCCTATGATAGAAAAAACAGGAGAAAGCGCATAAAACAGTATCCCTTGGCTATCACTATAGCTTAATCTGATCTCCGTTATCGCACGCTATAGTAGTTTATTTACTCGGGATTGCGGTTATCGGCAACTATTGGCGGGATATTTCCTGTTTTCAGGTGTATATTCTCCACAATACTCTATGATGAGAACAGACCATTATCTTTGTTTCATGACATCTCACCTCTCGCCGTCAAAAATCCCTCATTGATCAAGCTATGATGGAAAATACTAATACATGGGTAGTATCAAACGCCTCATCTCACAATGTGCTTTCATTCATATCCTTCCAGCCAGCCAGCCAGCCAGCGCGTCCCGAAACTCCTCGCTGCGAAGACCGGGCCATAGTCAGGTGCATCTAGCTGGACAGAACCGGCGCGGTGGACCCGTTCCGTTGACTGTCCTGGGAATTGAACTAAATGGAAATATGGTGGCGCTTCTATGGACGATTGTCATCCATTTTTTTTTTTTTTTTTTTTGGAAACGGCGAAGGAATTCTGTTTTGGGATCGATAGACATTAGGTACTCTATCTATGGACCGATATTGTCCCTGCGCTTTTCTTCCAGGAACCCCCACCCATGATGGCGGTCATGTGGGGAGCATAATTGCACAACTAGAGCAGCGGTGATCAATTGCACTAGAGCGGCGAGGGCTAGCCGAAAGACGTTGGCTCTGTAGTACCCTAGACTTGCTTGTGCTTGTAAAACATGTTTCCAGGAAACTGATTTGCAATCTTGCATGTGCTATTATGTCTCAATGATTATTGATTCGATTTCTGGGTGTGGAGCACAAGCTCGATGCTCGTAAAACTACTCGGGAAATTGATAAGAAAATTACTCCCACATGGACCATTGCCTGAGAATTTTAATCTTTCCCCCCACCCCCAAAAAAATACTCCGCAATTAATAACTGCCAATTTCTAAATTATATCGATGATTGCATGTATGTCAGGGACTAGAGACCGTCAGATAGCTTGGGACGTCATCCATCTTTTTACTACAATGCATTGAAAGGATATCCCGAGAAGAAATGATGTCTTCATGGATTAAGCCTGCAGTGATGGTTTCGGAACGCTCCATCGAGTATCCTCTCCCAGTCGGCTGACTGCTAGGCGTTGGAAAAGGAAAAGAGAAGGAAAAAAGCATTCGTACGTACATAAGCACGTACCCGGTATATCGATCCCACAAGCGCCAGCTTCTATCATTGCATATGTAGGGAGTTGGGTTGCATGGAGGTTCGAATTGTTGCCGGTCCGCGAACATATGTGCAACGATTCTCAAATTGTAATAACCTTCAAAGAAATCGGAAGTATCGCTTCGACGGATGAAAAATATAGACACGTATACAGACTATAAGCTGCTGTCTCTCCTGGGAATTACCATCGGGTATGGAAATATTGCATCGTGATAAAAAGCTACATGCAGTGCATGTTTCGGATCGAGTGATAGCATATGATGTTGTCACCCACGCAACCCCCTCAGCACGGCACAACTTAACTCTCTAACAAGCTTGAAACCTTAGCATACTGCAGAGGTCGGTTAAGACTTTCAAAGCGGATCTAGGCTAGTGGTGTTGGGAGCTTTTTGAACCGCACACCACAAGCCACAGTAATTACTTTTTGGACAAGTTAAAATCTCGTGTGCAAGGCCAGCAAGCAGGATTCGTGTTTCATGAAGCTGCACTCGGACTCCGCACACGTGGAAGAGCTGGGTACAAAAATAGTTCAGACTAGGTAGTTCAGTACACAACTAGAGTGAATGTAGGCATAGTAGCTGAAATGACATAGTATCGCGAGTAGTTGACTGCTCGTTTATCATGCAAATATCTAATACTTCACTGGCCAAGACTCCAAGGATAAGTTTGAGCTCATGAGCTCGAATAGTGAACTGAGTGCTGATTGGGTGCATTTTCGGCGGACTCCGAGGAGTCAGTTCTGCGCATATCGCAGCTTTGATATAGCATTTGAGCAGATGTTTTCTTCCGTTAGCTAGAGGTAGTGACCGGTATTGATGGCTGTCATGATAAGATAATAAAAACTTTAATTTCAAAACCCGAACATCTAAATCCGGTAGGCATTCGGAGAAGCTAAGAAGAAAAAAAAGAATGGTGGGTTTCATGACCCTGTATAGTGTGAGTGATGATCCGTGAACTTATCAACCCGATTTGATCGAACTAGCTATAAAGCTCCATTGAATATAGATTAATTCTACTAGTAACATGACAATAATAATAATGATGATGATGACGATGATGATGATGATGATGATGATCGATGATGGTGATAGTAATGGTGATTATGGTGATGATGATGAATACTAAGTGTAATTATTGGACAGTACACTACTATACAAACCATTGGTTGCCTATTCAAAATATCATGCACAGCCAAGATCGATGAATACATTTAGGTATGTAGTTATGTGCAGTTAATCTATTTCTCTGCACACTAGAGAGAAATCAATTATAGAAAAAGCAAATCATACATCGTGTTGGGCTACGAAACTCAATGCGTTTATGGGTATATTGGAATTTTCTTGAAATCAAAAGAAAAATCCTGTCAACTATTAGTGGCATTTATGGAATTCATATGCAAATGCAAAGCCCCGTACTAATGCGTACACCCCCTCCTTAGGCATATTTTCAAAACACTATGATTTCGTTATCACCTGCATCAATCCATGTGGCGTTTCGCGAGTTTCTGGAGCTCATGACAAATAATGCGCACCATAGCTAAAGGATGCAAGTTCACGATCAGTAATCCAGACTCGAATGATACTTAGTAGGGTAATGGGATATGCAAGTTAACCATGACTTACATGCTCCGCCATGCCACCATGGCAATATACCTTCACCACATCTCCAGTCCCCTCATCCAAGAACGCATTGACAGGTCCCAGCCTTCCATGCTCCACATTATCCTTCAATATGTTCCAGAAATTAATCTTCTTATTGGGGCTCTCCCAGGTGTTCATATCGACCCTCCAATGACCTCTCTCCCACGTCCGTAGCTCCCTAGTTTGGCTCCGCTTGAGCTTCTGATATTTCCCAACTAGAAGGTCTCCTACATCTGTCATCTCTCGCAATTGCGGAGTTATGAGCACTGGTGAAGAGTTTGTGTCCGGGGGAGGGGAGATTAACTCGTAGGCCCCATCAGTGGCGAGAAGTGTCCTTAGGGGATGTGATTCCGGATTATTGTTTTGGACCGAGGGTGAGGCAAAATTGGAATGCAAGGAGCTTAAGGAGTAGTCTGAGACTGCTAATGAGGACTCATGGCGTGGGGACAGTGGGGTAAGTGTGCTTGTGGTTGGAGGTTGGTTGTAGCAGAATGAAACACCTGGAAGTGCCGGGAAAACCGTTGCCTCTGTCTCATCGGTATATGCCCCTTCAGCACGAGCTGCAGGTACAGCGAATGGATCACTGGGCATCGGGGGTTGTGAGTCTGGGATACTGGCAGGTGGTGACTCCCATGAATCGAAGCGGGAGGTGGCATAGCTACTGTCGGATTCAACTCCATCCTCGTCTAGACTTAGAAGCCTGTGAGATTCCACCGAGCTTGGGTTTTGAGCTACATCCTCCGGAGTACTAGTTGGTGGCAGAGGAGGTATTCCTCCTCTGTAATCAATGAGGGGTGATAATAGGCGAGGTATCACATATTGTTCATCTGCAGTAGCTGTAACAGATTCAGAAAAAAAGCTCCAATTTGTTATCTGTAGGCATTGAAGTAGATAATACATTCCACACTATGTTCTAATAATATTTCATAAGAATCCCCAGCTACAGCCGTGGATACACTCTCAGAAGAGGACGGCTCTTCGCCATGTTTCTTTAACGCCCTCAACTCTCTCTGTACCTGGTCCCCCTTCTTAGGAAAGGTAAGACTAGTGATATGCGTTCTCTTCTCTGGCATAAAGCTGAGGATTGACAATGCTTGTGCTCTGATTTTGTCATCTTCACTTTTGGAAGTTGGTGCCGCCGAATGGACGAGGATTTCGATGTGTGTTTCGGACATTTTTGTTCATGGGGAAGTGCATGTTCAGGATGGAGGAAACTGTTCAGCGAGAATGTTGGTGTCGTACGTCGCTTAGTACAGAGGATCGAACAGCGAGGTTGAGGACGTGGTCGGCTTGGCGACAGCACATGGCCTTGTGGTATGTAGGTACAGGACCGGTACTCTACATACATGTAGGTACATACCTACATGTGAAGTATGCAGGTATATACATGTATACTTATGAGTACATGTACATCTAGTACATAATAAATGTATATATATGTAATCTACGCTATGTAGGTACATGTGGGTACATGCTCAAGAGCGGAGTACTCTATAGCTAGTTATTCGAGTAGGCCAAACTACATGTATGTACATAGCCATTAAGCCTGCGTGCAAACTTTTGGGGTTCAATTTTCTATGAAACGTAGGTACATGTACATGTGGTTGGGGCTTTATAATTTATCAAGTACATGTAAGTACATGTACTTATGTATTACTTAAGTAAATTAACTGTAGTATTAGGTGATATCATACTATACCTACATGTACTTAGTATTGGTTACGATATTGATACGTAGATCTTGTTAGGACATATCATAAAACGCATAAACTCTATTACTATGCGAGTAGGCTAAAACTGGTAAGGGTTAATCAACGTTCGATCTTAGTTTCAGCGTATTTATGGTAAAAACGATCTAGATCAGATCTGATCTAGATGTGAAATTTGTGTAAAACTGGTTTTTTTCTTCTCTTTCTACCTACCTACTCTACTGTCCTGTGTTGATGCCACCTGTTTGGCTAGGTCTCTATAAGCTGGTGAGTTTAGAACAATTCTAAAGATCGCAACTTTGATACTGATCCAAGTATTAATCAACCCAAGATTACTGATGGGAAATTAATGATATTACGTATCAAAGCGGTCAGTTATTAACTACTTGTACATACATGTACTTAGAGCCTGTTCGGTTGACACAAAAATCCATAGATTGGACTCAATAAAGTAATTACCTCCAGAGATTTTTTTTATTCAATCCATGGATTGCAACCAATTCAGTGTCAACCGAACAGGCCCATATTTATGTATGTAAATACCTACATGTATGTAACTACTCTAGTAACTCCGGCCCAGATCGGAATGGCGTTTCAATCTCACCCACAGGCCTGGATTTCGGTGGTAACACCTGTCAACGGGCATATTGGCCATGGCTTTACCCCTGGGTACGATGGATACCTTGCGCCTCTACCCTACCGGAATTCCGGCATCTTATAGAAGCCGGAATTTCTAGGATGCCTTCAGATTGAGGCGGTAGATTGTTTCTCAAGATCCTTGTCGCTCTGTTGGAACACCGTTTTCCACGTGCGCGCTTCCCCGAAGAGCGACTTGGGATTATGCTTGTATTTGCATTAATAATTAAAATAGCTGTACGCCTATATTGTAACCCTGTTTCTCCCAGGGAGCCTCTTGAATACAGTCGCACCTCGCTATCTCGTAATTCGATATCTCTGATCTCTTGCTGTCTCGTACGGATTTGCGGGTTAGGTACTGCCCTTCTCCACCAAAAACTATTTGCTGTCTCGTATATTTGCTATCTCGTAGGGGTTTGGCTCCCAGCATACGCTAACGACATAACGAGGTGCGACTGTATATGTAGCCGCTAAAGGACTGTATAGGAAGTAGGTCAGTTGTGATTTCCTACCCTTATTATTCAAGACGGCTGATCAAATACCCTATGAATATATCACTAGGTCAAATTGTCTGTGAGTGCTGTGTTGGGCTAGATAAGTCCCATGGTAGGTATTATTTCCTTGAGTGATAGTCACAATTTAAATCTAACGAGTGATATATTGTGATTCAATGCACAGCCTTTTTTAGGGCATGATAGTTTTTGTTGTTCTCAAGTGTTTCTGTTTCTTAGAATATTATTAATCTAGTTATAATACTCAGTGGAATATATGCATTGACTACCGTCTAATCTGAGAGTTTTATTTTTTGAGATAAATGTCTTTCGGGCCTTCTCGAGCGTTTTGCTTTCAGTATCGCAATTTTCCGCATGAATAAGTAGGAAGAGCTTGCATATGCAAAAGGGTGAGAACGAATTTATCTACTTCATTAGACCAGTCTAGGCAAGCAATTGGTCAGCTCAGGATTACTGGGTGTATACTCGGGGTAGTAAAGCATAAACAGCAGCCCTGTTTTGTCTCAAGCCTAAAACTTCTGTGTCTGGACAAATCTAGACACTACACCAGTCATGGGGATGTTTTGGTGGCCAGTTTGTATCGGGCTCGGTGTTTCTAACGGTTCCATATTTAATAAAGTCTCGATCATACTTAAGAATGCATATTGAGCTAGTACAGATGAGTATCGTATCCCCAGGAAACACTCAGTAAATATTGCCTTATCATATTGTCAACCAAGCGTTTGAAAATGGTGTGCTAGGCATTGGCCCAACACCTCATGTGATGATCGCGATTTTCTCCTCGAGCCATAATAGCACCCCACGACCCGACCGTCCACCGTCTGGGGCATCGCACAAACCTAACCTAGCAGTCCCCGGTTCTTGTTGTGCTCTCATGTATGAGCGGGCTGGTAAAGTACGGGCCATTTTGTTTCAAACAAGGTGGTCTGATCTTTGGACAAATGGTTTCTCTGCGATTAACGCCGTAGATGACACGGTCTGTCGGACGTCCGCATCGGATTGGATTGGATTGTAATCCTAGGTGTGATAGCGCAGCGAATGAGAAACGAACAGCCAAGCAATCAGGTAAAGAAAATCTATCGGTCCACCTCTTCAGCCAATGATATACCAGCCAACTGCGATCGAGCCTTCCCCTCGCTTCAGATTCTTATCAACATCGACATAAAAGCAGCTCTCGGACCGGAGCTTCCTGCTTTATTCGAGTTAATTATGCAAATCACACATGCTGAAAACGAACGTTCTACTCCAATATACCGGCCGGGATCTTCTCCGATATTCATTGTAAACGTAAAAAGAATGATGGCACATTCCCTGCCGTAATTTGACCAGCCTCTAAGTTTCAAAGAGATAATGCGTTAAAGATTCGTGAACCCCCACCTTTGCTCTATTATCCAAAAGGTGATTTAGTAGGCTATGCATATATGCCACAGTTCCCAGTCAATATGTGATATAATCCTTGAAAAGGTCAGCTGAGACGATCTGCGGGAGAGGATTCTGCAAGATGGCTGCGGGGCCTTGGGAAAAAGTGAAACGAAACAGCAGGAGACATGAAATGTGAGCAATAATCTTTCCCCATCTGTGCTCTTCGGCAGCCGGCTCTTGACTAGATCGAGATTGACCGTTATTCCCTTTTCCCGAGTGATTACCACGCCATTAACCTTTTATTTGATCATTGACCAATCACCAAACCAGCCTGTGTGTAGATGTATTCCTGTGGATTCTTGCTAAACAATCAAAGGTAATTCTAGAAAGGTAAAAACTAACCTCAACAAATATGATGATTGAGTGGCCCCCACAAGACTGACCTAAACAAGCATGATGAATGAGCTTGTCTCATAAGTTAGTGAGTAGGACTAAGCTCAGGCCTTTCGAACCTTTATTGTATAAAACTGCCAAGACATACCTACGAGTGATTTTGAGTGACTTGAAGAAGATTCGTTGATGAGGACGCTCATAGTCTGGTTAGTTTAATTTCTAGACGACTCACCACGTTCTGTGACTCCTCCAATGGGTCCATTCCCTAGCTGAAGATACAGGGAAGGAAACTCTCATCCATGACTCGAAGGTAAAACTCTATGGGGGCGGGGAGAGGTTCCTGAACACTGGCTTCTGATATGAGCCAGTACTACTACTAACATTACTAACCATTGGCAAGCCCTTCAAGCAAGCCATTTTATAGAAAGTTTAATCTCACATGTTGAAAGATGTTATCCCGCAGAACCCGCTCGTCTTATGGAAAACATCATTTATCATATCCGAAAGTTGGTAGTAAAGAGCGAGCATCATTTCTGGAAAGCCAATTGCTAAAGGGAATTTGTTTAATTCACTACTTCCCATCAAAAAGTACTTTTTTATAGTGCTTCATTTCCGCAATACTCTCAAGAATGTCCATCCTCGCTTCATGGGTTTCCTTCTTTGGCGGAACATTTCTCAGGGTTTCGTCTGAACACCACATGCGCACAGCCTCCTTCACCGTGGAGACATCTAGAAGTCGGTAGTGCAAGTGGTCGATTATCGATGGGAATTGTCGGTTCAGGAAAGCCCTGTCAGTATGAATAGAGTTTCCGGCCAGAATTGCTACCTTCGGAGTCGGAACATATTTTTGTATATATGCGAGTAGCTGTGAGGTGGCAGCTCCAATAGTGGTTGTGGAATTCAAAACGCGGTTGGTTAGACCAGTCTAAGTTCTTATCATTAGATTTCAAAGAGGAATATCAGAGTGGAGTATTAAGAGCGATTACAGAGGCATGAGTCCGCTGGCACCATTCTCCCATCTTGTCAAGTACAGGTTTTTCGTAATGTATGACGGTCTCAAATCCCCCATTGTCAAGAAGATTTAGTTCAAAATCCGTGATATAGCAACATATTTGCAGTATAACGTCATTTCCGTCATCAAGCCCGGTCATCTATAGCCAAAGGTAAGTTTCGAACTTAGTGTTTGTGGGCTGTTGGGTGGGCTCAGTACCTCACAATCTATCCACACTATCGGAGCAGTTGAGCGATTAAGCATCTTCGGTGATTGATACAAATGATGTTTAAATGTCGTTGTAAAATAGCTCGGTCCTGAGATGCGACTGATGAAATGGCCTACAGGGCGTTGGTGGAACCAGAAAACCATCAATATATGTATCGTTGTAATGTAATGGGTGAGGCTTGAGCACACCTCTGTCTCAGATCTCCCAAACTTAAATCAGAATAAAACCCTAGCCCTGATCCTTTCATCCATCAATTCATCCACCAATGGTGGCACAGTATTCCGATTACATAAGTGTGCGACTTGAAATGTTTTGACCTATTCTCAAAGTTGCTGTGCCCCTCCTCCTCCTTTGGCTCTCTCATAACCTGGTTGTCTAGACGTCATTGTGACAAAAAAAGAAACCCCGTCGCATTGGCTTCCCTTCGTTCCATCCTTCTGCGAAGGAATTCATACCCTTCCCTCCTTTTACGACGGACCCTAGGGAGACTATTCTCTGCCACAGCTGTTGTAAAGATGAAGGTTCAATGCCAGATTATCACCACCCCAGCCGATGATTCTCCGGGAACCACTCTGTTACTCCATTTCGACCAACAACGTTATATGATTGGTCAAATCGGTGAAGGTGCACAGCGAGCATTTATCGCACGAAGCGCACGGCTCAAGAAAATATCGAATATTTTTCTCACCGGGCGAACACAATGGCAGAATACCGGCGGGCTCATCGGATTTCTCTTGACTTTGGGAGATAAGGAGGAAGGGAAGACTTTGGATGCAGCGAGGCTGGGCAAGCCAAACATTGCAGCAAGCTCGGGGGTTACTGTTCATGGTGGCGAGAACTTAATGCACACACTTGCTACCGCTCGACCTTTCGTTTTCAGGAAAGCCATGAAACTGAAAGTTCGGGAAATTCCACAGCAATCTGAAAAACTATTACCTGCGAGAACGCCATACTATGGCGATGAAAATTTGACGGTTCATGCTATGCATATCTTTCCTGATGGCCATAAAAAGTTGGTAGTTGTTGGAGTAGGATCGGAGAAATCCTCAGAAGAAAGTAGTCCAAGCGACGATGAGACTAAAAGGAAGCGTTCTTTTGAAGATTTTTCGGGCAAAGAAAGTGTACAGAAAGCTCAAAACCGAAAGTCAATCCTTCAAGGTGTGGTTGAGAACATGTTTTGTTCTGACTGGACCATGGATACCATGATGGAAGATTCTGCGCCTGTCAACGAAAACGATATGATGAGAAATTCGGCCAGTGGAGACTCAAAGAGGCAGCGCAGCTCTCCGCCGACCAATGATGCTTTCACGACCCAGGAACATGACTTTCAACTTTCCACCAGGCCTCCGCCACCAGGAAAAACCAGAGCTCCATGGCCAGCATCAACTGTGACACATCTCCCACGCTCCAAACCTTCTGAAATTTCATTATCTTATTTGTTTACCCTTCGCCCCGTCCGTGGAAAATTCTTGCCCAAAAAAGCCATCTCTCTCGGTGTAAAACCCGGTCCAGATTTCTCTAAAATCTGTAACGGCGAATCAATTGTTGTCGCCGATGGCAAGATTGTTAGACCGGAAGACGTAATGGAACCAACTAAACCAGGTACTGGATTTGCTGTCTGCGACCTGCCCGATCCAGCATATATCAATGATTTCCTAGCGCGAGATGAATGGAGGGATATAGAAAGACTCAAAGTAGAAGTTGAATGTTTTTTCTGGATCCTGGGTAAAGGAGTCATAAAAGATCAGAACTTAAGGAAGTTTATGAAAAATATGGCACACGCCCGGCATGTGGTCAGCTCTCCAGATGTTTGCCCAAATACCATCTTTTACCAGGGGGCTGCAGGCGCTGCGACAAAGCTTAATATGATGGATGAGAGCTTTTTCCCTATACCTCTTTCGAGCAATAAGGCATCGATTGAAGATTTAGAGGGGATTGAGCCTGCATTGCCAGGGCTTGTTTGGCAACTGGAACCAAAACGGGAGCTACTGAAGGCCGGTGTTATGGAATTTTTCGACGTGGAGAAGGCTGTGGAGGACACAGAGCCTGATTATGTCCAGTTGGCCAAAACGGTCAAAACCCAAACCTTGGGAAATACAGCAGAAACGTTTAAGGAGACTCCGTGGAAAGATGTGGAGATCATCACTCTTGGTACTGGATCCGCAAGTCCCAGTGGATATCGGAACGTGTCAGCGACCCTTGTAAGGGTACCTGATGCTGGAAGCGTTCTCTTTGATTGTGGTGAGAGTACGGTTGGACAACTAAGGAGGCTATATACATCAACAGAGTTAGCTGGGGTGTTAAAAGACTTGAAGGCGATCTACATCTCACATCTACATGCGGACCATCATCTTGGTACCACTGCTGTGCTGAAAGCTTGGTATAACGAAGTTCACCTCAAGAACGAGGAAGTTATTGGAGATGGAATCATGAATGTTGTGGCCCCGTGGAAATTTCTAGTCTGGTTAAAGGAATACGCAGATGTCGAAGAGTTTGGGTTCTCAAAGATTCGCTTCGTAGCCTGTGGGGATATCCCATTGAGAGCAAGAGAGCAGGCAAGAGATCGCTCAATCATCACTAGCATCAACAAGCTCCCTGATGTTCTCAACTCCATGTCGCTAAAGGATATTCAAACTTCACCTGCTGTCCACTGTCAAGGTTCTTTTGTAACGGCTTGGACATGGAAAAACGGGTTTAAACTCGCATATTCTGGTGACACTCGGCCCACGTCTGGCTTTGTCAAGATCGGAAAAGACGCCACAGTACTTTTACATGAAGCTACGTTCGATGATGAATTACAGGCCGAAGCAATCGCGAAGAAACACTCGACGACATCTGAAGCTTTGAGGGCAGGGATGGATATGGGTGCAAAGGGGGTCATCCTGACACATTTCAGCCAAAGATACCCAAAGTTGCCAGTTTTCTCAACTAAGGGGGATGGAAATGGGATGGACATTGTCCTTGCGTTTGATCTATGTAGGATTCGCGTGGGTGATATGGGGAGGTTTGCAGGGTTTTTTCCGGCATTAAGAGAACTCTACAGATACGATGACGATGTGGTGGCAAATCTTGATGAAGAGGAAGAGGAAGAGATCAAGGTCGAGGTGGGAGCGCAAAAGAAGAAGCCAATGAAAGAGAAAAAATGAAAGAGATGGAAGAGATGAAAGAGATGAAAGAAATGAAAGAGATGAAAGAGATGAAAGAGATGAAAGAGATGAAAGAGATGGAAGAGATGGAAGAGAAAGAAAAGGTATAGATTCCTGCTTAAACTGTCAAAAATAAAGCCAAAAACTCTGTAACTATCAACTTATTTAATGAAGACATTGCAGTTAAAAGTGAGAAATACACAATTTTGGTGTCAAAATCAATGGCCCGCTTAGGAGCGGTCCAAAACAGAGCTTTTGTGGTCAAAGACTGGTACGAATATAACTCCATTTCGAGAATTATCTTGTACCCAGCCTTCTTCTGATTGTATAAACATCGGGTGTGTCATACATAAGAAATCTGTTGTAAAACGCCTAGGTGAGATCTGGGTGAGATCTGGATGGCATGATAATTTCCCCTGGTTCCGCTACATTAATCTGATCTGTCAACTCATTATTGAAAAGTTTGCAAGAGCGTTTAGTGTCCTGATTGAAATAATATAGGGTTCGTGGTTTTATCATCTCATGCGGATTATAAGAGAAAATTATAAAATGATAAAATTTACTTTACTATCTACTTCCGGTGAAGTTTAGAATTTATATCAGACTTTTGGGAAACTCGGGCAATACTCGGCTGAGTAGAGTAGTTTGTTTTCTGCACACCTAATATTCAATATTTAGATCATAATATTCCGGAAATTAGCTGTTTTCAGTAGCCTGGCGAGGCCCCGAGGAATTTGATATCGATGCTGACATACAGGTCTTTTAATTCTAGACTTCTTATAGAGAATTCTAAAACGCTGTGAGATACGAACCCGTACCATGGCCAAGACATGAAGTCTGGGCACGAGAAATGTCGATAGTTTTGAGAAATCGAGTTGCGTCTGGCATGCCATCTTACATGTCTAGGAACGTTAACTTGCTGTCCGTTTACAGACACTAATGGAGGTTTTAGTAGTTTTTGGTATGCACTCCCCCTCGAATGGGCCCTAAAGGTATCCCCACCGCATCTGAGAGTATTTGTCAACGCATCTGCAGTGTTATCCGAGTCATAGCTGGTGAAGGAAGAGCCACAGTGGCTGATGATGATATGTGGCACATGCACGTGGCTTCACTTCGCAAGCTTCACCTTCTGGGACCTTGGACCGCCGACCGCGACAACTCCTGAAGATCGGTCACCACCTCTCTACTTCAACTTCAACTTACCGTCCGCTCAACGAAATTTCACTCGCCCTCCTTCACAAATCAAATACTCATACCTTCGCTTTTGTACCAATTTAATTCACGATTTCCCTAACATCTCGGTAACTATGGCAGCAGCAGGAGCAGGCTCGTACTCAAACCCGTTGAAGAAGTTCAAGTACGGCACCTTCCTTGACTCCTATTCTGCCATATCTTATTGCGTCGGGAATTGCTAATAACATTTGCGCAGGTTGGTGTTTTTAGGAGAGCAGTCGGGTACTGAATTAACCAAAGAGCTATCACGAGAGTGGCAGGCTATAAATGCTGAGAACAGTTTGCTAATACAACTCGGAATATAGTTGGAAAGACATCATTGATTACTCGGTTTATGTACGACTCGTTTGACAACATGTACCAGGCCACCATCGGGATAGACTTTCTTTCAAAGGTGGGGCAACATTTACCTCCCTTGAAATGCCTCTGTTTTTATTCTTGGAGAAAGTGAGACTAATGAGAAGGTGGTGTGACAGACAATGTACCTTGAAGATCGAACAGTGCGGTTACAGCTTTGGGATACTGCTGGACAGGAGCGATTCCGATCCCTGATTCCTTCCTACATCCGGGACTCTAGTGTTGCAGTTGTGGTGTACGATATCACGAGTACTGTCTTCCCCAACCCCCCCCCTGATTCTGAATGCTGACTCCCCGCAGACCGTGCCTCTTTCATCAATACCTCTAAATGGGTCGATGATGTTCGTGGTGAACGCGGTAATGACGTTATCATCGTCCTTGTCGGTAATAAGACAGATTTGAACGATAAGCGCCAAGTCACTACAGAGGAGGGTGAGAAGAAAGCCAAGGAGTTTAAAGTTATGTTTATCGAGACTAGTGCGAAAGCCGGGCACAACGTCAAGACTCTTTTCAGGAGAATTGCACAGGCATTACCGGGTATGGAGGGCAGCGTTGGTGGTGAACAGGATAATGGGGGTAAGCGTTGTGTCTCAAAGATATGCGAATTCTATGTTACTAACGAAGTAAGTAATGATCAACATCGACATGAAGGGTGCCGAAGCTGGAAACCAGGATAGCCAGTGCAATTGCTGATATGGAGGATCATAAACACGCTTTTTACGGTAACGAGGATACAGATTTCGATAATGATTACGATAATAAATATACAGTTGGTAGTGTATTTTTCGGGGAGCGTGGTTTTGGGGGGGGGGGGGGGGCGGCGCAGGAATTCAAAGGGGGAAGTTCTCAAGAAATCGGTGTTTCTTTTCATGATATTTTCCCTTGACTCTTTATTTCTATGTTCGGATTTTTACTTATCTTAGCTTTGTTTTTTCTGTTGTCTCGCCGATGATGTGAACTGAAAGAACACCCTTGCGAGTCCCTTTATTCCCGATAAATCGTTTGCTGGTTTGTATGCTTTAAGGGGCGGTTACTTGTGCTTTTGATGTACCCGGAAGGTTTATTGTTGATATCGAACAAATAAACTGAGGGGCCAATATTTTGAGAGCTCAACTCGATATATGAGTTTGTGCTATTGGTATTGATATCGGGAACTCGATTAGTATAGACGTGGATGAATAACAATGATAAACGCAAAATACTAAGGCTTCTACTGAGGTTTATAGAACCACATGTATTTATCCGGGTGTTCATGGTACTATCATGCTGAGACCACTCGTCAAGTGACATCCAGCATGTCTTGGTATATATGTGAATTTATGAAGCTACATGTACTGGTGTTATATAAGATTACCCTTCGAGGCCCGTCCAATGAGGACTCGAAGCTCCCAACGGGTTTTAAGCCGGGTTTTAATTTGAGCAAAAATAGCTAACTGCATATAGTGGGAGGTTTTGTTTACTATTAAAAGATAAATTGCCCCGCTAACGCCGATATATATTGAAATATAAAACACAAAAAATCAAAGTAGTTAAAATTCCATTAGTTGTTGGTATTGAATCTTTTATATCATACAATTAGCATTTACTCTCAATCATGCTTGAAGTGGGACTCACCTATAGCCACATTCACACCGGTAAAATACCGTAGCACCTTCATCCGCACTTCGGAGTTGTAGCGTATAGAACCACATCTTCTCCCTCCCACATTCGGGGCAGGTCTGTTTGATCTCTGCTTCTGTCTGCATATCTTCTGCAGCCAAACTTTGAACCGCACTCTTCTTCAACCGGAGCGCTGACGGGAATGCAGAAAGTGCAGACTGAGTTGTAACTGTCTTGTTACCGGGGTCTGTAGAACTTTAATTAGAGCCTGATGAGGTAAGAATCGAATGAGTGGGAGTAGACCTTTGGTGACGGTGCCGCACATTTCGCATTCGAGCCTGTCAGTACCGGCGACGGAGTCGAGGAGATTACCGCAGTCGCTGCAGAACACTAGGGTTCCGACGGTAGACATTTTTTGAGTTGTCGGTTAAACAGTGTTGAGTTATAGAGGGCGGAATTATGTAGAGACAGAGCTTCACGAAAATCCAATTGAGGCTCTGTTTGGGTTTTTTTTCTTACAGGGAACGGTGGGGTGTGAGGAGGGTAACTCTATGTGAAGACTTGGCGTTAAAGTGAAGTTTTCAGGAACGTGAAACATACAGTTTGTGGGTTCCTGCAGAAGGGGGTCATAACTGATTGGATTAGGCAATGGTAACGACGAAGATCAAATCATCTTACTACATGTAGAATCCCAACCTACGTGTAGGGACGTGTACGTACAGTCGCACCTCGCTATAATGAACGTGCATATCCGGGCCTATTTTAATACAAGGCTCTGGCATTTAGTGAGTGAACGGATCCTCACCTGTCAACACCCATTTAGTTCGCTCACTTAATGCCAGAGCCTTGTACCTACAACAAATTTTGCAAATAAGGGTTAGGGTTTTCTTCCCATGGTTTCCCATTAGTTTTCCGATAGCGGCTGAGTTGTTTCTTTTGGAGAGTCTATTAGATATTGATTAAAAAGGTTGAATAAACAGGCAAACACCTCGTTAATCACCAGCGATTGAAAGAAAGTTGGGTGATAATTCCTTATAGCAGATTCTAGGCTCGTCCCCAGCCCCCCTGCTTACATCCTTCCAGTGTGAGCAGCTTGCTGCTAAGTAGGATGGGTACGAGACTAAGCAGATTAAGTTTGTATGGGAACAGGGGTGTGACAGGGCATTCTCATCCACTACACTAAATCCGATTTTTTCCTTATAGAGGTATTTTTGGTGGGGAGAAAACAATCCCCAAATCCCGTTCCTTATAGCAGATATTCCTTACGCCGGGGTTCCTTACGGCAAGGCGCGACTGTACGTAAGTATATATATCTACAAGTAGCTGCTATAGCGTGCGTATATGTATATATAAAAAATTATTTTCTGTGTCTAGCAACAACATGTATCCGAATCCCTCGACCCGTAACAATTTAGACAGAGGGAGAAATGGAGAAGTTGCCAGTACCTGAAAGGTATTGATGTTCTCTAGCTTTGTATCCAACACGGTCACAAGAAAAAAAAGTACCGCGGGTTATTAGATAGCGAGAGGTTCATCCGTTTACAAAAAAATCACCGAAGTACAGTAAAAATCATAAATACAGTAAGAACAGAAAAAATCAACTAAGAAGTGTTATTGCAACACAGAGGGTATCTAATTTATTATGGTGCGATGGGTATTTAAGGGGTATCTAATTGTTTTCCTAAACTGAAATCTAGTTAGCATTTCGTTCAAAGAAAACTGAGCGCATGGATGGTTTGAAGTGGTAATGATAGAACAAGAGTCAGAAAGTACAGAAGGAGCAACCTTCATTGCAAAAGCTATTCCGCATAGTAAGAGTACAAGTCTCTAGGACTGGTGCCAGCTATGAATTCTCATCATATTGTCCTGGGAGGGTGTGATGGGGAATAAGAGAACGGAATTGTAAACTTACATTAGTTGGAAACATGAGATGATTCGCAGAATATCTCGTTGGTAATTTGTTGCTTCGATGTTCCACAGATAATGCGATGATGAAGGTGGGTGAGAATTTTTTTTGGAATACCTCCCTCTTGCCAAGATGCGGCGAAAATAAGCCCTAGCCCTACCGAGAACCGTTTACTCCAAGATCACACTGTATCACTCGTGAATCGTGACCGCATTTGGGCCCGTGATTAATTTCTTGCTTAGTATTACCACACCGTAAGCCCAGATGTCCCAAGCCTGGAGGGCTTTAGAGTTGATTATAAGTACTGCAAAACTAGAATTGAGTATATAATGTCTTAATTTTACAACGGGGACCCAGATGTTTGCACTTTGTAGTTGCGCTGACAATCCCAAAGGGGGTAGGTAAATGACTGTGCGTGACTGTAGGAAATTAAAGAACTACATACATTAGTAAATTTAAACCCCAACCGATAACAACTTCTCAATATGATTATCATCGTGTGAAATAGGGTAGTATCCGAGTCATTTACACACGATTTCGAGAAGCTGAGACCGGAATTGTACCCACGTCCTTTTCATGGTATATGAGACGTTTGCCGTTAATTTAATGTGTAAGGGGTGAATATGTAGCTACAAGGTGGGAATTGAAGGTATCAGGAACAAAAAAAAAAAAACCTAAGAAATTCGTAGCAAAGTATTACCCCCGGCTTTCCATCCTATTTTCAAGCTAACCTCAACTTCACCCTGGCCAGCGACCGCAAGAGAAAACGAGCAAAAGAAACAATCCGATCTAAGAAGCATCACGGTGCCTATGTAGAGAGTAACAATAAGAAATCAATCGAGCCCATCACAAATATAGCCTGTAATAGCAACGCCTGTCATTCCGTTTGACGTATTATCCATCTGACCAACCTCTTAAGGTTGAAAGCCTTTGAAAATGAGTGAAAATTTGTATTCTCTCGACCAAAATCCTCTGCCTTCCTTCAAAGCGGAACCGGGCAGCAGGCGGAAACACAGAAAGTGACACCCCACCAAGATAGAAAGAAAGAAAAAAATACACAAGAAGAAAGTATAACTACAATTCGAAATGCCACCCTACTACAAACTGCAAAAAAAGACAATCCACCCAATTTTTTAGTTTTTTCTCTACTCCATCCGTATCCATTTACTGACGTGACAATCATATCGAACCCGCTATCGTGCATGCATTTTCTCCTAAATATTTGGATTTATTATTTTCACCTAGGGTACGAATATGATTCTGTAAGGAAAGTCAGTACGGGCACCTTAAATAAGTTAATGGAACTCACGAGAACCCTGCGCATCTCTAGGTATATTTAAACTCGCCAGAAGACCCATCATTGCCTCTGGTCTGAACCTTACTGCTTGGTATTGCTGTGCTCCTGGCAATATACTCAATAAGTACATCAACATTTCCGGGAGTGCAGGCGCTGGTGGTGGGGGCGGCGGTTGCTGGTGCATTGGCTGTTGTTGTTGTTGCTGCTGCTGCTGCTGTTGTTGTGGCCTTCCTTGGTGCTGCTGGCGTTGGTAACCACCTCGTGCATCGTCCCTTCCGACATCCCGGTCTGGCAAGTTACCACGCTCCCGGTTGTGCTGCTGCTGCTGCTGTAGCTGTAGTTGCTGTTGTTGCTGCTGCTGCTGCTGTTGTACACGTTTCTGTTGGTCAAGCCTTCGCCCAGCAGCACCCTTAAGCGGTGAGTCCGGCCGTAAAACCTTTCGTGGTCGGTGCTCTGACGAATCCGAGAGGTCTTCATTCGCGGGCCTCTTAGGGGATGCGATACCAGCTCCAACGCGCCCATTAGGAATGGTAACTTGAATTTGTTGCCGGTTATCAGTCTGGTTGTAATCTTGCATCATTTCTTGACGTCCGCTTGATTTGGGCCTGCACTGTTGGCTTGGTGAAATAACAGATATATATGAACATGGGTCAACGCTCTTGTAAGAGTATCTTGTAGAAAACCGGTTGAGATATGGATCTAAATTATCGTTAGAATCTTTCTCAACTACACTGTGAAATTTTTAAGGTTCACGGACCACCAGGAAATAGCTCACTCATCCGCTTCTCGAGCTTGTACACCTGATTGAGATCACCGTAATGTGCCTCATATTCATAAAAGTACTGGTAAATCTTCTTAGTGTTCTGCGCTGGCGCTTTGCCAACGAAAGTCTCAAACACAGCTCTGGCATCTGTTGACAGTCAACACGCATCCAAAGCAGTAGAACGAACCAAATTGGACTTACTAGTGATATCATTATCTGCTATCAGATGTTTTAGATATTCCAAGGCAAACTCCTCGTCCTCAGGAAACAACTTCATGCCCCGCTCAAAGATCTTTAACGCAGCCGGGTCTTTATAGCAATGGAATTCGATAAGTGCACTAGCTACGTATACATCGCTAGTGATTTTGCCCCTCTTCCTCGCATCTGCAAAAATCTGTCTGCTCCCGCCAAGTGGCTCATTAACCTTACCATGACCTTGGACACGGCGCATGGCACGCATAAGGTTGATCCAAACCGCTGAGATTGTTCCGGACATAACTTGAATCTGCGCCTTTGTCGACTCTTTGATGACTGCAATCTGGGACTCCTTTGCGGATTTATCCGCCATTATATCCGGGTCGTCGTAATCATCGTCATCTCGGCCTCCTTGAGGGTCTTGGTAGCCCTCCTCAAGCTTTGCAATCTCTTCTTTCTCTTTTTGTTGAGCCTTACTAACCTGGGTGTATAATACATTAAGAAGATCATCATACGGCTTCCTAATCATTTGGCCCTTCCGTACTAGGGCCTCCTCACCACCTTCAACAGAAATGGTTGCTTCAAGTCGCTCAGCGTATTTAAAATGTAATAGACAACTCTCTGGGTTTGCGACCATGCCTTGCTTGAGGAACTCTACTCCCTGGTCATCCATTCCATTCGCGAAGCACCATTCGGCCGCGTCAAACCATATCTCGGGCCAGAATCTCAGTGCCATGAGAGCTTGCTTAAAGACATATAAAATTCTTGTTTTTAAGCCTGCGGGATCGTCCTTGGATAGTACCAAGGGATCATCCTTCTCCCATTGAATCCATTTCTTCCACAGCTCTACCTGTTTGGTCCAATCCTCGTATCCTTCATATCCAGGTGCTGGGGGGAGCCGTGGAAGCGTTTCTCTTCTAAGGCCCTTTGTTGTATTTGTCAATTCGATGAGACAACTCCGGGCGGTCATAAATAGTGGCGATCTTTCTTGTAGGAACTTTCTAGCCTATAAATTCACAATGGAAGAAAGAAGAATAACCAATTTGTCAGAGTCACGTTTTTTTTCTATGCAAAAAAGTTTAAAAGAAAGAAAAAAAAATGGACAAGTTTCTTGTGGATTGGTTTTAAATACCGTTAGCTTGTTAAGCCCTTGTTCAAATTGGTCGTATTCTCTCCATAGCTGTTCAACTCCTTGCACGGGCATAGTAACAGCTTTTTGGTACACCTTCCTCAGTGAATCCATTTTTTGCTGATCCTGCCAACCACTCCCGCCTACATTACCTGGTCCACTTTTGACGAACTGTACATGGTCACCCCAGATCTTGCCGGCTTCGCGGTCACATCCGACACTGTTTAGAACAAATTCATAAGCCTGGGAAACAATGGCACGGGCTTTGCCGCCTGTATCGGTGGTGAGGTTGTTGCGTCTCCGGATGTAGTCGAGGTAAAGTGACCAAAGTTCAACATTGGGCACATTCAGAAGAGAACGGAAAAAAATTTGCTCCACACGAATCAATTCGTTGTTTGCCAGCTCCATCTTAACGTATGCAATCCATTGCTGGGCCTGTATCACAACATTAGTATATAATATATCAAACAGGGAGCACATTATTGGCACATAGTACAGATGAGCTGAGGCTCCGACAAAGGAAAAGAGGAAGTAAGAAAAGGGCCATATATATATACATATATATATTGTTTTCTTTTATAAAAGTAGGACTGTGACCTACCGCTGCTGGAAACACTACAAAAAACCTTTCGTAAGCTGCCCTGGCATCGTCAAGTTTTCCCTTTTTGCGATGTTCCTCAATTAGCGCCAACCAGGCATCAATGTCTCCTCTGGGATCCTCCTTGATCCTGTCCTCAAGTTGCCCTACGATATCCTGCGGAAGTCTTCTCCTCTTATTTGAAACAGGAGTAGCGGTCTTCTGGATAGAATTCTGTGCTGGTACAGTAGGAGTAGGGGCAGTGGTAGTGGTAAGGGTAGATACTGGAGGAGAAGCAACGGACGCCGATACAGGAAGTGAATCAACATTATGAGAACCAGTATTTGGGTTCGTGTCAATAAACATGGGAGGAGGGGTCTGGTCACTAATATTCTCATCAGGAACATAGGCACCATCATCGACTGTCGCAGAGTCGGCACGGGTAGGGGCAGCTGAGGAACGTGCAGAGGAATCTTGAGTAGTTGCACCAATATCAACAGTAGAGTGGTCGTGATGAAGAGTAGTAGTAACTTTCTCGTTGGCCGAGGCGTCAACACTAGAAGATCCTGTTTTCGGACTTGAAACAGTAGCAGGGAGAAGGGACGCAACAGGCGAGACTTCTTCCAACGCGGGAGTTTTCATATGAATATCTTCATCTTGTTCTTGTTCTTCGGCTTGCTCTTGATCTTCTTCTCCCTCTCCTCCTTCTTCTTGCTCTTGATCTTGATCTTCTTCGGCTTCTTCCACTTGTTCCACTTCTTCTTCTTCTTCTTCTTCTTCTTCATGCGGAGAAACCCCCCTAGTGCCATCTTCTGACGCTGATACGGCTTCTAAGCTCTCTTGAGCACTCAGCGACTCTGCGCGCCCGTTCGCACCCTTATCATTTTCACTACCCAGGTCATTTTGGGTATTTTCCAATTCTTGCAACACCTTCATCGCGTTTAGGAACGCGGCTTCGGCATCGTCAGAATTAATGGCTGCCATTGTTGTTAATCGTAAGAACAAGTAGTAGAGGAAATTTAAAACACAGGAAAAACAAGTATTGTTAAATTCCGAGAGAGAAAAATGAGTGAGAGAACAATTGTGGTGATGAATTCCGGGTGGCGATTATAGAGGTGTTAGTCTATTATTCGTGGTTTACGTAGAAGCGTCGCGCGGCGAAAAATAAAGGAGTGGTGTCTAGGTGTCTGTTCGATGAGATGAGGATGACGCGTGATGTCAGTCGTGGGTGAGAGAAGTGCCTGGATGGTGACAACTGACTGACCTTGGCAGACAAGGACCACCTGTCTTTGAGAGAGCGCCTATGTCCCGTAGGTGAAGAGGACAGAGGCAACGCGCGCGACAGAGTCAGGTAGAGATGTCGTCGGGCGACTTACTTGGCGGACACAATGGGTGGGGGGAGAAGATGGGTGATGATGGATTTGTTGGGCAGTGGAGAAAGAAAGTCCAGTGAGAGGAGAGAACAAGAAAAGGGCGAAATGCGGGTTCCAACCGAGACATGCAGCTAGCCAAGAATATGTCGCCAAGACGCAATTTTTTATTTTTTTTTGTAGAGTATTCTGAATCTCTGATACTCTCTCTGCCTACAATCTACGAGCGTTGCTTCCTCTGTAATCAGAATCAATGAATTGTTGTATGTACCTCGCAAAATACCTACATATATGTGTCCAGACCCAGGCGGTCAATTCCATTCATACCCAACACTCAATACTTACTCTACGAGTCTCTCACATAACTGTCACATAGGATTCGCTTTGACTGTCTCCATGGGGACCGCGCACTCCTGAAGTCTGCAGTATCGTAAGCGAGACAGGATATACTCTATGTTGAGTACGTGTACTCTATTTTATCGATGCTCTCTCACATGTTGCGCGCAGGCGCTAGTAGATCCGAGTAGGTACAAGTGATGGAAACTTGGGAAGTGTCGCAGGAACAAAGGGCGGAATAAGTACATGTAGGTACATAAATGTGTATTAGTAGCTACAGTATTCTGCAAAACTGAACTCTAGACTCTAGACTCGGAATACTAGGAGACCCGTCGCCCCTTGCTCACACCGGCAGTTAAGTGGGTTTCTCCGATGCCCGAAAGTCACACAAGGTCACAGAACTTGTTGCCCTCACCACCGGATGGTAATCATAAGTGATAATCTATGAATCAAAAAGATCACCAAATCCCGAATGCATTGAATTTAAAACCTGAAACCCACGCGCGGAAATTAGTAAGAAAAAAAAAGAAAAAAGAGAGAGAAGAAAAGCCTCTCCAACCCGAGCTCCGATGGCTGCTGGCTTGTAAATTCTGTCCCTTCCTCCATTTTGAGAGACATTCCAAAAATTCTTGGTTCATCAATGTTTCTGTTTCTGGTCCCCCGGATTGACATGAATTACACGGTCTAGCCCTTTTAAAAGATCTTCTCGACGCTCTCTCGAACATTGAAATAACAGACATTTTTTCGAAACTATAATACTGAGACAACACACTGACCTCAATATCGCAATACCATTTGTAGCGCACGGAAGGAGAGGCGTTAATTGACGTCACGACGCTAGGTTTATCTTTATCTCGCTAGAGTACATACGGGGTTCGCAGTCGATTTTAGTCTTATTTAGCATCCTATGATTGCATATCCATATTATGCGGTTTTAAGGAAGTAGGTAGTAAGCTGAGGTATCGTACATTTATAATTGTCCAAAGAATAACCATGATTCTGGCTCAAAAACAGTATCGAAGGCTAGGAATAACAAAAGAAATAGGCTTAGTTCACTGCCTCTACTATAAATTACTTGTGATTTGGAATCTGGGAGGGCAATAGCTTTCGTAGGGGGTCTGCTATCACTTAAGCAAGTCTCCCTTCCCCACTTCCATACCCCTAATTCTTTTTCTCCCGATATTTCATGCTCCCCCTTCCTTTAAATTTCACCTCTGGCTCGCCACTTCTGCCAACTCCCCGGTCATCATCCATTCTGGCGAATCTCTCCATCTCCCGTTCGTTCTCCTCTCTACGGATCCTCTCTTCCGCTTCCTCGTCACGCGTATACTCATATGCCTTCTCCCTATGCCTCCTATGCCGCCTTCTCGAAGGTGACCGTGATCCCGAGTGATACCTTCTCCGCCGGTGCCTATGCCGTGACCTCGAACGTGACGGAATACGCTTTGGTTGCAGCGGAGAGGAGATCGAGTCTTCCGGTTCCTCCATGATCGTCGCATTTGCATCTGCCGGTCCTGCGCCCCGACGCTCCCGAGACCGCCCTCGCGAGATATCCTCTACCGGGGCTGCGAGAGTTTCGGTCTCAGCCCCTCGGGGTCTACTCCTACTCCGGCTCTTTCTATATCTTGACTTTCCGTCCCGGGATCTTTTCCGTCTATGATGCCGACTTGATTCCTCTCTGCGGTGCTCATCCCTTTTCCCCCGCTCGCGCGATCGTGACCTTGGGGAACTGCGAACTTCAAGCTCTTTGCGCGTCTCTCGTGCTGCTGGAACGGGCACAGGGTCCCTCTTTTTGAATACGAGCTCTCCTGAGCTTGCGATAATGACATCTTCGAGCGGCCTATCGGAATCGTCGACCTTGAGGTCCTCTATCTTTTTGACAACATCCATGCCCGCGACTATATGTCCAAACAACGTATGTTTATCCGTTAGGTACTCGGACTCGGCCAATGTTATGAAAAACCTTTCCATCTCATCATTAGCCCTCAAATTGTCCTTCCAAGCATGTAAATGTGCTTACTGGCTACTGTTGGTGCCCTTTCCTCTGTTCGCCATGCACACAAGTCCCTCTTTATCGATCTTTCGCCAACCCAAGTTCTCGTCGGCGAACATTTTACCATCGTAGATACTCACCCCGCCAGTTCCATCGCCATTGGTGATATCGCCGCCTTGGATCATGAATTCTGAGATTACGCGGTGGAAGGTTGAGTTCTTATAATGGAGGGCGTGGGTTATACCTCCGGGGGCTGTATAGGTTCCATTGGAGCCGGTACATAGGAGCCTGAAGCTACATAAGTCAGTTAAACGTATTTTTGAAAGGATGCGGGGCTGGGAGGATACTTTTCACAGGTTTTGGGGGTCTTGTCGTCGAAGAGCTCGATGGTAATGCGGCCGGCAGGCTGCGTGCCGATTTGAATGTCAAAGAAGACGCGAGGGCGCGGCATTGTAAAGGTAAAAGTAAAAATTATTATATGATGTAGGGGAAGAAGGTTCAATAAGGGTTTGAGGAAGGGAAGCTGGAGGAGAAGGTCGGAGCTTCTGATCAATATCACTCGAGTAAGAGTAACTGCTTGACGAGAAGGGTACTTTACAGAGCAAGGGTTTCCTTGCAGGCATAAATCTTGGCGGTCGATACCAGATCATACATGTATTATCAAGTTAAGCTTATCAACTGTACATGTATGTATTTGATTGTTCTAATGGATACATGTATTTATTCATGTGTCTCGTCTCAGGTGTAGGGATGAACTTCACAGGCCCCATTAATTCCCTCGGTTTAATTAATGCCCCCTTGGTTGCTGTAACCAAACACTGTGTACCTGTGCCGCGCTGGTGTTGGCACTCAAAGACCAGTGCCAACGCCGCGCGCTGCCCAACAAAATAATTCCCTCTGTACGGTATTCTTCAGTACGATTAGAGATACTGATAACACAACTTCTGCCACAATTTCGACTTGAACTCCTAAACATCCCACCCATCACTGACCATGGCTTCATCAGTCAACGAGGCCGTAGCCAAAATTTCGTCCACTCTCGGCCCCTTCGCCATTCCCGCCCTCGCTGTCTTCGGTGCACTCTCGGTTTTATCCATAGGCCTCAAGACTGTCAATGCTATCCTGAGTCTCTTCATCCTCAGCGGAACTAATGTAAGAACTGTTCTCTCGTGTAAATAATCACTTGGCATCTTCTGATACACCATAGCTCCGCAAATTCGGTCCCAAAGGCTCCTGGGCCCTAGTCACTGGCGCCTCTGACGGCATCGGGAAAGAGTTTTCCCTCCAGCTCGCTGCAAAGGGGTTTAACATTCTCCTCGTCTCACGCACCGAATCCAAGCTTGCAACCCTAGCAACTGAAATCGAAAGCAAGTATACCAGTACCCAGACGAAGATACTTCCTATGGATTTTGCTGCAAATGACTCGGCCGACTACGACCGTCTTGCAGCGCTCATCAAGGACCTCGATATCGCAATTCTCGTCAACAACGTAGGCAAATCACACGACATCCCGGTCCCCTTCCTCGAAACTACTCAGAAGGAAATGAATGATATCATCACCATCAATGTTACTGGTACCCTAAAGGTCACGCAGCTTGTTGCTCCGGGAATGGCGGCGAGGAAGCGTGGGTTGATTCTGACCATGGGGTCGTTTGGTGGATTACTACCGACACCGTTTTTGGCAACGTATTCCGGGTCAAAGGCGTTCTTGCAGCACTGGAGCACGGCGCTGGGAGCAGAGCTGAAAAGGGATGGCGTTGAAGTGCAATTGGTTGTTGGTTATCTTATTACTTCGGCTATGAGCAAGATTAGAAAACCAAGTATGATGATCCCGACGCCTAAGGGCTTTGTCAAGGCTTGTCTTGGGAAAATTGGGGTTAAGGGAACGGCGGCGGGAATGGAGGGGACTATTACTCCATACTGGGCACATGGGCTTATGCACTGGGGTATTAATGCGCTGGGGATCTTCAATGGTACAGTGCTAATGAAAAACTTGGGCATGCATGTGTCCATTAGAAACAGGGCTTTAAAAAAGAGGGAAAGAGAGGCGGCGCAAGGAAAGAAAGGATTGTAGGTGACGAGTTTGTAAAGAGCGCGGTCAGAACATAGATAGTGATTTAATAGCTTCAAAGGGTGCTTTTTAATCTAATTTTCGCTATCTAAATGAACCATTGGGATTTGGGTTTTAGGTGCTGAGTGATGCTTCCATTTCTATTCTTTGTTTGTGTGGGGTTAGGAACAGTTCAGTGATGTTTTGGAGACTCCCAAGAGCCCAACCTGCATTCCATTCCTCGTGCCATTTATATACCCAAGAAACGACCGAACCTCTTTCGCGCGCCCTAAGTAAACAATTCCCCTTGATACCCCATAAAAATAGTGGTGCAAAAGTACTTGCATATTCCCCAGCACCAGACTGGCCTCCCCACCTGCAGATAAACAAAACGCCCAGACGCGCCAAGCCCCAGTCGCAACAAGCGCAACCGCAGCCAACAACACCACCCAGCGAACCCAGACCAAACCTAAGGGAACAAAAACAGAAGTCGTAACGTTCATTCATTCACGTCAACCGTCCATCACCACCACCACCATCACCTCCCTTACGCATAACGGTCCGCTCCTTTACCCCCAACCTTGGAACGCGTCTCAAATTCCACTCCCACCTCCACAGTCCGCCCTACACCAATCTCCCCACACACAGCGTCACAAACTCGCACCCTACGCCCACAGGGAAATCCTCTCCCATCCCTCCCCACACGCGACAGAAAAGGACAAATATAGAGAAAGAAAAGAAATGTCGATATTCGAGACCCCGCTATCGCAACGGCAGTTCCAACCCTCAGTCTACGCGGCGCCCGCCACAAACACTCTGTACCCAGAAGTACCAACCGATCTACGGACACCAGCAAGAACTAGTAATACATACGGAGGCCCTCCCGGTGCCTCTGCTGGCTTTGTGACCCCCGAGCGTCCGGCGGATGTGGCAAAGCATCCGCAACAACAGCAGCAACTGCAAAAGGTCCCGCCTACGGCAGACAATCTAAGCCCTGTTGCGCGCGCCGCAAGGACCGTAAATGAGTACCTGACCACCGAGGCACGGTATCCGCAGCTAGACGATATTGTATCTCGTAAGTTTTCCCTCTTGGTGCGTTGTTTTGGAAGGGCAATGTAATGCAGGGTTGTTAACAAGGTGTGGGATGAATAGAGGGCCAGTCGTCGGATTATGATCTCCCAAGGTCTCCGGCGTGGGAGCCGTTTCAGAGGTTGTTCAGCCATACGATCCCGGATTCAATTTTCGAACAGTATAACCGCGCAACGTCGCACACGCTTATGGGCCTGTTTGCGGAGTTGAAGCAGGCATGGATCACGGTTGATAATCGGCTGTATATGTGGGATTACACAACTCAAGGCTCGTTCCAGGGCTATGAGGACCAACCTAACAATATCACAGCGATGCGCCTTTTGACACCAAAGAAAGGTGTATTTGTTGAGAGCGTGAACTATGTGCTAGTTGTGGCGACGACGGTCGATATCTTCCTGATGCCAGTGAAGGCGGTGACGAATAGCAGGGGTGGGAAGGATGTTACGCTTCTCACTTCGCCGCTGAGCGTTCCAACCAAAGGACTGGGGGTTAGTATCATTGAGGGGAGCAAGAATACTGGAAGGATCTTTTTTGGCGGAAGAGGCGATAATGATGTTTATGAATTTACATATCAGGTACTAAAATTATTTCAGGAGATTTTTCGGGTTCAATGGTACTAATAAGCATATAGGTACAAGAGAAATGGTTTCATGGAAAGTACGGAAAAATTTGTCATACAAATGGTGGTGTTTCATCATTTGCCCCAAGACTCCCGTTTTGGGGCAGTCCTAAAGACAGTAAGTTTATCTTTGCTCTAAAATAGAAGAAAATGAGAAACTTATTAAATTTGGCTAGCCGAATACATCGTACAAATGGTTATGGATGATACACGGAATCTTCTATATACTTTATCATCTAAATCGGCAATCAGGGCTTTTCACGTCAAGGGAGACACCACTCTCCAGCTAACTATTACCCACTCCTTCTCACATACCTTGGCAAATATCAGGGTCATGATTGGAAACACACCATTACTGGAGCCTAAAACTCCCATTATTGCCATTAGCCCTGTCACCTCATCTGAAGCTCGCCGTACACATTTGATTGCTGTTACGACCTCAGGCTGTAGACTGTACATGAGCGCCGTAACTTCAGAGTATGGTTTTGGGGGCACCGATGCCGCACCAACAGCCATGCAGGTTATTCATGTCCGTTTCCCACCATCAGGGACTGGCCAGAGTTCTCTCAAGCCTACAAGAAAAGCTAAGGTTTTTCCACCTGGGTACTTCTTCTGCTTCGTAGACAAGCCAGACTCGAACGTTGATGAGCTATTCCTGTCCGCCCCTGACTCCGGGAAGATTGCATTACTGGCCGAGAGTGGAACCTCTAGGCTTCAACTTGCCGAGACAGGCATGACATTACAGCTTGATTCCCGTGTAGAAGCCGTCGAGCTTGTTTCTGCCCCTTTTGGCGCCAGCAAGGGACCCAACGGGTTCGGGAACGAGGCTGCAGTGCAATATGATATGGCCCCAACTGAGGTCGCGATCTTGACAAACTCGGGAATCCACATTATTAAGAGACGGAGACTTGTGGAGGTATTTGACGCTGCCATCCGCTATGGCTCAGCCGGCTCCCCACTTGGTGTTGAGGGTGAGGTGCGGAAGTTCTTTGAGACATATGGGCGGGGAGAGGGATGTGCATCTGCGCTTGCTGTTGCATGTGGTGCTAGCATCGAGGTCAACCAGATGCAAACACGTATCACTGATGTTGAGGTGTGCGATCTTGCACGTAAATACTTTATTGAGTTCGGCGGAAAGCCACGCACTGAAAGCGTCTATGACTCATACGACCAATCCGCGCTGCCGAGCTTGGATAACATCAAGGTTTCCGGCAGAGCGGAGGGTATTGCGCTTTATATCTCAAGGATCGTCAGGTCGATATGGAAAAGTGTCATGATTGTTGAAGCCCCTGGCCCCGCACCTATGTACAAGAGCAATGTTCCGATTCCCAAGCTGAAGGGGATTCAGGAGCAGCTAGTCAGGCTGGCGAAGTTCTTGCAAACAAATCGCAGCTTCATTGTCGGTCTGTCTGGCGCGGAGTCGCTCATGGGACTGGGAAGCCGCGTTGAGGAGGTTGCTCAACAAGCTGAACATCGCATGCTTCATGCGCTTCTTGCCCTAATCGAAAGTATGATTGAGGGAATTTCGTTCGTCCTTTTCTTGTTTGATGATAAACTCGACGATATCATTGCTAGCCTGCTCCCAGCCCAGCAGGAGGAGGTCAAGCGGATTACTTATGATGGGCTCTTCACTACCGAGAGTGGACAGGCGCTCGCGAAGGATCTCGTCACCGCTATCGTGAATAGAAATATCGCGGCAGGAATGAATGTAGATACAATCGCGGATGCGCTCAGGAGACGATGTGGAACTTTCTGTTCGGCAGATGATGTAGTGGTATTTAAAGCCATCGAGCAGGTCCGTAGAGCAAAGAACGAGACGTCAGACCCGGATGCTAGAAACAAACTGCTCAGGGAATCATTGAGGCTCTTCGAGGAGACGGCAGGAAGCTTGACCATGGAGAACCTGAGGGATACTCTGGCACATTACCGGGAATTGGGCTATTACCCAGGCGCAGTGCAGTTGGCATTGAAGGTCGCAAATGAGCATGATAGGGGCAATGAAGCTCTTGGGTTTCTAGCTGACGGCGGTTTAGATACTGTGAGTTTTATTTTTGTTCTGATCTTGGGGAATAGACGGGCGCTAATTGGCGGAATAGGATCCGAGAGCTAGCTTTTATCATAAGCGGGTCGAGTGCTATCGTCTGATTTTCGAGGTCCTTGAGGAGTTGGATCGCGTGTTTGGCACTGTGCCAGAAATGATCGATGGGGTTCCCAGTCCAGCCACACGTATTCGCAACGAGACATGGACCCTTGTCCATAGCTCCCTTGACGAGACATTCCACAATACCCTTTATGACTGGCTCTTTACACGAGGTGGCGGGGGCAGCAGTAAACGTCTCCTTGACGTGGACTCGCCACATGTTCTTTCTTACCTCAAACGTACCTCCGTAACCTCACTTCCCCACTCCGAGTTATTATGGCAGTATTACGCACGCCGTGAAGATTACTTTACCGCGGCGGAGGTACTTCATAAGCTCGCACAGAGCGATTTTGACCTAACACTGGGCAAAAGATTGGAGTTTTTGAGTCGTGCGAGAGGTTTCTGCCATAGTTATGGGCCTATGGGCACAAGACAGAAGATGAATGAGTTGAGCCACATGATCCAGGAAGAATTAGATGTAGCAGCAATTCAGGATGACATATTGAAGAAGATTAAGGACGACGATAGGATTACCCCAGCGAAAAAGGAGAAATTATCGAAGGAGCTAGACGCGAACTTGATGAGTCTAAGTGATGTATATTCCCCATACCTCTTTGATTATGGTATATGATTATATACTAACTGGGAAAACAGCTTTTCAACAAATATGCGGATCCATATGGATACATGGAAATCTGCCTTGCCATCTTCCAAGGCGCAGATTACCGCGGTGCCAACGAGATTAGAAAATGTTGGGAACAGCTCATCTCTCAAGTCCATGCGAAAGCCGTTGCCGACCAGCGAGTGCAGCCCTTCGAGCTTGTCGCTGACACCGTTCGTCGTCTCGGTGCTCGCTTCTCATTATCAGAATATATCTTCCCTCCAAACGATCTTGTCCCTCTTCTTGAGATATACGCCTACGAGAATCAGCGCGATGTTGGTCCGCCTACATGGGTCGTTGATACTCTGTCAGAGGCCGGGATTGCGAACGAGACAATTCTGAGAATACTCGATGAGATGTTCTGGCGCGACGAGGTCCCATTCAAGGGAACCGCAAGGAGAAGGCTGGTACGTGATGCCGTCTTCGTGGCGGAGAAATGGTTCGCAGCCGCCGTGAGAAGAGGCGGCGAGGCTGCGTTGAAGACAGAGATGGTCAAGAATGTGTTACATCAATTCGCGCAGGCGATTCCAGACGGCACAGACAAGGAGAGGATCGTGAGGTTGATTGAGGAGATCACAAAGAGGCTAGGATAACTTAATGTATCTTTTCAAGGTGGGAGAGGGTGGGAAAAATGATTAATGCAAGGTTTATTCTTTTCTGTATTTGTGTTGTGTGGTTTTGGTACAAATAATGTCTTTTTTTGTCGATTTCCTTGAAGCATGAGAGCCGGTAAAGAGTTTGTATGGATAGGTTAGGTTGGTAGAACATTCTTGATTTTTCACCCTTTTCTGTTACTCTTAAGATCTTACCACCCACCTACTTTTACAGGTGCCAGGGATAGCGGTTGTATATTAGTATTCTCAGTACTGCATGCATTTTGATATCCTGAATTAGTATATGTAGATTGTGGATTGTGTTCTCTGTTTTGTTCTTGGCAGGCGTTGTGCAATTGTAGGGATTTAATGATCCTTGGAAAGCTTGATTTGACTTCTTGACGATGGAAGTTGATCCCAAGAGTTATTTTGGGATCTCAGAACTGCAGAAATTTGATTCGAGGTCGAGCTAAAAAGAGAGAAAAAAGACTGGGAATTGTTTCTGATGTCTGATTATCTTACTACATGTAGTCCACCGTAAGCTGTCCCTGACGAATATATGCACTTTATGTATTGTTTCCCGCCCACGTGTGTAACTGGGCCGGGAAAACTGTATGCACCTACATGACATCATTTCCGGGGGTATCCGACTGACCACCTCAGTCCCTGGGTTGTTAACCACCATAAAGACTTCCGCACCATACCATTCCTGATACCGACATCCTTATCCGTTAAACATTCCAGTAGAATATCTCCAATTCGTTTAATTTATTCCCACCTATCTAATTCGGGTAATAAAGAAGGAATCTGGGAGCCACTACAGCGGAAATAAAACTACCTATCATGACTTCTGGTACGATTATTCCTACCATCTCTGAGGAGACAACATTACAGCTACCGCCGTCAACGGACCACAGTAGTGTATGTTGCTACTTATTCCCACTATGAAGATGTTGAGTTGATGAACTGATGGTGACGAGCAGAACGACCATGCAGTGTATATTGACGGTGAAGACGATGACGAAGATAATGAGCACGTTCTCCAGGTGAATATAGAATCTGATTGAGGCAAGCCTAAAAGAAGGCCTACATGCCTATTTTATGCTCGTATTTCTTAAAAACATTTATAGGAGCTTACCTAGTTTTATTTGTCCCGGTTTAGATAACATTTGACCCCCATGTTCGAGCAAACCGTCGACGAAAGTCGTCAATAGTCAGTATGGAGCGGCTCACGCTCAATTCCACCATTTACGGAGGCGGGGTAGGAGTAGGAGTAGGAGCAGTCGAAGCAGAATTTTGTGCCAGTCGCTCCCGCAGTAGCTGCTTTATTCATTCTCACCTCGAAGCGTACCAAGATACGGGTGATAATCGTGTCAATGGCCCGCTCGAGTGCAACAGGAACAACCCGGTTGAAAGGATCGTCGAGCAGAGTATCCCGCCGTTTATGAGCAAGTCAGAGCTCTCTGATATGGTCCTCGGGGTTGGGGAGCTGAGCAAGCGATTCTCGAACATGCGTATCAAAATCAAGGTTAAGACGGTAATGATCTTAACGAAGACTTACGATAAATCGCTTATAAAGCACACAAGGAGGTTGGCAGAGTGGATGCTATCGCCCGAGAGGGGAAAGAGTTATGTTGTCTATATCGATAGCGTTTTTAAGGACACACCAGAGCTGGACATCGCAGGGTTTTTTAAGCAGTATCCGCAGTACAAATCTCGTATTCATTGGTGGGATGCAGAGCTCTGTGCAACGAAGCCTCACACATTTGATATGGTGTTGACGTTGGGGGGTGATGGCACAGTCTTATATGCAAGTTGGCTGTTCCAGAAGGTCGTCCCCCCGGTCTTCTCGTTCGCTCTAGGTTCATTAGGGTTCTTGACGAAATTTGATTTCCAAGGATTCCAGGAAACTCTTTCTAGCGCTATCAAGGATGGGGTCATGGTTGGGTTAAGGTTGAGGTTCCAAGGTTCGCCCCATCACAAGTAATCACTCGATTGTCTTACCGTTACTAACGTTAGGTTTTGTAGGGGCAATCATGCGGTGCATTGATAAAGCTGGGGTCGAAAACAAGGATCGGGATATTACAGCAGAAATTCTGGATAGGGCAGTTAATAGACAGTTGACACATCGTTTAGATGTGGTCTACACTGTCCTTAACGAGATCGTGGTTGATCGCGGACCAAACGCTAGTATGTATCCTCTACATACACATACCATTGCGTTGACAAGTGCTGATTTTCACTGCCAACAGCCATGTCCGCCACAGAGCTTTATGGCGATGATATGCATCTCACTACTGTCCAGGCAGACGGTGTATGTATTGCTACTCCAACTGGATCTACTGCGTACAACCTTGCTGCTGGGGGATCTCTTTGTTATCCAGAGATTCCAGCGATGCTCGTAGGTGTCATTAATATAAATATTGTTTCCCCTATTAATACCGAACTTTAGGTTTCACCGATTTGCGCACACAGTCTCACTTTCCGCCCTTTGATACTCCCAGACTCCATGGTTCTTCGTGTTGGTGTCCCTTACGATGCCCGCACTACGGCTTGGGTCTCTTTTGATGGGCGGCAAAGAATTGAGTTGCAACGTATTACTCCCTCACAAGTTGGGCTTTGTTACCGGAGAATCCTAACTCGTGTTATATAGAGGGTGATTATGTTATGATAACTGCTTCCCGATTCCCATTCCCCTCTGTCCAGAGCAAAGGTGAGAATAAGGACTGGTTTGACTCTATCCGACGTACCATGAATTGGGGCGTGAGAGCCAGACAAGAAGCTTTTACTTAGCTACATATACGTAGTTCCCTGGGCGGTTATGGGGCGGCACGGATCTTAGGGATATTATTTCATGAGATGGGTCTTTTAGACGCCGTGTATAGAATTTCTTTTCGGACTTGCGTGGTGGACATGAGGCTTGGGCGTTGTGCAGATATCTAACTTCTGCTATGAATACCTCAATTTGGAAATACAAGCTTCAAGAATTATTTTGTATATGCACGGCATGGGAGAGGTTAATGATAAAATGTCGAATTCTCAAATTAATTCTGTATACTGCCAGATTACTATCAAAGTCCAACGGAATTCTGTTAAGTATGGTAGTAGCCTCACTAACCTTTAGGTATTGTACAGAACTCAAGCAGCCTAGGAAATGTCTATTATGGTTGTTCTTTACTCTTCGATCGGGTTCCTCCAACGAAGCGACTAGTAGGCATAAGGGTGAAACCCTGTACTTGTACTGTAGATTGTGGTGCGCCGCCATAGACTACGGTCTGCATGCGAGTATGAATTAAACAAAAAAAAAAAAGATCGGGTTCCTCCGTATCCAAATGTTGCATTGTTTTATAGGGCTAGGGTTCCTTGTGCTTACAAACAGCATCGCACATTCTCGTCACTGCGCCTCACGTTTGGCTTCTCTCCAACCATCTACCACGTTTCTTTGCCCCCCGTTAAACGCTCTCCCACGTAGAGCCTCAGCATCACTTCTACATACAGGCATCTTACACAGTCCTATCTGTCGTTACTGCAGGATCGATAATCACAGGAAAAAGGATTCTATTTGTTTGTTGAGTAGGAGGATCGACGGATCAGGGCTCGGAGGACTTCTCCTAGGCAGTCGTCAACTGAACGGGTCATCGCCCATTCAGGACGCCTCATCGATAATTATCTAGCGCGCACAGCTTCGTCCATCCCTGAACACCAGCGAAAAGATGGCGATGCTTCCGCCCCCCGCCCCGACAGCTGCTCAGCACCAGAAAGCGTGGGAAGCAAATCATAACGTCTCCGTCATGTGTCCCGACTGTCGAGAGGTCCCAGCAAACCTAGTTGAGGAGTTCTCATCGGGTGACATGGTGTGTGGCTCTTGCGGGCTAGTTCTTGGTGACCGTATCGTGGATACTAGATCCGAATGGCGTACCTTCTCCAACGACGATCAGGGTGGTGATGATCCTTCGCGTGTTGGTGACGCTGCGAATCCATTCTTGAACGGAGCTCAGCTCGAGACCACGATTTCTTATACACCCGGCGGTGCGGGACGAGAGCTCCACAGAGCGCAGAGTAAGACATCGCATGATAAGACCGCGAAGGGGCTTCTGGCCGCGTACAAGGAGATTGGTGCTTTCTGCGACTCCATCAATATCCAGAAGATCGTGTCAGACGCGGCCAAGCAGCTGTTTAAGGTTGTCGATGATAACAAGGCGTTCAAAGGGAAACCTCAGGAGGCCATCATCGCCGGGTGCATTTTTATTGCCTGCCGTCAGTGTAATGTTCCGCGAACGTTTCGTGAGATCTTTGCGTTGACAAAGGTTCCAAAGAAGGAGATTGGGCGTGTCTTCAAGGCACTGGAGAAGTTCTTTGCCGCACAGGATAGCAAGAAGATGGAAGAAATCACAAAAAGCGGTGGTATCGTGGATGATAGTCAGCAGTATAGGACTACTAGCTCGACGAAGGCCCACGACCTCATGATCCGTTACTGCAATAATCTGAACCTTTCGCAGAACTGTACTACAATCGCCCAAGAGCTTGCTAGCAGGGCAGCGAACACTGGGACTTTGGCCGGAAGGTCCCCGATCTCTAGTGCTGCGGCTTGTATCTACATGGTCTCCTACCTCATGAAACAACCCAAGACCGCGAAAGAGATTTCGGGCGTCGCGGGTGTCAGTGATGGGACGATTCGGAACGCCTACAAGCATCTCTACAACGATCGGGCGAAACTCATTGACCTCAAGTGGATCGAGAACGGAAAGGGGGACATTAGCTTGCTCCCATCATCCTAAAGGATATATCTATATACCTTCATACAATAGAGTGGTTAAGTATGGGAGGATGTGTCTATGGCTTTACAGACATTATTTGCACCATCTCTTTTGTTACCTAGACTGAAAAGCGCAGTTCCGGTTCTTTATCATCTTAGTGGTCATTAAATTGATTAGTTGTTCGTTTCCTGTTGTATTCATAGAGCTTTTTTACCTCTCTCTTTTGTTTCGCAATATTGGCGTTGATAAAAATGGAATATGGGGAGGTGGGAGGCTAAGGGGGGCATTCTTTTTTTATTTTTTATTTTTTTCCTTTTACAGGCGACTCTCGTTATAGCGATAAGGTTGGGACCGGGAAGTGGCATCCTTATAACGAGATAATCACTATAAGAAGTTCAGGGTTAGGTTTTATTGGAACGGAGAATAAGATTTAACAGCGGAAAGGGTAGAGGAGGAGGGTAACAGGGCCAGCGAAAGGGAATGGGTCCAGAGTGTACTAAATTTGGTATTAGTTCGTTGTTGGGTGAAAGTTTCGTTATCCAGCAGATGTTTTGTATTGGCTAATTCGGAAAAAATGTTGCGTTTTCTGCTTTTCCTTACTCAGACCCATTTTCTCGTTAGGTTTTTGATCTCTTGATATGAGGATACCCTTACAAATTTTCACTAAATAATGATATCGTTCTATCAACAATCCATACTAAAAAGTTGGGATCGGCAAGTGCCATCCTTATAAGGTGAATACCACCATATCTCTGTATTTTCGAATAGTTCCAATCGATTCATATGTCTATATGCTGGTTTGTTCTGAGGGGGGTTGTCTATCGATCGATCGATTGATTGGGAGGGGGGGCAAAATATCATACTACGTTTCTATAACATCTTTGAATAAAAATAAAATAGTTTGCGTAACTTTGCGTGAGTTAGTGTTGGATTGGAGAGTTTCTGAAACTACTGACTACGGGAACACGGGAGATCACTCGGCCGGCCTTGCATACTTTGGGAGAATGTTTGTTGTTCGATCAATTTACTAGTACTATAATTCCACCCCGCGGTGGCTGAACTTTGCTGGAAATATCGTAGAGATGGGATTTAGAGAGAGGCATTTGTTTATAGCAAAACACAGGTTTTGTTTCTTTAAACGAAATATCGTGATATTCGAGTTTTATCACGATATCGAAAATGTTCGCTGTATTTCTTTAGTAGTATCCTATAGCTCCACTTTCAGTGCTACGTATATGTAGTACTAAAGCCCAGTATCGCGGTCTGTCCCATCACCCTGATCTCTTTTTTTTTTTTTTTTTAAATATGCCACAATATGCCACAATATTCTGGCAATCACTAGATTATAATTATATGCATGCCGGATATTTGATTGTAATCTTTCATGCCGTCTTGTACCAAACAGCATATTTATAATAATTATAGAACGCACCGGCCTAAGTCTCAAACTTATCTGGAGGTTAGACCCCCATGGTGATCGGCGTCATGGTATGTGCCGGTCCCTTGATCTCGGGGTGACGTTTAAGGTCTTACTTTACCCCAGATTCTAACCGATACAGATTAGGAGCGGGTATAGTTCTTGGTTTAGTATTCAGAGCAATATTGTCAACTACATGTAGGTACTCTTGATATAATTAATACAATGTTTGGACTTCTAAGATTGCGATAAAATTATGCACATGAAGGTGAACAAAGAACGTACTACTAGTAGGGGCCTGTTCGGCACGAATATCATAATGTTCTCGACATTATGGTAAGAAGGCGTTTGGTAGACGTCTAGACGAATATCTGGTATTAATAAATATATATTCCTGGAGGTATTTATTGCAATTGTAGCCCCGTGAACCACCGTAACCTAGCCTACCGAATACCTCAATACCGCAACAATACATGTGCTTACATGTAGTTTTGCTTGGGATGAAATACCACACAGCCGAAAATACCATAGTATTAAAACCAAGATGCACCCGAGAGGGCCTAACTACATGTACTCTATCTAATAATGTAGGCACATACACAGAGTACTCGTAAATTCATGACGTTTCCGAACACGACTGCTATTGCATACCATATAAAAAGCGCTAAATCCACTTTTTGTATGTCATGCAATATTGGTCGTGTTCGGAAACGCTATGAACTTACGAGTAGAGTAGATGTATATATATTTATAGAACCGTTACACAAAGAATCAGTGAAAGCTGTTGCTATTGTCATTGAAGGTCAATGAATGATTAGTTAAATTTAACGGATTTCGCAGGATCAATGAAAGATGGATCTGGAACCGAGCCCATGCTTTTAAGCTTAATAAGACCATGGAAAGATTCACGATACACATACCCATGGGAAGATCTTTAGTTATAGATAGATAGTATGTTGATGTAGACGCGAGAGTGTACTCTAGGTAAGTACTCTACCTAGATCTAGATAGCACCTAGCTAGGATAGATAGGAGTTGCGCGTGCACGTGTTCCTGACCAGGGGCGTTCGGTGTTCTCCTTTGAGCCCTTTCAACTTTGGCACCTCCTGAACCCGCCAAGGTGCTCACTTGTCTGTGTCCTTTCCAAGCTCCCTATCTAAACATTCGAAGGGGAGCCCGCCAACCGCTCTGAACTTCCCTCACCCTCCCCACACCCCGCCCCCGTATATATTTTACCCCGGACTTCTTTGCTCCACAAAAAACTCGCCTTCACCCCGCATAAGCAGGCGTGTTTGTTTGTTGAGAGCCAGTGAGCTGCTAGAAACAGGAGTCATGGTTACTAATTCCCTTCCACAGCTGGCCATGGACTCGGAACATTCACACTCCTCTCACTCGCATTCTCACTCGCATTCTCACTCGCACTCGCCCTCCCATCTACATTCGCATTCCCACTCACACTCGCACCCACATTCAGGATCAGGGTCAGGGTCAGACTCGGATTCGCACTCGCACTCGCACTCTCATCCACAAGAGTCTTCCCATTCCCATTCGCATTCGCATTCGCATTCGCACTCCCGCGCCAATGGCCACAATTGTAATGGGCCTACGTTAGGCGTCCAGAACGGATATGCGTTTCCATCTCCCTTCGTAGGCACATCAGCACCACCGTCCACATATCTCGCTCCAACGGAGTTCCCTGATAACGGGAGATCATCCGTAGGGTATTTACCAATGTCTCTGCTTATTTGAGTACTTGTGAATACTGACTCCACATTTTAGGAAACCCTCAGTATCTGCCTCGAACTTTATTACGCCTCTTTCACTAGTGGCGGCCTTTCTTCTCGCAGAGCTCTCGGCCCCGCGCAATAAGGCCGCATTCACCTCCGAAAACGTTAATGTTTCCTCAGCTTTAAATCCACTCGAGACATCTGAGTCCGGTCCGGCTCCGCTTTCCGCGCTCCTCAACAGCCTCTCCTCGGCCTCTGCATTGGGCGCCGGAACACTTCTTTTGCTCGGTAGTTATAGGAAGCTGCGGCAAATTATCGGGGGTGGGGGCGGAGGTAATTCAGATGAAAGTGGCGGGAAGTTTTACCCCAAGAAGCGTGGGGAGCAATTTAGCCCTCTTGTCGTGGTCGAGAAAGCGGTAGGCGCCATGGTGCCTTATTTTGCGGCGATTGAGTTGGGCGCTGTTAGGACTGCGGCGATAGTGCTAAGTATTTCTGCAGGGGGGTTGATTATGGCCGGGAGAGCCGGAGATATAAAGGGTATGGTAACAAGTAAGAAGGGCGCTCTGGGAGCAATCATAGTGGGTGTGGTGTATGATTTGTGGAGAAGTAGTGAGCTGGAGAATGGTTTGTGCCTACCTCCGCCATGTTTTTCCGGGATGCCGAGATACTAATTACACCATATATATAGGCTCTCTTTCATGTTTAATAGCATATGTGTTTCTAGTCGTTTCACTTTTGTTCTTGTCATCGCCATACCCGCTATTGTTCATTCCGTCGGAAAAGTCGTCATCATCGTCGGGGACACAAACTCCGCTCTCAACAAAATCTACGCAGCTGCGGTCTAGCTTTCCAAAACTCACCCGGAATCCGTCAACACTGATGACATCAGCGCTTACTGGGAAAAACCCACTTATTTCCTCTTATCACACTAAACTATCGCTGATCTCTGGAGCCGTGTTATCGTCGATTACTGCCACAAATTGGGCCTTTACCGGATCTACAATAGAACTTACACAACCTGAAAATTGGTTCTATCTATGGGCTGCAGCGGTTGTTTCCGGATTGGTTGCGATAGAATTTGGCACGGGTGTCAGGAAGATTGGATTTGGAGTTGGTACCTTTACAGCGATAGTAGCTGGCTGGGCAATGTTAATGTCCGATATGACGGCCGTAGTAGGGAACGTTATTCTTGCTAGTATGATGTGGGTGGGAATACTACTCGATGAAAAGGCCCAAAATCATGGCCATGACCATGATCATGGACACCACCATGAACCGAAAGAAGCCAAAGCCCCATCAACAATTACCAAAAGTCTTCTACGTATGTCCGAGGGACTGCCTCTATTGCATGGTATCCTTATCGAAAGAGATTCGCGGCGGATCTTCTACTTCATGTGGTATGTATCATCCGCTCGAACTACCGCATGTATGGTTTTCTAATAACGTCCTTTATATAGTCTTAACTTCGCCTTTATGCTGGTCCAGACCTGCTACGGCTTTGCAACAGGCTCTCTCGGTTTGATCTCGGACAGTGTTCACATGTTCTTCGACTGCCTCGCCCTAGGTGTCGGCCTCTGCGCAGCAGTAATGTCGAAATGGCCGCCCTCAATGAAGTACCCATACGGACTGGGCAAGATGGATACTCTTGCCGGCTTTGCCAACGGCATTTTCTTGATGCTCATATCTGTCGAGATCGTCTGGGAAGCCATCGAGCGTCTCCAGAAGCCTACAGAGATGTCACGTCTTGTCGAACTCATGATTGTGTCTAGTCTTGGGTTGGCAGTAAATTTGGTCGGTATCATGGCCTTTGATCATGCGCATATGCACCATGGTCATAGTCACTCGCATGGTCATAGCCATGAGCACGCTCATGAATCATCTCACGATCATGTCCATGTCCATGCCCATGCCCATGATGATGACCATCACCACTCACACGCCGAGGAGCCTGTTGTATCCCCTCCGTCTCATAATCACCCACATGATTCGGAGAATATGCACGGTATCTTCCTGCATATCCTTGCTGACACGCTTGGCTCCGTCTCTGTTGTGATATCAACGCTTGCAATCCAATACACTGGCTGGACCGGCTTCGACCCGCTGGCGTCCGTGTTTATTGCAGTGCTCATCTTCCTTTCCGCCATCCCACTCGTGAAGTCTTCCGCCTCTAATCTCCTTCTCACTGTGCCCGCCAACACGGAATATACTCTCCGCGAGACTCTCGCAGGTGTTAGCGGCGTAAAGGGTGTCGCAGGATATACAGTGCCCAAGTTCTGGGACGTGGACGGCGTGGTAAGAGGATGCCTACATGTGCAGATAGTCAGAGGCGTGGATGCCGAGGCCGTTTGCAGAGAGGTCGAGAATTGGATCCAGAGCGGGCTTGGAAAAGTTGAGGTCTGTGTAGTAGCGGAGAGAGGAGACAGTGCGGGTAATTGTTGGTGTACGAAAATTTAAGTGGATTTAATGTTGCGGGGTGAATGATTTTCTTGTAGTTATCTTTTTTTCTATCCTATCATTTCTCGATAGTGATGATGCTGGTTGGTGGGTAACTATGTATTATGTTATGTATACATGCGGATGCCGGGAATGCGCTATGAAGGGTGGGTTTAGGGTGACGGGACTAAATGCAAATACTGTGCATTGATTAGATATATCCTCTGGGTGTTGGAAAGCTAGAAATAAATGCTTTCTATCGCTTCTAATTAATATTGGTGGTATGCGGTTGAGAAACCGTTGGCATGATGCTACTAGCTCCAATATTCGAAAGTGTTCGTGAGAAGGAACACCGAGAGAGTTTGTGAATGCCGTAATGTTTACAAGGGAAGAAGTGCAAGAGGATGATCTTTCTGGACATATTATGCATACTTCCTAACCATCGATTCCATCTAAGAAATAGCGTTTGGGCTTTATTCTGACAAGAAATGCTGTCGCTCACCCCGGTCCCTGGGCAACATAGTCCTCCCAAAAACAAGAGTGCTGAATGCGTAGCAAGGGGCAGCACAAACTTCTTTATATAATCGAGCCATACATAGAGTTGCCAAAATGAATTCTGGCCATCGGACACTTGCCGACGGCGATGATAAAGTATCCAATCATCACTTATCACTCGGCTACATATTCTGTTGGCGCTGTAAGTATCCCTTAGTCTGTCAGTAAACGATGCCCCCTGCTTGCAAAGATTGTGGCAAATACTAACAAATCGTTACCATTTTCTCATCTGAATTCGGATTTGCTGTACCTATATGAAGGGGCAGCATCGACAGGGTAAGGGATAGGGAAAGGAAGAACAAAGAATGGTACGTGTTAAGAGAGTTGAGGATACTTCCTAGAGTTGAATAGTATAATTAATGAGGGTGTAGAGGATAGGTGAGGTTTCTTGTGTTTTCGGGGGCCTAAATGCGCTGGTATTTTTGACCCATATGAAGCTCCTCCATAAAACTATTAGGATTCTGCTGGCATGGTAGCCTGAGACTTGATGAGCTTGTCTACTATATCTAATTTGAGTGAAATCAATTAATGAAGTAATCAATCAATCAATCAATCTGAGTGAAATGATGCTCACGAGTGATATCCTGTGAAGATGTAGCCTGATTGATTGATAATTCATTAATTCTGAAGATGTAGCTATATATATAGCCTTCAGACTACAGCATATGAATCAGTACCTATATATTGTCTCAGTACTAATTATATTTGAAATAAAGTCCCGGTATATATATACTTAATATCGGGTTATATACTGGGGCATGTGTATATGTACTTGGGGTTTTCAAAGTCCAAACTCCGAAAAATCGTAACTTTGGGTGTTCCACATATCTTATGATAACATAAAGTTCACTTGTAAATATTGGTTTCTTGAGTTAAGATAATAATTCTCGCTAATACATACTGCTAGATATCTTCATTTTTAAATACGCCTTGTGGCCACGTTGAAAAACCATAGGGTTGGGTTGGGCGAGTACTCTAGGATCTTCTGTAGTTGAAGAACTGTAAGGTAAGTAGCTCAAACTAGAGTAGTAAGCTGGATTTATTCACATGCGGCATCACTATCGTATTTCTACCGCACTAGATAACCCCTCTTTTTGCTGCTGTGTTTATTAGAGTAGAAAAAATGCAAGCGCTGCGTACTACTTCAATCCCATGCTTCTCCCCCTGTCCAACCAGCGGAGATTGGCTCTTCCTCCATGCCCTTTTCCTTTTTTCTCCAGCCTCCGTACCCAACTGTTGACTATTCGGGCCGTGAGACGTCTAATTGGCAAGAATAGTAGTTGCGCGAAGAAGCTCTGAAGCGCAGCCGGACAAGAACCTAAACTCGCAAAATGCGATGATTTATACACACAGTGTATCTAACTGACAATACTTAACTCAGGAGTATTTACCGGGAGATGAATTTGAATATGTTGCCTTTATATCCCGATAGTAACTTTCCATATGGAACAACTATCTGTAGAAGATAATGAGGTTGAATTCAACGCCCAAGCCGCCAAGACCCAACGATCACCAACCCGTAAAGCTTGTCTTATCCACGTGTACTGCATTGAACACGCAACCCCGCAACTATTCTCACTCCAATACCGCAATTCAATATGGCGCCTACCCTTACAGCGGTATATAGATCTCCTCTTTCCACGGAGCCTCATATCTTCTCATATCCTCTACCGGAATCTGTAGCTTCTTCTATGGCTACGGGTACTGATGCAAAGACGCAGCATCTTTCGGACCTCCGAGCGGCGGTCATAAAACTTCAGGAGGAGGTAAATACGTACCTAACTGAAAGAATGCAAGCAGAGAAAAAGGCGGAGGAGGATGCGATGGCGGAGGAGAAATATGGCGAGGAGGAGGGAGAGGAGGAGGATTAAGGTCATGAGGCGGGTGCGGATGTCATACGGTCTTGGGGATTTTTCTACTTTGCGGGAGAAGGCTTTCAGGATTTTTTGCAGTACTTGTTGCGCAAAGGCTGTCGGTTGTCAGATCGCCTTTCTTTTCTTTTTTCTTTTTCGCAAACCTTGGAGCCCGCGGTTTGTGGAAAGCTTTGTGAAAATTCCCTTCCTTTCCCGCTCTAAAAATCGAAGAATCATATCAAATCTGGGAACTCGTTTGACGAAAGGCTGTTACCTTGCTGAACTGGCAATCTTTTGTCAAACCGCGATATTATCCTATATGAAAAACTCGTTTCTTTTACTAAAAAAACATTTCTTGAGGATATGAGCTCATCAACAAATAACCAAAAGAAAAAAAGTAATAAACCCCTGTGTGAAAGTAAAAGAACAGACATCATTAAAACCAGAAGAAAAAAAAGTCGACTGAACCCCGAAAACCCTTATGTGTTATCAAGCGTACACGCTCGCTTGTAGCCTTTGCACACCTACCAACTAATAATGAAGGGGGAAAGGAATAAAAACCATGTTGTACAAAGCAGCCCGTACTTTACATTTCCTTCTGAGCACAGCCATAATGTACTACCATTCCACTTAACCGAATATAAATTATGTCAGTATTAGCCATAGTTGGAAAGCACACTTAGAATGGATGTTACATACCTTGCAGTTCTCAAAATAACACTAGTCCCCAACCTTTTGTGACAAACCGGGCACACCCTTTCCTCACCGACAATGACATGCTTATTCCGGCTTTCTAACAATCTTTCTTGGACATCTACCCTAAAACTTGCCCTTAATTGGGCTGCCATGCGGTTTTCTACCATACGGGAATTCGTATGTCTGATCCGGCTCTGGAAATAAGTTTCCAGATTCGAGATTTTGATGTCTTCAGGTATAAGCTTCAACGCGTCTGAAGCTTCTAGCCTTGCACCGTGCCGAGACAGAATTGAAAGTGCTGGACCGAGCTGCTGCATATATCCTGGTGGGGGACGTAAATAGAGAGAGAGGAGAGTATGGTAGACTGTCGTAGGCTTTGAGGTCTCGGCGGGATCTTCAGGAGGCGAAGCGTGGTGGATTTTAGCACAGTATCTATTACTATTAGCGTATATTTAGTAAATGCGGGAAAGTATAATATCTACTCTTCAGCTTTCTCGTGATCCCTCAGCTTGAACACATAAATTTCTAAGGCTGTCTTATGTTGTCCCATATTACTCAATACCACTGCCCTTGCCTCATAAAACTCCGGATCATCCCTCGGTAACCATCCAAGAACTTTCTCATTCCGGTATTGCTTTGAGCTAACCAGAAAGTCCAACAACTTCTCTCTCCATTTCAAGCGTTCTTCTTCTCGTCCATCAAAGTCATCCTCGGTTAGAGTTTGTAAATATAGCCAGACCATCCGAGTGTGGAACTCATGAGTTGGATCGCCGAGCTCGTTGATGATATACTCTAAATACTGCACGGCAAGCATTCTATCAATCTCCTGTAGATACTCGAGAACTTTCCCTCTCGGTAATGATTCTGCGTTCTGGGAGTCGGTAGTGAAGACTTCCATCCCTAACTTTGGGTCTATTTTTAGTGGCCATCTGGCATATTCAAGGATCAGGTCAATATGACCGGTCTTTAGGTTCTGCAAGTATCCAATCGTCCTTTGTGGACCCTGAAGGTTCATGGCGCGGGAATCTACACGCTCCTCCTGCCCGAACTGTCTTAATAGCTCTAATGCTTCTTTATGAAGCTCCTTCTGACATAGAAAGTCGACTAACTCTGTAAACATTCCCAGGTCCTGGAGTTTTTCACTAACGACCGCCGGATCGCCATGTTTCTGGACTCGAACGAATGGACCGACTAAGCGGGGATTCGTGATAATATAAATCCTGAATAGAGTCGTATCTACAAGCCTAGCTGCCTGCATGAGGCTGTCTAGCCGTGTAGTGGCATCCTCCTTTAACACTTCAACATTTTCCGTATGGTTCGCAAAGCTAGAATCAAAGAGGTCATTCTTTGAGATTGAAACTGGAGAGGTGGGGCCACCGGTATTTGCGAACGAATCAAGCGGCTTGCCATCAGCATTGAAATATTTCGATATCTCGCGCCGTGTGTCTGCTAGAAAAGCAGCCAACTCGTTGGCAGCTGTCTTTAGCTCGTCGCCTTGTAGTATCGGCGGTGCTTCAGGGACAGTTTGAGTGTGCTTTACAGTGATACTCGCTGTATCACTGTGATCGTCCGGTACAACCGCCGCCGTGTTACGTCGTACACCAAATGAAAATATGGAAGCAGTCTCAGAGTTCTTCTTCATGTGTGACAGATTTGTTTTCTTCAGCTCGGCAAGGTAAGAAGGGGGCTGGGCTTTCCCGGCCTCCACCTCCGCCTCTTTCTTCCTGCCAAGGTTCCCACTTTCCGCTGGCGTTTTATCGGCTTCTGGCGCTTCTTGTATAGTCGTAAGGGTCTCATCACCTTGCTCAACTGCCTCAGGGGATTTCGTTGCTTCTGTTGCTTCTGTTGCTTCACCTAGGCCACCATCCTCAGCAGTTTCGGAGGGGTCATCATCTCCCGAATCTGTAGACTCCGTTGTATCTTCTTCGTTCCTATTGGTCTCAACAATCGACAAATCACCCGCAATGACTCTAGGAAACAGTCGTATCGCCCTTTCTGGTGGTGCTGAAACTTTAATGAAAAGATCCATACTCTCTCGATATTTCTTTTTGTCAAACAATCTCTCTGCCTTCAACATTTGTACCTCTCGTAACTTTTCCTCTTTGCGATCTTTCAACAAAACATTTTCAAGGATTTCTAGGAGACTGATAGCTTCATCTAGATGCTCACCATCCACGAGCTCCTTGATCTGTGTCTCGTAATCTGCCGTACTCATGCGCCATACCTGTGTTGGGGATGCGACGTAAAAGAGCTTTCCCGCGTGGACAAGGGACACGTTCGGTGGGGGGACGTTAAGAGTTGATACATTAGGAAGATGTATTGTTTGTAGTAAAGTCTGTGTTGACGGATTACGGACTTCGAGGTGTTGTTTGGATGTGTTAAGAGATACTAAATATGGGTATGAAAATACAACTGAATCTGGGGATACTGGCCATGGGATTGGTGGTCTATCGGGTATAACGTTGCCTTCCTTATCGATGAACAGGCTTGTGGCTAAAGAGTATGTGTAAGCAGTTGTGACAGGGAGCGGGCTTTTCAGCCATACTTACTATCTTTTACTAACAAAAGCTCATCTCCTCCTAAATGTGTACTCAATGGTTTCGAACCCCATCCTCCCATCCCCATGTATGCCGACCAGCCCACTTGCTCTCCGCCGCCTACTACAGCAGCACCATTGCCTTTACTCTCTGGTGGGACTATATCTTCAATAGCGCCAGTCTGTACATTGACCGTCACAAATCCACCTGATAACCCCGCCACAACCTTTTGTCCACTAGCCCAGGTCAAAGACCTAATAGCCCCGCTCAAAATGACTTCTTTGCCCTCCTGAAACTCCTCATCATGCCACGAGTACAATAATAGTCTTTTCTTGATTCCGATGGACAATCGACTAACGATACTAGGAATTTGTGTTGTCTCATCCTTTTCGATGTTACTGGTCACAGCAAACGTAGTGGCTCCTTTCGTCTTAGATAATGTTTCCTTGAGAGTGAACTCGTCGAGGTCGTGAATATGAACGTAATTGTCACTAAGTGTAACGAGAATCTTAACCTCCTTTATACAAGCCAGAAGCTCGATCGACCTTCGTGAGAACTTGTCTATTGTACGTAGAAGTGATAGTGATATCTCGGGAGTGTCTGGGTTTAGTACTTGGCACACCCTTAAGGTGCCATTTGAAAGACCTAATAAGAGCTTGTCGCCTTCAGAACACAATGGATGTCAGCCTCAAGACTGCAAGAGCTAGCGGGCATGGAGTATTGCTGTTATTATTGGGTCGTCCTACCATATGCCAACAAGGACTCAATTCTAAAGCGCTCTCTCGGGCCGAGCTCCAAGATTGAGCGAGCATTGAAGGCGTTGAGCATGGCGGAAGGTAGCCAGCCCGCGGCAGAGCTGGGTCAGCTATTGTTATTAAGAGCTAGATTGGTAATCTATAAAGACGATTGTAGACCGATATTAATGAGAAGGGGTCCGATAAAATAGCGATCGCAGGACAACTCAACTCTACTCAGACAGAAGAGGAGACAGTCAAAGAGACTGGGCTACACCACCAGTGGGGAGTTGATGCAGGATGAAGTCGCGAAACGGCCAACACTGACTGTGCCAAGAGGTATGACCATGCACCCCAAGCGACATGTCCGGGTTCATTGGCTTAGAGCCGCACTAACTGATTGGCTGACTGGAGTGTAGAGATGTATGTATTACCTCATTCAGGGTAGGCACAGTAGCCTACAGTTCAATATGCCGGATCCCTTGCTGTTCCGTACATACAGTACTGTACTTACAAAATCTTCGGACAAAAATCTTGACCGTCCGGCATACTAGTAGTGAGGTACTGTATAGCCATGGGTTGGGACCTACGCCACCGATACACTCGCTTATGGCGGTTGCTTTAGCCAATCAACGACCATGGACTTTATCATGAGAAAGTACCTATGGCACTACATGTAATCCCCCTCAGCAGAAAACTAGCAAATAAACATCATATTATTATGTATGCAACGCACAGCGCTGTATAATTTCGCCTCTCTGAAATACGGCGCCAATATCTGGTCCCTATCGGTACTGGATTTACTTACGTACAGTATGAGAAAACGAGGTGAAACCATTACCACAGGACTGCGGAATTAAATCGGCATTTCAAAAAGAATACCGTATCAATACCGTATTCTTGCTGCATTACTGGCCTATTAACGGGAATACTGAAGTAAGTACACCTATTTTTGGTACTGTGTGCAATTACGTATAAAATAAATGAATGCAAAGTACGTAGTAGGTAGAAGAATCAAATGCTTTTATTTATCCATTATTCGTAAACAATTCCTCCGCTAAGTGTTTTGTATTGTATAGTACAGGTCGATCAAAAGAGAAAAAAATGATACCAGCTTTTACCTTTGAAAAGAAACTAAACCCCCTTCCCCTTCTTCTTCTCTTTCTCAATTTTTCTTCGTTTCTCCCTTAGATTCTCAACTTCCTCTTCCTTCTTCTTGTTTGAGAACTGCATCTTCTCATACAACTTACGCTTTCTTCTGGACATCATTATCTTTTGCATTTCCTTTTGCTCCTCCTCTTCTCTCTCTTGCCTACTCTTCTTCTTCTCCTTCTTCTTCTTCTTTTCTCCGGCTGGCAATTTGATACCTGCTGCCTCTGCTTCCAATTCCCGCTGATGCTCTTGCTGCGCCTTCTCCTCTTCATCCTCAGACTCTGGCTCTTCCTCCTCCAATGCGCCCACTTCGATCGCTTCGTGTTCGTCTTCCTCATCTCCACTTTCCAGATCCACTTCCATCCCACCCTCGATATCGTCTTCCTCATCCTCGCTCATTTCCTCGTCGGCGACATTAGGTGCGGTAGGATCATATGTCTTTTCGTCGATCTTGACCCATGGACTCAAGTGAGGAGGTAAGAGAGCTCCAGGGCCGTACTCGGCAGGCGAAAGTAGTCTCCCGATATTAACACAATCCCAGATATACTGCGGCTGCACGTAAATGCGTCCCGGAATCCTTCCATTGACTTTCTTGGCCTTGGATGCATCTGCCATTTCTTCATCGCCATCAATTGGCATGAGCGGGAGTGCAACTTGCTTAGCGGGGGGACGATCAACAATCTGGTGAGTGATTAATGGATCATTCTCGTTCTCAGTGAATGCACCCTCTCCGAGAACCAAATCCCATCCAATTCTCTTACATCCGAACGATCTCAAAAGGAACTCAAGTGGTTGTCTTGGAGTCTCGCGGGAGAGGAAGAAGGTGAATGGCGCAAAGAGGTTTGCTGGATCTTGAGATCCTGAGGTCCCAACATTGCTCATGTGAGGTTGTAGCAGCACATCTGCGCCAGTGGCGACAGGCTTAAAGGTGTCAATAGTACTCTCCCCCATCACAGAATCTTCTTCCAGTGTAGTGGTCTCAACAGGATCTTCCTCATCCTTCTGTTCAAGCGAAGCGATCTTCTCGTTAAGTGTAGCAAGCTGCCTCGACATCGCCTTGGTATTGCTTTTATCATTTCCAGCAGCCAGTAGAAGGCCAACACCTTTTGCCTCCAGGCTAAACGCCCTTAGTCCCGCACCCTTCGAGTCTGCATCTGCGTCGAATTTTGGTGGATACACGAGGCCTTCCTTGGTGTAAAGTCTGAAAAGCACAAATCCAACCAAAGTGCTGTAGAATTCAACGAACGTGCCCATAACCCTGAAATCAACATCTACAGGAACATTCTGCGCAAACTTATATGGTACTAGCCACAGAATCTCTTGCCCTTGAATCTCTGCCTGGTAGTATATTCCCTTGATCGATAGGAAACTCTTTCTCAATGAACGCGTGCGGATGATGTAGTGCTGCCACTCATTGGAAAGCCTCTCGCATGTTGCAATAGTCTCGGGGTTGAGATTGTGATTAGTTGGAAGGTTGGCAAAAAGAAACAACATAGAAACTGCATCGTCAAGATCACGGAGTGCGTCAGTGAAGGTGGGGTAGCGCTCTTTGACGATATGGTCAAGTTTAACTTGGGGCTTGTTATTAGTCTCGAGACGCTTTGCATCGGAATAGTCCCCACGGCCGAGGGCTTTGTTGAGCTTTTTGGCGAAGGCTTTGTGTTCGCGAAATTTTTCGAGGACGGGCTCGTGAAGTAGATATTGAATATCTTTTGTCTATAGGCAAATGTATTAGAATTAGACCCTGAGAATATACAGCATTACTTTTAACATACGTAGTAGAATGTAGTGGCGGCGGTAGAGCCCTTGTTTGCCTTTCTTTTATTCCGAGGTTCACGGGGGTAGATTCCTTCATACAATATATCAGTAAGCCTAATTCCTTGCCCAATTCGAAGAATTTTTGCGTACCTTTGAAAATACACAATCTTCGGAAATCAGGCAGAGAAACCTGGAGCTTACGGACCGCTTTTGTTCTAGTTATGAAGTTTTTCGCATTGCCGGCAACACCTATGCAGCACAGGTTAGTAAAAAAAGGTCTCGGTCAGGAAAATTGAAAGCCCAAGCCGCGGTCCAATTTTGTGGAACGGATTGTGCTGTAAGGGGTGAACGGGGTTTGTTACCCTTCTTCTTGATCCGGCCCATTATGAAGTTTATTATTTTCTGCTTTTTGATAAAGTACAATGTAGTTGGTGTTGGTTATTGGCGGGAAGAGAGAGAGTCGCGGAATTTTTTTCTTGAGTCTGGGTTGCCACTAGTGTAGTGCGGCTCAAGAGTTGGCCTGCAACAAGGGGATTGTCTCAGCTTCAGAAATACTTCCTACATGTTTCCTCCCCTCATTTAACGTCATAATTCTGCCTGTTATGGCGCCGGGCATCAATAATCAACAAATCCGGCCATTGGGTTCAAACTTTTCTCTCTACGGGTTATACAGCGAGAGGTAGAATTATTGTAGAAACAAGGGTCTAAAAACAGGGTTTAGGTGGCTGACTCGGCCAATAGGACTCTTCCCATACTTCTACAATAATTTTACCTCATGCTGTATAGAAAAAAGTTTATTTTTATCCCCCCCCAAAAAAAAGTACAACACTGTACCTACATGTAGGTACATGTATGTATTGGGTTACCCGGCTGATAGGACCTTAGTGGTTAAGCTACACTAGCTAGAAGAAAGCTTTGGGTCGAGTCCATGGATCCGGATTACATACATCATGTAGTAGAGTAGAGGTTAAGATGATCTCTACTAGTAGTCACCGGGGGAGAGAGCTTGGTATCCATATCCCTTTCATTTCCTTTAGCTTCTCGAAATACATGATCACGGTTGGAGAGACTTGGAATTCATAGATGATTGAACAATGTTAATAGATATTTTTAAACTGCCCAAGCTGTCCCTCATCACAATGGCCCAATCTGTTTAGCCATTTAGGTGTGTAGGTGCACCAGTTCCTAGGGATAGTCCGGATCAGCCAAAGAGTATTACACATTTATATTGAGTTTCAATTTTTCAGTATAATGTGGGGCCTTTGATACCTGTACTCACCAGCAGGCTTGATGATATTTCCTGATGCATCCCTGACTTCTGAGTTTGCCTTTGCCCATGCCTTCCCTTCCTCGGTCTGACTCCAATGTTTCCCCGCTTTGATAAGTTCAAACTCTTCCTTCGTCACTTTTGTCTCTGGATATCTCCCGAACCCCCTTGACTCGAATGCAGCCTCGATAACAGAGAGCGGTGCATTGATTCCGGCTTCGCGTGCGATGTCGAGAATTTCCATACGCCGATGCGCGGCATCTTTTATTGCCGTGGCGACGAGACGGTCGATTTCCTCTTCTGTGAGCTTTTGTGTGGAGCTTGACATTGTTTGTATTTGATGTTTGTGTGGAATGAGTCTTTGATGATTGGTGGTGGGTGATGATGAGGGGAGGTCTGGCTACTGGTGCTTATATAACAAAGGTCATCCTATCTATGTCCTAATTCAACCTATGGTTATAAACCTTGTCATAGCGTTCTAGCCTGCGAAAGAACCGCAAATAGATATCGATGAGTTTAATACTAATGAATCAAACTCGATAGTACCTAATCATTTATTTCTTTACGCGCGGACAGGTTTAATCTAATGTTTAACGGATCAACTTCATGGCCTGTCCTGTGTCATATCAGTCATACATACATGTACATAACCGGATCTCACAGTACTCTACTAAATGTTCTTTACCACCACCGAGACTGTGGCCAAAGGCTATATTAATCTATAGGTTTATCGTGGCTGCGGTGACTGGCCTCATGCATAGATACATGTAGATATCAAGACCTTATCTTATCTTATCTTATCTTATCTTATCCCATATTATCCCAACTTATCTTAGCTTAGCTTAGCTTAGCTTACCTTAGATCTTTTTTTTTTAAGTCGCACATCACTTTATTTGCCCAACTGTGCGCACGTACATAAATCTCCAATTCAAAACTTGCCCATGATAAAACCTTCATAATCTCAATAAAGATAGTAGGGAGTGTTAACGCCACTAGCCAAGCTTCAGAAGAAATCATGGTCCTCAATCCCCCACCGAAGCGCTCAGCGCCGGCAGAGCCTAATCTAGTAGCAAAGAAAAGGAAAGCATCTACGAAAGGTGGTAAAAAATCCATAAACTTTTCCTGCCTTTTCCTTCCGCAATTTATAGTATGAACCAAACTAATAAGAGGGGTAAATAGTAAATTCATGTCCTTACCCAGACTGCGGGAAAACATTCACGAAGCCATGTCGCCTTGAGGAGCATATTCGTTCTCACACCGGGGAAAGACCTTACATATGCACTGCGGATCCAGAGAATTGCGATAAAAGGTTTTTACGAAATTCGCACCTAAAGGCCCATGTAAAAGCATTGCATACGAAAGAAAAATCATTTAAATGCACATTTATGATTGTTCCCGGAAACGAGGAAGATCGGGGTGCTTTTGGGTTTAAGAGGAAGGCACCCGGAGGTGCCATCGAGCAAAATAATGGTGATGGGAAGGAACCTAGAGAGTGTGGGGCAACTTTCACCACAAATCAACATTTAAATAGGCATTTAGAGAGTCATATGAAAAGTCTCCCTCATGTGGTAAGTTAAGGTTGCTTCCGTGATGGGCCCTTGGCTGACTAAATTCAACCGTAGTGTACAGACTATCCTCCATGCTCGGAAGGATTTCGGAAACGTGGTCCATTACGGCGTCATATCCGCGAGGTGCACCTTAAATTATTACCATGGGGATGCACGTATAAGGACGTAGAAAATCCCGAGCATGGGTGTACGGCTGCTTTTGATACCAAAGGAAAATTGGGAGGTCACATAGATAAAGTTCATAAGGGCTTAATACCAGCACTCTATACCTGTGCCATGTGCAGTGCTTATACAGAAGGCGAAAAAGGACCCGAGCCAGCGCCTGGGGAAGAAATTATTGTCACGCCAAGGCAAGGAACAGAGCAAGAAGGCAACAAAACATCAACAGGAAATCCAGATCTTTGTAATGGTGGAATTGTTGAAAATCTCAGTCCAGAATCCTCCACCCCCTTTCCAGTGGTTCGTTCCATGCTTGTCACCAAACCAGTGGAGAAAATATTTTATCCTGAAACTGCCAGGTTGCAGGGTAAAATCGGGTTTAAAACATATCTAGAGCTTCGCCGTCACACAATACACATGCATCCTCCTACCTGTGTTCAATGCCGTTACACTTTTAAGAACGCCAGAAATCTAAAAGTCCACATCGCAAACACTCATGGTGCCCTTCTAGAAGAGAGAAGACATCATATTTGTGAGCAATGTGGCACGGGTTTCACAAAGGTATGGTCATCCATAACTTTTAGTGTCCAATTACTCATGGCCTTTTAATTTAGAAACATGCACTAAAAGTTCACGTCCGTCGAGTACACGAGGACCTTCGCCCTTTCGCCTGCGTAGACTGTCCCAAAACCTATGGCTATAAATCTCAGCTCCAAATACACATCGAAAACCATCATTCCGGTCGCAGAAAGCCCTGCAGAAAGCCACGCGGTAGATCCACCAAGAAACCGAATCTTATTCAACAGCTTACCGGCATGGGGTACGAAGAAAGCGGGAGGAATATCGAATGTGTTGTCGACAATTGCGATTATAGATTCGTTAGAATTTACGATTTAAAAGTACATTTGAGGAGTCTAAAGCACCATGGATTTGATGAAGGTCAGGTGGAAGAATTGATCATTGATGCAGAGGGGGGTAGACGAGAAGAAAACGGGGAATATAACGAGAATGATGACGAGGACGAGGATGAGATGACGGATACAGACAGCTCTGGTAGTGGGAGTGATGAGGAGAGCGATGTAATAGCGGATGGAATGGAATATGTAAATTTATGGGATGATATGGGTGATATGGATTTGGATAAAGAGAGTGGAGATGTTTCTGGGGAGGAATGATTTGTTCTTTCCGGCGTGCTAGTACATGTAATCATAAGCCGTGGTGAAAACACTCAAAACATACTTGTTCAATTGGATAGTCTAGATTTCTTCCTAGGAACATCTAAATCCTGTACTCTATCATTTCTTTTCCTTTCAGAAAAAAGAATTGCTTACTACCCCCTCTCCTGGAATGAACAGCGTCAAGGTATTGACCAGTCTTCATCTATCGAATCATATTCTGCCAATATAAGCAATCATAGGCCTAAAAGATCGAAGGAACCGTTTTATCGCTGCTCCTCTCTGTGGCCCCTCTGAATACCGTCTTTTGGATTTGTTCCTATTCTACCCTTTTAGCAACGTATCAGCCACTTCAATACAAAACATCATATGTTAAAGCTGGAGATGCATTCTCCCCCTTTAAAACGCTCTGTAACAGCTCCAAACAATCTAGGTTTAGCTGCTACAAAAGCCAAGGATAGCTTTACTACAGGGAATATCCCTCGACATCGCTCGCTCAGTCCAAATCCTCGGTCTCGAACACATAGTAATGATTCCCCGCGACCATCAGAGCTACTTTATCACAAGTCAGTGTCGATAGGAATTCCAAGTCCACTTTCCCACTCGCACTCTCACTCTCCAAGTTTAGAAACCAGAAACGCTCCAAGTAACTCTGCACCGCACTCTCAAGTACATGATTTTGAGCCCAGTACTTCCAAGTTACGTCCCCAGAACTTAACAAAATCAGATGATCGTAACTCTGAACTTCATCCCCCAATGGTTTGCGCTTCCGAGGCTAGTGGTTCATCTATTGGGAGAGTTTATATAAGCGCAGAGACATCAACAAGATCATCCAAGATTCAAAATACGCCACGAAACGAAGTAGATTATGATTACCTAGGAGTACTACAAAAGTCAGATTATCACTCGAACACATCTTCTCAATCATGCCTTAGCTTTTACGTTCCACCGACATTTGATACGGAGAGGATGCATGTTGAGAGTGAGCATTCGAATTCAGGTACGAGCGGATTCACATTGTCTGAGAGCGATAAAAGTGAAGCTCTGAGCAGGGTATCGGGTTATGTTATGGCCGAAGTCCAAAGAGGCTCTAGAATTGTTCCCGAGGGAGGTATGCTGGATTTGCAGTTTCCAATACTGACGACTCCCGACTTACAATCTCTCGTAGAAGCATCCTCAAAATTGAGGATAGATCCTGACGATTTTGAAAGGAAGCTCTTGGTTGAAGATCCTGACCCTTTATTTCACAGATCCCTTAATAGTGCTTTACAGGGCGAACCCCTGGATCAAGTACTGGTTGAGCAAGTGGGATCTTTTGGAGTTCATAACCTAAGAAGTGATACCTTAGGTCAACTACCCCGTATGACTACTATTGAAGCATTACCATTGCATTTGTCGCCCCCAGTTCTACCCACTAAAGAAGGTTTATTGGGAAAGATCACTCAGTTAGAAGTTCCGCCTGCTGTACCAAGTGGAGAGATAACACCTAGCACTGTGGTCCTTCCCGGCGAATATTTTCGTCGGCGCCATAGCGGATCTCATATACTTTCACATGGGCATAGGGATTTTTGTCTGAATCTTCAGATTATAGATCATGTACCATCGCCGTCGCCAAAAATACTTATCGGACCTCGGGTTTCGTCCGATAGACCGCCAAATACCCCTGAATCTCCATTCACGTTAATTTCGAGGGAAAAGACGAAAGTGAAGGGTAGAAGACAAAATTCACCATCGTCCTTAATCACATTCTTATCTGCGGTTAGCCCAACTGAGACCTATGGCGTTCCAGGAAGATCGAAACTAAAACCTCCCGGGAATTCGAAGGTGAATTCGTCCGGGATATTACTAGTGACGGTTTCGGCAGCCACAGTGATATGCTTGGTACCTGCGTATGGAGAAACACACATTTTGCTGACTGAGATAGAGAGTTCAGTTGGCCTAACCAATGGTGTGTAAACGTACAGAAAATAACTTACACTTTGTATCTACTGACATGATCGTACCGGTAGCAGAATACCCAGCGCATATTTCTAGGGGCCTTGCCGAGAAATCACCATGCATGAGAAGTTTGAGAAAGGTTATCGAGAAGGACGGCCTAAGAATTCTTTCGCAAAATAATTAATTATGCCTGTTGTTCAAATTCGATATTACATTCGAACTTTGGGTCGAAGAGTCCTTTCGATATGCTAGGATGAATGGTCTGGTACTCGTCTATTCATAGCGTTTCCGAACACGACCGATACTGCGTACCATATAAAAAGGAGGGCTTGACGCTTTTTTATCTGGCATGCAATAGCAGCCGTGTTCGGAATCGTCATGAAATTAGTAGTACTCTACATACACTCTGCGTGGTCTGGTATTTCCCTATCCTGGATTAGAATCAGCACTTGATGGCTTTCCTATTGGCTACGATCTCAGCCTCTAATAAGAGAAAGAAATCGACTGCTCATTCGATATTCCCTGTGTACTAAGTAATGATTAGGATTAAAACAAATCCTTGATTCATGTAAAATCACTCGACCAATTCTCGCCAAGCCATGTACACTGAAGTTTACTTCAGGGTTAAGCGAAGAAATGTGAGAAAGGCCAAAATGCTGAGTCATCAATTGTGCTCTGAGGTCTATGCTGAGCCAATTGCCAAAGCATAGATCTATAGGTGGAGGTGGACAAAGAGAAAGACGACATGATGTATGTAGATGTAGTTATCCTGTTCGATATCGAAAAAAATAATCAACGACCACCACCAACAGATTGTTGCAACTCTGAGGACGAAACTATGTGTATGCATATGTATGTATGGTGCGCCCAATCATAAAGGTAGTCAAAAAATTGGGGCGAGGTCGAGGTAGAATAACTTTCCAACGAAATAAATTATGAAAAATCTGGTTGGTAAAATTGAAGTACTAGTGATGAAGAAGAATTTTACCAACCAGATTTTTGATATCTCTCCTGGTTAAAAAGTTATTCAAGCTTGAAATTCGGTATTTTAGTATGTAAAATGCGCCAAGCAATCACAAAGTGGAACAGGCTTGGCAGTAGGGTAACTGCAACCTCACCACACCTCAACTACACCTTTACGCACCCAAAGCTGGTAGGCAACAACACAACCAGTTTTCAAGAGTTAAATTCGTAATTTTGGGAGGTTATCCAGCTAGATACTGTGAAAAGGACTTGTCTTAATCTTGAAAACTCGAAGAGTTATGGTGCATAGAGTAAGGGGACAATAATGTTGCATCCCTATCATTCTCAGCCCCATAGCAACCACCCCCACCAAATAATTTTGAGCACAACAACCACACAAGATATTATTCTCCTCTTCGGGAACATAGTAAATAAGACGTAGCTTAACAATATAGAACCCTGAAAATAATTTTAAATTAAGTAGATAATGATTTATAGCCTTTTTAACAATGAAAATGCAAATCCTATCCCTATTTGTGCATGTAAAAATTCATTTTAACTCTTCTATATACTTTTAAGCTAATCGACTATTACCTCCCAGAATTACGAATTTAACTCTTGAAAACTGGTTGTGTTGTTGCCTACCAGCTTTGGGTGCGTAAAGGTGTAGTTGAGGTGTGGTGAGGTTGCAGTTACCCTACTACCAAGCCTGTTCCACCAACCAAACCTGACTTGTCACCTTTTGTCACCTTTATGCGTGGGCGCACCATACTTCGAATTGGGTAGTAAAAGCAGTCTCATATATAAGTATGACAAGTGCGAGAGAGGAGGGGTCGAAAGCCGCGCAGCGGCTTGAGAGCCCAACTTCGAGCCCTTGTAGAGTAAGAGTACTCAATTAGATACTAAAGCTTCAGGGTGTTGCTAAGCGCAGCGCAGCTCCAGTGCCCTGAAGTTTACTTCAGGGTTAAGCAGGTACTGGACACCAGGCATTGCTTAGTCATTTCATTTAGTCATCATCGTGCTCGCTCAGCTCATTCAAGGGCAGCTGCGTCTAAAGTAGGCCAATTAAAGGTGAGGTTTGACATCCTACCCGTAGAGATCTTCCACCTCCGTCCTATCAGTTGCGATGAAATTAAGTATTGTCTCCACGATAGCAACCATCAACCTCACCATTTCCTTAAGCCCACCAACCACCACCATAACCAATGGGTAATTAAAGCCGGAGGGAATTACTTAACTTCCCCGAAAGCACCCCACACCCGAACCCACGGACCCACGAACCTACATAACAGAGCGTATTTATCACAAGTGTCATTTTGACAATTGCCCTTCGAAATTGGCGGTTGCAAAGGCAGAATTGACCGCAAAGCTGCAAGGCGAGAAGGAGCACTTGCAGAGTAAATATTATTTTACTAGTCAACTGTTTGCTTCAGGGCGTCGCTAAGCGTAGCGCAGCTCCAGTGATCTATAGTATGTAGTAATGCTGACTAAAACCGGTTACGTGAAGATGCATCTTTGATCGTCCAGTCAACCACTCACTCAACTCTGTGCTGGTAAAGTTCACTTGGTGAGGTGTAAGAAACAGAAGAGGTGATTAATAACTAAATACATGTAGGTACAGTTACCATACCTACCGTACTTACATCAACATGCAACTAAACACATTCAACATCAGACAAGCTGTATATAACCAGCGCAGCAATATGACACACAATATCAATATTTATACCAACCCTTCTTCTCTCGGGGGCACTGGCCTCTTCGCAACTACTAAAATCACACCTGGTCAGCTCGTCCTTGGTATACCAGAGCCTCTCGTCACCGTCCCAGACGATATACATCTTACGGAATGCTGCAGTCGATGTATGGTGTGGAGACCCGCCGGAGGTGGGACTTCAATGTTGAACTTATATGAAGATGAGAGATCTTTAAACTATTGTACTGGCTGTAGAGTGGTAAAGTACTGTAGCAAGGTATGTTCCTATAGCCAAACTCATCAGAAACGAATAATCGCTAAATTAATAAATACAAAGGACTGCCAAAGAGCCGATTGGCGCGCGCTCCACAAAGTGGAATGTGTAATTTTTAAGAAGCTCCATCCACGTATACTTCCCGGATCCGTTCGTGCTACAATACGCATGTTATGGACCACTCCCGGGGAAGCATGGAGCCAGATAAATTCGCTCGAGAGCCACGAGAGCGAATTCAGAAAGACAGACAAATGGGAGATGATAACTTTAATGGCCAAAGGAGCACATGGATATTCCGGAACAATTTTGGGGGAGAAGGACGTCCGAGGGATCTATGCAAGGGTCTGGATATCTACGCCTGTTATATAGAGTGTGAGTTAACAGAATGCTAACGGAGGGATGGAATAGCTCTTGATTAACAGCATCACCCTCGTTAACTCTACTTTCGACCCAATTGGTATCGCTTTTGACCCCTTAGCAAGTCTGATGAATCATTCGTGCGATCCAAACTCTGTGATGGTATTCGATGGCCGCACCATTTCCGTCAGGGCACTGCGGGAAATCGCAAAGGATGAAGAAATAACAATCTCTTACATCGATAACACCAATCCGACTTCTCGTCGCCGTTCAGAGCTCCAGGAACGATATTTTTTTACATGCTCATGTCAGAAATGTGTGTCACCCGCAACCGTCAGCGAATTGAAAGAGGTCTTTATCGATATCCCAGGTGTTCCCACCTCTAATCTCGAAGATGATGCCTGGGCGGCGATTTCTACACCTTCGGAGGATGTTTTGTTAAAAGCCATAAAAACCCTCCATACGACGAAATTATGGCCTCTACAACGACAGCCACTGCCACTGCTGCATCATGAGCTCATACACAGCGTCTACATCCCTTTATCGAAATGGCCCCAAGCGCTGCTTCACTCGCTGCTGCTATATTTATATGTCGACCCTGTGCACTATCCCCAAAGACATCATCCAGTGAGAGTAACGCATGCGTTCACGCTTGTTAGTTTATTTCTTCAAGTTTCCGGAGGCTTGGACTCGTTAGAAAGGGTAGCACCAAAAGCCAAAGGAATGGATTTGGATTTAGGAAAGATCATATGGGGTTTGCTATGCGAGATAGTCGCGCACGTAGCGTTATCACATGGTACTGAAAGTACATTTGCTCAAACTGTAAGGAGAAAGAAACAGGAGGTGGGTGAAGATTTGGGTGCTAATGAGACTACTGGGCTATGGGTGGGGAAAAGAATAAATGATGTTGGGTTAGAGGAAGAATTGGTGAAGGTTAGGGTACTCGTTGGTGGGTTGTTGGAAGAAATGAAGAACTAAATCTATATGTAGTTATGGTGTAGGACATTACTAGAAGATCAAAGTCTTACTTAATTTGATAATGGTAAGTTCAAGTAATCATGAAAAAAAGTAGTGGTGGATCTGAAAATTTAATTATGCAAGGAGGGATTCTGTTTGTACAGAACAAAGGCCTCCAACGTATGATTGCCCCAATCCCGGGCAGCCCAAGGTGATCTTGCCTCGTAGACCTCCTTACCTTGAGCTGCCCCAGAGACACGCTGGCCATGTTGACCACACTAGCATTGCCAATACCACATGCCACTGCTACATACTGGGTAAGTGACTAGGGTTAGGGTTATACATCTAACAACTGCCGGAAGAACATGTATCTAGATATAGCAAAAGCTTGCTATAAGGGTACGCCCAGAGCCGGAATTTGGTACCGTTACAGGGAGATTACCCTTATAGAGAGAGTGCTAGTGCTGAGAACTAAAGAAAAGGGACCGACAAGTGCTACCCTTATAGAGATTCCCCTATAGGAGGTGCCCTTATAGCAAGCTTTCGCTGCACTGGGAAATCGTACAAAAGACCAGTGATCCAGAGATCAATACCTACTCGTGTATTCTATTCTACAATAGAAGAGACTTTTTATGTACAGTAATTTGGAGTAGAATCTCAAAAATATTTGACATGCGCCGTACCAACCATTATTTAGGGTAATAAGAAACCAAACTTAAGGAAACAAATCGCGATTATCGAAGGCCATTAGCTTTAGTTGTTGATCACCGTCCTCCTCAACATCTCCATATAATCTTCCGCCTAAATCTGCCTGTGTATCTAACCATAGCAAGAAATCATCAGTAGACTTGCACCCAGCATGTCCATGATGTTTCCTCTTCAAGGCACTTAGAGCACTAAAAATTTTCTCCTGGACGTCGTTATCGATTCCTTTCTCAGTGCTTTTCAGAAGAGTATCCTCGAATAGCGAGCAGAACTTCCTTTCGTCGATGCCATCTCTAGCAGGATTAAAATGAGTTGATCCACCTTGTTTCTTCATGACTTCTGCGTCAGATCGCATGTCTTCGTTGAGAAAATTGTCCTCAATGACGATAGCGGATTTGCCCATGAATTCAGAATCACCATTCTTAAAGAGTTGATGCAGTGTTTGTAGGCCCTGTCCAGTGAGAAACTCGGCGCGAGTTACGGGGGACTTGATAGCTTGGTTAAGCGCATATAAGATCCGTGCCTTAACGTTGTTGTCGGTTTCCCTTTCGAGGGACGAAAGTAGTGTCCTGATTAGCTTCACCGAACTATCCGAGGTTGCAGAGGCGAGTGCTTTTGGATTGTTTGAGAGCGCACTGCCGATAACAAGAGCTGCCGTTGAGCGAATAGTTGGATCGGGCGAGTTTGAAACCAAGGTGAGCAGAGGGGAAACGTATTTTGGAGCTGAAACTTGAAGACCCCAGTAGATTTCGTGAACTAGATCTTCCAATGACAGGAGAGCGTGGGTAATCTCAGATGTTGAATATTTTGAGTGCTTGAGAAGGACTTCGAGGGAATCCGAGAAGGCGAGCGCTTCGCCAGCAGATGAGGGTAACGGTGGTTTTATAGCGCCATCAGGGCTAATCGGCGCTCGAGGTATAGGCTTTGGTGAATCTATGATCGCTGCCTCCTCATCTTTATTGGGGATAACAACCACGCCAGTATGATCATCATCGGAATCGCTGGCGACATTTATTTTTGCCTCTTTCAAGCCCGTCTCGACGTTGAGTCTATAATGAAGACCAAGGGGTACCACTTGATCATCGTGAATGATCTGGAATTCATTCGTTGGAACAAAGTGTTTGGAATAGCAGTTTGTGTCATGACAGATCAAATCTGATGATGACTCCTTAGTAGGATGTTTGTCGGGGATGCTGTGCGTTGCACTAACCACGAGGGCAGGAATTCCGAAAAAGAGGGCGAGCCAGGAAGGTCTCATGGCTGTGAGATGAATTTCAGGAAAATAGTCTGTGTATGAGATTCGGTCTGTATAGCAGGTAGATAATTCGTATGCTGCACAAAGGAGAGGGAAACGGAGGGCTTATACAGGGTTATAATACGTACTATGTATTTATATATCATCAGCAGTAGAGTAAAGTATTGCTGAGATGATCACAGGTGGCATCAACAACTTCAGTCGAGAATGGGTGCCAAGCCGTAGCTAGATGGGTTAGGGGTTTTAATGTGATTGAAAATCTAGTACCGATGTTATGCGCCGGCTTAATTGACCATAATTGGATAATCTTTGTGGGCTTTACTTTTTCCCAATTCGATTTTGAAACAAAGTGGCAAACAGGTCTTGATGATTTCTCGAGGACGTAGGGTACAAGTATCCTTATCGTTGACTCACTGCCGTCCATCTTTTGTCGGTTCTTCTAATTTTGCGGTGTTGCATGGGAGAAGAGCTTCTCTGATTAACCCCACCAACTACCAGCGACAACCCCTCCCTCACCCCTCCTCAACTACATTCCTTGTTCCGCATCGTCTCTTTCGTACCATGGTCTCCTCCGTTCCCGTCGGACCTTCCGAGGTGGAATGGCCTGCTCGTCGTGTAAGGGAAACCTTTATTGAATACTTCAGAAAAAATGGTCACACTGTTGGTTGGTTTTCCAATATTATTGTGTTGCTCGTGATCGTGAAAGGCTAATATTTGAACTCAATTTTTCTTTCTTCTAAAAAAGTGCCTTCTTCGTCCGTTGTGCCTCTGTCCGATCCAACCTTGCTGTTCGCCAACGCGGGCATGAATCAATTCAAGGCTATCTTTCTCGGAACTGTGGACCCTGCATCGGATTTCGCAACTTTGAAACGTGCCGTCAATACTCAAAAGGTGAGCTTTTTCAACTCTTTTAACTCGCTTATAATTTGCAATCTATTTGATTAATCGTCTATTCACTGCGCTCCAATCTTCTGTATTCCACATTCTAAACATTTCAAGAAACTAACGCCCAATTGCAGTGTATTAGAGCTGGTCAGTATCCAGCTACGAATTCAATAATCTGATGAAACATATCTAATAAATAAAAAGGCGGCAAGCACAATGATTTAGACGATGTTGGGAAAGATAGCTACCATCATGTAAGTTTTTCTTAAGCCAAGTTGTATCTGCGCGGAGATTGATTTAAACCTATGATGTTAGACTTTCTTTGAGATGCTCGGGAATTGGTCTTTTGGCGACTATTTCAAGAAGGAGGCTATCGCTTTTTCCTGGGAGCTCCTTACTAAAGTTTACAAACTCGATCCCGATAGGTTATACGTGACATACTTCGAGGGGGATAAGGCTGGGGGGCTCGAGCCGGATCTTGAATCAAAAGAACTTTGGAAATCCGTGGGTGTTGCTGATGATCATATTCTTCCAGGGAACATGAAGGACAATTTCTGGGAGATGGGAGACCAGGGCCCATGCGGTCCCTGCAGTGAAGTTCACTACGATCGCATTGGAGGGCGCAATGCTGCTCACCTCGTCAATCAAGACGACCCAAATGTGCTTGAGATCTGGAATAACGTCTTTATTCAATACAACCGCGAAGCTGATCGGTCTCTACGGTCTTTACCAAACAAGCATGTTGACACTGGTATGGGTTTTGAACGCTTAGTTTCTATCCTGCAGGACAAGTCATCCAATTATGATACCGATGTATTCACGCCACTCTTTAAGACGATCCAAGAGCTCACTAGTGCAAGACCATATACTGGTGCTTTCGGGGAAGACGATAAGGATGGAATTGATACTGCGTATCGAGTGATTGCAGACCACGTCCGAACACTCACATTTGCTATCTCGGATGGGGGAGTTCCCAACAATGAAGGGCGCGGATACGTTGTAAGGCGTATCTTGAGAAGAGGTGCTAGATATGCTCGAAGATACTTCGATGTTCCAATCGGTGAATTCTTTTCCCGGCTGGTACCGACTCTTATTCATCAAATGGTAATACCCCCGATCACTGGCCTATTAAAATTTCTCTAATATTTCAATCAGGGTGAAGTTTTCCCGGAGATTAGAAGAAAGGAGACCGATGTCAAGGAGGTGTTAAACGAAGAGGAGGAATCTTTTTCTCGCACTCTTGACAGAGGTGAAAAGATGTTTGCACACTACGCTCAACAGACCAAACTTAAAGGCTCAAAAACACTCAATGGTACCGACCTTTGGCGTTTGTACGACACCTTTGGTTTTCCAGTCGACCTCACAAGGATTATGGCCGAGGAGAGCGCGCTGGAAATCGATGAAGCTGAGTTCGAGAAAGCAAAAGCCGAAAGTAAGGAAGCTAGTAAGGGCAGGAAGAAGGCGGGTGAAGCCGAGCTTCTTAAGCTAGATGTGCATGATCTTGGTAAACTGGAAATGATGAAGAACGTTCCTAAAACGGATGACCAATATAAATATGGTGAGTAGTGTGCCACTAATAGTCGAAAATAGAACTAATACTTCCGTAGGGCGGGGAAATATTACTAGCCAAATCAAAGCTATATACTACAACAAGCAATTCGTTGAAAGCACGAAAGACATACCCGAAGACGCCCAGATTGGTCTTATTGTTGACAAAACCAACTTTTATGCGGAGCAAGGTGGCCAAGAATACGACACCGGAAAGATTCTTATTGACGGACAAGCTGAACTTGATATTCAGAATGTGCAGATGTACGCAGGATATGTTTTGCATACCGGCTTCATGAAATATGGCTCGTTTTCAGTTCTTGACGAGGTCATTTGTGAGTATGACGAGCTTCGCCGTTGGCCTATCCGCAATAACCATACTGGTACTCACGTCCTTAACTACGCTCTCCGCGAGGTTCTTGGCGAGGGTATCGATCAGAGGGGATCCCTTGTTTCGTCGGAAAAGCTCCGTTTTGATTTCTCACATAAAACCGGTGTTACCGACGCGGAACTTGAGCAAATAGAGAAAATCTCAACGGATTATATTCGACAAAATCTCGAGGTTTATGCTATGGACGTTCCTCTTGCTTCCGCCCGCGAGATTGAGGGAGTTCGGGCTGTCTTTGGGGAAATTTACCCTGACCCAGTTCGTGTTGTCTCTGTCGGAGTACAGGTCGAAGATCTTTTAGCGGATGTCAAAAACCCTCAGTGGAGGAAGGTTTCCATCGAGTTCTGCGGTGGTACTCACGTCCAAAAGACTGGAGATATCAAAGATCTTATCATCCTTGAGGAGAATGGTATCGCAAAAGGTATTCGCCGAATAGTTGCTGTTACCGGTGAAGATGCCCACGAAGTTCAACGCATTGCTGCCGAGTTTGAGGCGCGAATAAAGACCCTCGAGAAGATGCCTGCTAGTGCTTCAAAGGAAGCACAAATCAAACAAACCCAGGCGGATCTTAACAATCTTTATATCAGTGCTGTTAAGAAGAGTCAGCTGAAGGAGCGCTTCGCAAAGATTCATAAACAGATGCTTGATGACCAAAAGGGAAAACAAAAGGCTGAATTGAAGAAGGCTGTTGAGATAGTCACCGAGTACTTCAAAGACAATAGCGATAAGAAGTATCTCATAGCAAAACTACCAATCAGCGCAAACTCAAAGGCAGTGAGTGATGCGATCAAGCACGTTCAGAGTAAAAATAAGGATAAGACCGTCTATCTTTTCGCTGCGGATACTGTCGATCAGGGTGCGAATGGCAAGGTTATCCATGCTTGCTATGTTTCTGAGGTAAAATTATGCTATTTCATCCAACGAGAATCTCTACGTGGCTGACTTGTCTTGTAGGAATTTGCAAAGAAAACCTCAGCAAAAGATTGGGCTGATAAAGTCTCCGAAGTGGTTGGTGGTAAGGCTGGAGGGAAGGGTGCGACTTCCCAAGGTATTGGGAGTAACATTGAGAAGGTTGACGAAGCGGTTGAAGCTGCAACTAGGTATCTTGAGGGTCTTTCTCTGTAGTTAGTATTAGTCCGAGCTTTAGCCATGAGGACAATGGGGGTGTTTGGTCATTTCGTTAGTTCTGTTTTTACTATTTACCTTACTTTTTTTTCTTTCCTTTTTCCTCCAGGTTTCTAGGTGGCCGTTTTGATTCCCAATTACCTGTTCAGGTTGTGGTAACAGTGAATTAAATATTGCCTGAGCAAAGTTAAGGGTAGAGAACCGGTTTATTCTTAAATCCAGGTAATCATTCAACCCACACACACAAGAGCCAAATTCTAACTATAGTAACAGTGTATCGAGTGGAGTTTGAGTATATCACAAAGATTGTAATTATTTTCTCAGTTCTGCAGAACTTACATGTAGTATTTTGGAATTGCTTTACTGAAGATCATGCACAAATATTCACTGAATCAGACTATCGCGGTTTTCGCCGCACAGTGACCTCAGTCAGAATCACCAAGAATGGCCATTTTCAAATCTTTCCCCCAACCAATTGTTAAGGGATCCACTAGAAGTCTCGTATTCCTTAGGCCGTCAGACCGGATATAAATCGTGTTAGCTAACTTACTAGAATAGAAGTTGTGATAAAAGAAACACTCGAGAAGAGGCGATATATTACAGTACCTTCACGATTAGTTGCTCAGTTCTTAATGTCACAAGTTCTTCTGTAACGAACAGATTCTAGTGATCTAAATCTGAATTCCACACAGAATCATACTTAGGGCAACTGTATGAAGGATACAAGATCAGGGGATCTCAATGTCAGTGTGACTATCCGCTGAGACGAATTATGTATGTACTATAAAATTCCAGCTCTGTCTGCTTGAAGAAAAAGAAAGGCTCCACAAACTTGAACGTGGGCCTGAGAAAACTTGACTTATCTATGGATCGGCGAAGGCCAGGACGCAACGCAACAAATCCAATAGCACAACCACCAGATATGGGAAACAAGTGGGAATATGTACTCGCGCGGCCGAGTTTCGACTTAATCACATGACCTATGAGCAACGCAAAAACCTGTTAAATAGCGTCACGTGAGTAAGTCGAAACTCGGCCGCGCGAGTAGATAAAAGTCTCGCGCCAGACTCCCAGGATTAGGGTCAGGGGTGCGGTTGGTACGCGTACGTGCGGGTTAAGGCCTAGGGGGTACCCTAATTGCCTAATTAACGTAAAAACACCCTGGGGCTGATAGGATTTAGCTCGAAATTACGTATTAGCGATGCAGGGCTAAGAATCCGACAAAGTATCTGAGTTTATCGAGACTAGATAGACTACATGTGCCCTGAAGTTTAAGTGGGCATAGTCGCTCAGCATTTGCTTAGTTATCCTTGAGTCATCATCGTGCTACGCAACTCAAGCTTGAATGTAGAGACTTGACAATTCGGGAGGTTTCTAGACAACTTCACATGAAGAATATGACCTAACAAAGCATATATATATATCCCTGTATCAAATAAAGAATTCTGCTGTTTTGACCTTTTTAATTTCGTCGATTGCCTTTCGAAATTAAGGAAAGGAAGGCGTTAATTTACTTTGCAGGAGTTACGGCGAAGCTGAAGATAAACTAGGCTACAAGTGCTAGAACAAGTGCTAGAAGTACCTATGAGCCGTGAGTTCAGGGCGTTGCTAAGCGCAGCGCAGCTCCAGTATATCAAGGGCTAAAATTCTCTCGCTTATGTAATCTTTATCTGGTACAGCTGGGGAAGCCTATATCCGGAGCACTTTTAGCCCCGACTTCTAGCGTCAACTACTCGACCACCACAACCCCTAAATTCCTTTAATAATTCTACTGCTTCTTCTCTACAGTTCTATAGAGAGATAATTAATTTAGGTGTTGTGGTTGAGGTGTGGTTTGAATTTAAAGTTGGTACATTTTTGGTGGTGAGCCCACTGAATGTCGCCTCTTTTTATTGCCTAATCGGGTAATTCTTTACTCCAAATCGTTCATTATTACCATATTAGAAAGGAGATCTACCACATTTACTCCATAACTGGTTAGCGTATAAATAATAGGGAAATAGTCTCAGATCCCTTGGCATTATCCTATTTATTTTAATTACTTAAAGCAGTACTTAATTGTATTAGTAATCATCAAACTGAATGTCGCGGACACTCCGGGTATAGGCTTCCCCAGCTGTATCTCAACCGACTCCTCAAAACAGCAGGCTTCCACCAACTTAATGATGAGCCCCCTACACTAAAGGAACTTCTGAAAATATAATATACACCCTTTAGAACATGCTCTATCAGCAGGAGAAGCTTTGGGGTAGATTGATTGGGTGGTTTGGGCTTGTTAGGTTTGGGCCCATAAGTCAGGGTAAATAAGGGTTAGGGCTCCTTACCCGCATCGCATGTCATCACGCGTGCGCCAAGTCCGCCGTCGCCTAAACTTTTTGAGCGACACTACCAGTTGTAGGTAGAAGACTCTGCTACAACACACTGCAGAGGTGAGGTTCCACCATCCACCCAGGGGCAAATTCACTGAGCGGCCATCAATCAGACGAGCGCCTCGGTTACGTCTTTCAATCTCTGCCTGATAAATTAGTGTTTTTGAAAGACTTTCTCTTCGGTCTCAATAAAAACAGCTTCAAGACCACCGAAAGTTGCCAACAACACTTCTTAGCTATGGGTGACCGCGGCGATAGATACACCCCCTCGCACAGTCGCGACAATGACCGCGACTATGACCATGACCGCCGTGACCGTGGCGGTGACAGATATCCCCATGACGACAGAAGACCTCCCAGCGAAATGCCCCGTTTCACTGGACGTGAAGACTCTCGTGCTAATGGTCACGAATTCTCATTCGAGCACTCTCGTCAACTGCCTACCGACTCATATCGCCCTGATAGCAACGACCAGCGATCTCGAGCCCCACCGTCAGGACCTCGTCGTGGGGCTGGGCGAAGCGGATCTTCGAGAGGAAGAGGAGGGGGAAATTTCGCTAGAGGCGGTAGGGACGGGAAACCCTTTGTGTTTCATGCCCCTGTCCCTGCACATGAGAGGCCTATATTATATTTCGACACTCGCGAGAAAACACCTGAATTGATGGAGGGGATGGCTCCAGGCAGCGGGGATCGTTTCAAAGAGGATATTGAGGATGGGGTTAACGAGGGCCAGGTCGAGGGTGAATATGAATGCGAAGAGAAGAAAGATGACACTATGGACACTCCAATGGAAATGTCGGGAAATGAAGGTGAAGCTGAAAGCGGGAGCGCCCCTAAGGACAAAGTTGGGGAAGAAAAGGTGGGAAAGTCAGAAAAGAAACCGGACGTTATATCAATGATCCGGGCATTCAAAAAACAAACCGCTACCACTCGCAATGAGGTCGCTGAAAACGATGACTTTATTCCGTTCTCGTTCATTGATGAACCGGCTGCGCCGCAGCAGCAGCAGTCAGAGTCTGAATCAGAATATGAAGCTGAACGGGAGCGCGAGGAGGGTCGTAAGATGCGCCGCGCTAACGATGGTCACAGAATTGTCGAACATCATGGCCGTAGTAAGGACTTGAGTAGTGGCGATCTGAAAAGCCCTTCTGCTGGCGGCTTCTCACATCGAGACGCACTTTACAGTCGTGTCGATGAAAAAAAGCCTGTTCAGGATTTTGGCCCGCCTGGGGCATCAACTTTCATGGCTGCGCCTGCAGCACTTTCAGCGCCTCCGGGTCTAGGAGAGCCTATCAAACTTAATCTAGAAGAGGGCTCGAAAAAAGTTTCTACTGTTGAACATCTACCGAAGCCTGCCAAATCTTTCAATAACAAGGACGGAGATATGCCTTGGCCTCCCCCGCCTCCGAGCCCTCTTACCTCCGTCCCCGCCCCACCCCCGCCGCCACCAACTGGGGTGGGTATACATATGGATATCCCTAAGAAAAGGAAATTTGATGAATTCAACCGGAAACGGAATGTCAATCCCGCAACTGCTGATGGAAACGTTAAACCCGAGTGGGCAATTAAACCTGGCAGCGGGGTCGATCCTATACCATGGGTTAGGGGAGGAGCTGATCACTCGAGGTCTTTGGAAACCACAGATTGGTATGCACATACACGAATCAAATAAGATATTCAATAAACGTCTTTAGAGCCAGCTAATGAATTTTAAGGCTGCACAAGGAAATTACGGATTTTATGGCCTACATTCAACCGCGTGCCTATGAACACGCTATCCGCCGAGATCTCGTTCACCGCGTTCGTCAAGTGATCACTAACCTCTGGCCTGACGTTGATGTTCGCGTTTTTGGCTCCTTTGCAGCAGAACTTTACCTCCCGACATCCGATGTCGATTTGGTAGTTGTTTCGAAATCCTTCGTTGAATTCGACCTACCCAAGTATAATACAAGACAGTCCCTAAATAAGTTAGCAGGCGCACTTAAAAAGTCTGGCATTACAACCTGGCAAGACGTTCAAGTCATTGCGTCTGCAAAAGTGCCGATCATCAAATTTACAGACAGCATAACAAAAATTCACGTGGATATTTCATTTGAAAACTCTTCTGGGCTCGTTGCAAATGAAACTTTCCAACGTTGGAAAATTGAATACCCAGCAATGCCAGTCCTTGTTGTCCTGATAAAACACTTCCTTTCGATCCGCGGCCTTAACGAGCCGTATCAAGGCGGCCTTGGATCCTTCTCTGTCACATGCATGGTAATTTCCATGCTTCAACTCCTTCCATCGGTCCGCAGCGGAGCAGTCGATCCGCGCCTCCATCTGGGCGTAATGCTTCTTGAATTTCTCGAACTCTACGGGAAGAACATAAATACTAGTGTTGTTGGGATCCGCGTCGACGATAACGCCCCAGGCTATTTCAGGAAGACCGGTGTATTTAATGTTAACCCCAACCATAAGACCTGGCAATTATGCATACAGGATCCCCACGACCCTGAGAATGATGTCGCAAAGAGTTCATATCAAATATCTCTCATCTTGCAATGTTTTGCCGACGCCTACGATGCGCTGGTGAAACAGATGGCTTTACTTGACAGTTTACCATTCGAAAAGCGAGCTGGAAGGTCAATTCTCGGTGTCATAATAGGTGCCAACTACAGGAATATCAGTTCAATGCGGGAAACCCTGAAGCACGTGTATCGACAGAAATATGGTTCGCTTGATGTAGAAGACATCATGGAGACAAGGGAAGCCAAGGGTCCTGTAATTACTGCAAAAGAAAAAAGGGAAAAAAATGTGGGCGGAATTTCTGCTACGAAGCCTAAGAGATTGAGAGGTCTTGAGCAGCCTCATGAGAAACGGGATAGTAGAAAAGCGAAAAAAGAGGCGAGAGTAAAAGAGAGGGCGATGGAGAAGGAAAAAGCGGCTGGTGGTGGACTGAAAGACAAGGAAGTGATCATCATCGATTGAATGACCTGGATCTAGACTACGATATCTCTCTCTGTTACTACAATCTTTCTATCTTGTTCTTCTGGGATTTGAAATTCGTTTTTTATCGGTATTCCGGAGTTTTTTTTTCCAGGGCGGTTATTATTGTTTCTCTCCCTCTCACTTTTCATATGCCTTCTTTACTGCTTCTATGTATTCGACAATAGGGTCTTTATCAACATACTGGTTTTCAAAAGGGGGACGGATCGAGTGTCGAGTCATCGATTTACAGAATGGATTGAACTTGAATAAAGAGTGTCATTGGCACTAGACTTTAAAACGTTCCATATTGTTAACCTTATCTTGTACTCGATGATATCCTTATTCTCATTCTTGTTCTCATCCTCATTTTTTTCCATCATTCTAAATCGCACAAGTTTCTGTTTTGAAACATTATTCTCCCGTAAGTGTAATGGTTACCTGTACCTGGCCTATTTGGTTGTTCAATCCGAGCCATTCAAGTGTGAACTACATGTACCTTACCAGCTGCATGCACCTACATGTACTTAATACTCTACCCTCTAGAGTACACGTAAATTTACACTTACTACTTGCGAGTCCTATGGACCCTTAAGGCCCATGGCCCGAGATAAATCCTCTTCACGATTGAATCCGACCTCTCCGCGGGGTATTCTCGAACATGTAGGTATGCTGAGCTTACAACCTTTTGCTTGCTCTACGTAGGTGAATGAAGCTCAGTGTTACACGTGCACTCGATTAGATTATGTACTTGAATCACGGCCCCAGACAAGCTTTCCCTGGGCCCTGATCTACCGCTAAGCCGCATTTTAATGCAAGACGGGCCAGGCTGTCAAAACTGCGGGGTCCGTGCCTTATAGCACCAGAATCTATATAATCTCTATCCCATGGTACCATAATACCATAATACCCTATAACAAAATTCATATCAGCATTTTACAATGGATCCCCAAGTTCAACTTCTCCGTCGGCAGTATCTCCAGCTTGTTGAACCTTCAAACCTATCGTTCCCCACCGATCCCTCAACTCTCCGCTCTCCCCATTTCCAAGCATCTCTCTACGAGTCCCTTTTCTCCTCAAACCAGCCAAATAACACCTCTCCTCCAGAGAGATACACAGCGCGTGTCCTCAAAAAGCTTATAACCAAGCTATCCGAACCCCCAATTGCACTAGGAGGAGAAGAGCAAGATCAAGAGCAACCTGTGATACCTACCCCGTCCATCCATCCTGCAAAAAAAGTTAAGATCGACAACCTCACACTACTCCCCGAGCAGGAAATCCATGAGCACTTATTAGAGCTCTACACTGAGCTGCTCTCGCGCTCCTCGTCGGCGGCCTCTCCTCTTGATCTAGAGGCATCGAGAAGCTATGTCACGTACATCTTCCCGCCGAGCCCGTTCAATGGGGGTGAAATTGGTCTGCCAGTAACGCTACATGAGTCGAGAAATATAATATCTGGTGCAGGAACGACGGGGTTAAGGACTTGGGAGGCGGCGCTAGCGTTGAGCGAGTACTTAATTTGTGCACATCTACAGAATATCTACAAGAACACGGCGTTCACTCCGACTATTGAGGGTGTGGGAAGAGTCCTGAGGGAGTCTGATAGAGTCCTGGAGCTGGGGGCAGGTACAGGACTAGTATCAATTGTTGCTGCGAGGCTGGGAGCGCCAAAGGTACTTGCCACGGACGGGGACTCGATGGTGTGCGAGGCGTTGGCAAAAAACGTGCACTTGAGCGGTGTCAGCGAGACAGTGACTGTAAGGCAAAGACTATGGGGGGATGAAATCGAGATGGATGAGGACTTCGATCTAGTCGTTGGTGCTGACGTGGTAATTTCTCTTACTTTTTTATCTCCCCCCTTCCATTGCTGCGTGAATTGACATATCAGACCTACGACGCAACCGTGATCTCGTATTTGATCAAGGAGCTTGAACAGCTTTTTGCTAAAAATTCCCACATCCGAGTCGTCATCTCAGCAACCATACGCAACGAAGATACCTTTGCTACGTTTGAAGAGGCCTGCCGTAAGCATGGCCTACCCCATTTAGAGTCATTCACCCTAATAACCATAACATGAGTATAGGGGATAGCGGGTTTGTGTTGGAACAAAAACTCTGGATGCCACCTACCCCACAGATATTCTTTTATGACCAAATTGCACAGATTCGGATCATTCGCATTATGAAGAGCATAACCAAACCATTGGGGCTTTAAGAGGAGTATTTGTGCTCGTATATATCAGATTAAGTCGTTAAAATCACGGAGGAAAATTGGGAATTGTTTCTTTTCTTTGTAGAATACATACATAGTAACTTTCCCTGGTGAGTTAGTAAGGGTCAATAGTGAATTAAGCATGCAAGTTTTATACATAAATACTAAATGAACCTTTTGTCTACGTCTAATAATTGAATGATCTAGGTCAGAAAGGTTAATATGAGACGAAAGATTGAGGCCATCTTTCTCTTTGTTCAAGCTTCGTTGGTACTGGACATGGGTGTCGAGTGATGATCCATGACTCACTGAGACCTGAATCCGAGTATCGGCCTAGACGCCCTCACGGGGGTATGGCGGCCACGGGGTGTGTGGGAATATATGGGTTGTTTCCTTCTACAGACAGCTAAACTTACAGGAGTAAGTATATTCCCAATATCTCATGAGATTGGAGCAGTTCATAGTCTCATACAATATTAATTCCAAAATTGATTGGTACTTACCACCCTTGCAATAGTGAAATCTCCACACCACCGTAGTCGCCGTACCCCCGTGAGCGAGTGTAAACGAAGTTAAAATGTTTTAATTCATACATATCATGTTATCATTGTGTGGTGAAACGATCTTCTCATGATCCATCTTGTTTTGGGGAAGAACTTGCCCTAACCCTGAGTCTTGAGATTCGGGGTATTTTCGGTAGCCATTCAACTTGACTTACAGGCATGTCGTTTACCCCAGGGAAGAAGATTAGTTGAGGCGGAACGGATTGTTTGCTTTAGAACTCCGATATTTTTTTTTTGAGGGATAAAGTTTACGTGGAGGATATCGTTTCGGGGATACGGCAGGTTGATCGCGACCAGCGGCCAAAAGATATATGTCTTTCTTACTTAATTAACCCAATGCAATTTATTTGGATACGATTGCATCGTAATTGAAAATCTGTGGCGTAATTGAATATTTAATCTCTCTACCCTTTAAAACCAAAGAAGCAAAATAGTACAAATCCTTTGGTTTTCTATCAGCATCTGACAGCCTAGGAGATATGTATGTACGTATGATAGTATAACATGTAGATACTAGATCTTAGAAATATGACAGGAGAATGCGATGTTGCTTATAGATACATGACGTGTAGTAATTCATTAAATATAGATACCAAGTACTACGTATCTTTATGAATCTCATGGATCACTCGGATCTTTCATTATTACCACTCATATGCGAATTAATGTACTCTTTTGACATCTATATGTAGGCACATCTTTCTAAATCACCTCGAATATGTAGTTAAGTGGAAAGAACTGAATCTTTCGCGCGCCAGCTTCAAACAGTCCCAAACCTAAAACAAATGCATGCGCCAAACACCATACATCCCAAGCCACGGGAGAAGGTACGATATAAAAAAAGATAGATGGCCCCTTTTACCTATTCCCCTTCGCCCCACTCGGAACACCTGTTCTCCTTTTTTTCAAGACATTCCCAACCGCGTCCCTAACCTCTGGATCATTCCTGACTGTGTTCTCAACTAACCAGCTTTTCATTTTGGTCTGTATATCCCTCACTGTATCCACATCTGACTCGTGCGGGAGGAAGTCGAGCGCAAGGAGATTGCTAGCTTCGGTGTCTGCAAGCTTTGTAAAACCAAACAGACGCTCGAGTTGTGGGCGCATGGACTCGACGGTGGGAGGGCCCGTGTTTCGTTGTGATTGAAAGAGTGGGGCAAGTTGGGAAATTGCGATGAAAGTCGTAAATGCGATTTTGCGTGCAAGAATGAGCTGCTCGAATGGGAGGAGAGGGGCGAAGAAAGGTAGTGAGGGGAAGGCAGGACGGGTCACAACAGCAGTTTCGAAAGTGATCAAGCAGAAGAAGGTGAAGAATCGCCACTATAAAAAAGTATTGTTAGAATGCTGACAAAAATGTATAAGTAAATGCGACATACGTAGCGCCCGAATTCTGCTTTCCCAAGGACCGACAAGATCACTAGGAATAATAGACTTCCCACATAATATGGGAGCATCACTGTACCCCCTCTAACCAGATAGTCGTACATTGAACTGCAATGTTTCCAGTCTAGCATGTCAGGTCCAAAGCGATCATACGCAAATCTCTTAACCGGATCAGACAAAACATCATATGCCAGCTTCAACATGACGAATTGCTCCTCTCCACCAAGTCCAACTTTATCCGGATGATATAACACTGTAAGCCTGCGGAACTTAGACTTGAGTGTTCTTTCATCCACATCAATATTGGACCTCATGAATGCGTAGAAATTGGGCGTGTGTATAATCCCATGATAGGATTCGTAGATTGTGTAGAGTAGGTAGGCGCCTATGACACTGATATTGATGCGCTTGTAGTCACGCACCCACCGTGGGGTACCTCTTTGTGGGATTGGATCGCCGGCGCGCGTTATAAAGCGGTACCAGAATGACAGGATCCACCCAGTGACCATCTGTGGGCCGAGAATACAATTAATATATACATACATGTATAATATTTGAAAGCTCCTAGCACCTGGAAATATAATCCTCCAGGGGGAACTTACAGAAGGTAGGAAAGACCACCCAATGAACGAAAGAAGTGCTGACATCGCGACGACAGAGCGATGGTTCCACGTTGGCTGTGTAGAGAATACAAAGAGATGGTCTCTATTATATAGGTACCCTCACAGAGCTCTCATCTCCACATGGAAGCTGCCGGGGTGCATGAAATTAAGGTTACCCTGCCTATATGCACAAATGCCAAGATTTCATCCCAGGCACCAAATGCGCGAACTTTTTTCTTCACAAGAATCTCAAAAGTTGCAGGAAAATAGCAATAATGTCATCAGTAACCCCCACAAAACGCGAAAAGAAATCTAAAAAACATAGCAAAGAAGACAAAGGCCTTAAACGCAAACGCCACGCAGAATCCTCACAGCCTTCTCTGTCCCCGGAGATATCCAAGAAACCTCGAACTGCCATTGCCTCTACAAAAAAACAAGCTCAAGCTCAAAATGGCGAACCAAAAACCCCATTTCACCTCATGACAACTTCATTATATCTTTCCGTGTCCCCTCGATACTCCTTCTGGCCCGAAGAGACGTTTGGCCATCTCATCTCAAACCCGGATCCGTCCCTCCGCCCAACCTCCGAGCAGGCTGCACGGATGCTCTCTTTCACTCCAATCAACGGCCTACGGAAAGATCACCTTGATCCACTTCTAATGAGCTATTACGAGCCTCTTGACGGCGTTGTAATTGCATACGACAATATCCGGTTCGAGTCTGACAAAGCCCGCATTGCAGCAGAGTCCCCGTTTGCACACGTCTGGGTCACTGTTGACTTCCTTGTATGGAAACCAAAAAAGGGCGATGTCTTGCAAGGATGGGTCAATCTGCAGAGTGCATCACATGTGGGGTTATTAGTGGAGAATACGTGGAATGTCAGTATCCCTAAGGAAAAGATTCCGGAGAGCTGGAGTTATCATGAGGTTAGAGAGGGGTTTATTCCAAAGAAACCAGAGGTTCCAGTTCCGAACGAGGTGGGAGAGGAAGAGGGGATGGAGGGGATGGAGGGCGTGGAATATGGGAATGCCGAGATAGATGCTGGTGGATGGATGGATGCAAACGGTGAATATGTGGATGGGCTCCTCAAATTCCAGGTAGAATCCGTTCAAGCAATTGGGCACATATTTTCAATGGAGGGGAGCTTGCTGAACACCGAGGTTATTGAGAGCGTGGTGTTTTCGGGTAAAAAAGAGAAGAGGAAAGATAAAAAACATAAAAAGTCTAAATCTTTAGCGGCAGAATAAAGGAGGAAATGGAAAGGGAGTTTTGTATATATATACCGCGGTCTTTTTTTCTTTTTCTTTAGTATTTTTTGAACCTAAAGTTGATATCGATATGGGTCATCACGTTAAATCTAGGAATACATGTAATTGTAGCATACAGTATAACCAAGAAAAGTCTGATTGCATACAATTAATGAAGTAATCAATCAATCAAGAAAAGAAAAGTCTGAATTATCACGACTTGAATTCTATAGCTCACCGAGATCCGAGATTGAGATCCGGAATTTGAAGTAGTAAGTTTGAAACCATACATGCACTGAAGGCTAACATTCAACCTCGGCTGGTCAGTCCTCCTTGCATACTTCAAGGTACGCCTTTGAATAGAATGGGGGATATCCCTAGCTTGCGAATTTTGCGATCAAGTTCTTTTAAATACACCTACTCACCACATAATTTTCCACATCACATTATCTAGACAGCGTGCTATCTACCACACCATCAATCACCCACCACCAATCACCCACCATCAATCACCCCCCCCCCCCCCCCCCAATCAATCACCCACCAAAAATCACTCCTATTCGAACCACTATAATAACCAAAGCAAAACATACTAATATGGCACCCATAACTGTACACGAATGGCGCCACCACCTCTCTGATACTCTTTCAAATAACACAAATGCTATTTCCGGTAACTCGCACGATTCGGCGGTTGCTTATGAGATATATCGCTTCAACCGTATCCATGAACTTGAGCGAACACTTGAGATGCGCAAGGCTGAACTGGAGGAGATTCTTGAACGTGTTGATTCAGATCATCAAAAGAAGCTTGAGTTAGATGAACTCTTCGCAAGTTTGGATGCGGAGGATTCGCAAATGAAACTAAATGCTACCGATGGGCAGAATACAAATCTGGAAGGTCTTGAGGAGCTCTTAGTACACAAGAGGCTACAGATTGGGGGGGATGCCGTCAGTAACCGGGATTATCTGTATGAATGGCTCGGAATAGCAGCGGCTAATAAAGAGGGTCTGGAAGGTTTGAAAATAGATAAATCGGGTTTGGAGGATGTGGAGGTAGCATGTGTAGAAAAAACCGAGGAAGGTGCTGTGAATGGCTTAGAGAATTTGGGAAGCGAGTGATACTCTATGATTGTATGTAGGGTTTCAGCTGCAGTTACTAATAAAAATCTCTTTAACTACACTTACTAAGTAACTTATTTCTAGCCTGAAATAGTTCAGTGGGAGGATTATAATTGTAGTAAAGTAATACTTTGTTATGTATATTGGGTTTGGTAAGTACATGTATATATATTGGAACGGGTAGAGTGAGGAAACGTGGTGATACAGTGCAAATACTCCGTCGAGGACAACAATATATAAATAGCAACAACATCTTTTTAAAACTTTGTTTTGATTTTGTTCCCTTAACATCTTTCATCCTCATCTTCTAGATATCACATATCATTGGATTGCACCGCAGTCATGGATCCTAATCGTTTAACAATAGGGCCACCCTTGCCTCCCCCCCCTTATATTCGAGGTCCTCTCCCAACACGTTCTCCAACTGATGATGTAATTCGGAAGTGGAACCTTGCAGAAGAAACGAACAAAGCTCGCTGTTATCGTTATGAGTCTGAACGTTATCGTCGGATTATAATGAGCGAACGGACCCTGGAAATGAGGAAAGCCGAATTAAGCGCCATTTTCCAATGTTTCACGGTCAAAGCAAAGGTAGAGAAGGCGAAAGGGTCCCTCGTTATGGAGGACATTACCAACCGAAGCGCAGCTATTACACTTAATCCGTTACAAGAACTGAGGAGGAGCATTGACCCAGAAAAGGGATTTCATCTTACTCTGGATCTTGAGCGGGACACATCGCAGAGATTAGATGATTTCCTTACTATCGAAGAACCGATTGATCAAAAGAGTACATCATCGCAAACTAGCTGTAAAGATATGTTCATAGCATGGGCTAGTAAGCTACCGAGGGGTAGCTATTTAGATGAAGAAGCTACTGATAAAGAGGAAGTTGCAGAGAGATCTGATGTACAGAGTGGGAGCTTTTTGAAGGCCAAAAGGGATATAGAGGATTCACTCGGATTTGACGAACATGAAGATATTATACTTGTTTCGCGGAGTGTTCGGGCATCGAGGAACGGGGGCAATGGATTATGTTGATATCATGAAGATTCATGGTAAGAGCAGTGGCGTTTCTCCCCTAGATATGGGCAATCAATGTTTCTGGGGAGCTGCGAGTAGCGGAAAGGATGTATCGCACTGGGGTTCATTTAATTGAGTAGGCACCTACTATGCCGTCTCTTTGAGGTGTATAAATAAATTGCACATGCATATAATTAATGCAGAGTTTGTTTAAGACTAAATCATTTTAAGCTTAACGTACTGATTAGCTGACTATGTAGCTTAATTGTACGAATGATTAAAAATTTGACTTGCTTGATTCTCACGGTTCATCACTCGCCAAATCTCATCCTTGTTATAAGTTATGTAGATCATTAGGGAGTTCTGTGGCTTAGTAGTGGTTGGTGCGCCACAACTACATGTAGAGAGCTGCAAGGTTCATGCGAGAAGCAGCAAGAACGTCACCTCTCACTCACCTCGTCTCGATTATTTAGAGTAAGCAAGCGAAATATGGAAGCCATTAAGTTCATGGAGTAAGTGCACACTTACTGCTATCAATTCATAGCGAGCTTCATAAATAATTCCCCGCACAGTTATCTCAGGTCGGAAATAATAATTCTTTACGTCGGCCCAACAAAGATCCAGTTCCAGGCCTACGAACTAGCACTGCAAAAAATACCCCTTTTCAAAATTTCTCTACTAGAAACTCAACCCAAAGAAACCGGGGCCGTAAGGAGCATCTGCCTACCAGAAGATAATGCGAACGGTATTGCGGCCTTGATTCAATATTTATACTCCGAAACATATACACACAATATACCAGAAGCACCCACACGCACACTTATCGAAGACTGGGAGTATGAAGGGGTGTGCCATGCCTGGGTCTATAAGACTGCCGCAAGATATAAATGTCTGGGGCTGTGTAAACTTTCAGCAGAGAAATTTTGGGGGGTTTCTGAGAGAATGATAGAAGCAGATCTGCATATCAATGCGGTAAAGCTTTGGAGATCCGCGTACAGCGTGGGGTTTCACTGTTTTATGGGTGTGGATGGCCATAATAAGGAAGGAAATTGGAGAGGGACTTTAAGTTGTGTGAGGGACTTGGCTAATAATAAATGGGGGGCGGTACGAGGGATTATGATCGATTGCCCAGAGTTGGCTTGTGATTTGTTGGCCTTGACAAGCAAAAACATACCTGTATAATACGTTGATCATTAGCTATATTGTATACGTACTGTTATCATATCTATAGAGTACTATGTGAAATTATAAATGAATCCCGGGAAAAGATGTACTATAGTACTACTCGAGTATATATATACGCGATAAACGTGAAAGCAAGAATATGTGGTGTATAACGCTAACGGTTCTATATAACGTACAAAATTATATATAAGGTACATATATCATTTTATGTGAAATCATGATCATCGCCCTCGGTCGGTGGATTATTTCCTGCCGACAGCTTAGTTAAACCCAGATCTCAAGCTCATTGCATGTAAAATGTAGTCTTGGCAGGCCTAAGGCTTTGTCGGTAAAAGACTACATGTACATGTAGTTACGGTGCCACGGGTTTTAAAAATCTTGCCCGCTAGTGTGGCATATATTTAGGTGTGGCATTCTAGATAAATACAAAAAAAAATCTGTGGCATTGTATACGTAGTCTTTTACCATTAATTTGTAGGCCATGGATCGACTAACGTCATCCGAACAAAAGGCCACTTAGACTAGCTCAGCTACATATGTGCGTATAGCATATCATCATATTAACGTCTATTCCGTCAAGAACGAGCAATACCACCAGCACAAACGAAAACTCCAAAATGTCTGTGAATTCCGATACTCGCTCTGAGCATGATCTTCATCGATACATGTCATATACTAAAAAGCGAGCACTCGAAACAGCAGCCCGACACAAATATGAAGCCACACGACAAGAACGGATAAAACAGAATGAATATACAGCCGAAAGTCGCAAGAGTGGGTTAATGGAGATATTTGAGAGTGTTGATAGGGGCTCGCAGTTACGGAAGTGTGGCCAATCGGGAAAGCCGAAGACAACCCCTCTGGGAAATACCACTAACACATCCAAAGCTCTCAATGTCGCTAGGGTCGAGGGATTCGTTACAAAAACCGAGATAGTACCAATGCTGCCATGCAAGGGCTATACCCTACCACATAGGAATCTATTCATCGGAGGAAAGTGGCCCGCGTTAGACGTGAATGAGTGGAGGTACGAAGTGTTCGGGTTGGAAAGATTAAGAGATGAGACAATGCAGAAGATATACAAGATATCAAATCTTCAACATGAACATGAAAGATCTGATGATCAGCAGGGAGAACCTTCGGATGGGAGCCAGTCACAGTCACAGAGCTTCGATGTAGAAGATTGCCAATCGCAAACGCTTGAGCAGAAGACATTCATTTTTACGCAGGAATCACAAGATCTATGTCATGCGATACCATTGAAGGCGGGTAATAACTTTAACAAAAGTGATAATGGCCCTGGATGGGAGGATGGGATCTTGTGGGATAATGGACCAGCTTATCTCTAATAGGTACACTTATGTGTAGTCTCAATGATGTTTTCAAAGGCCAAGCGCTTCCAGAAAACGATCCCGTCTATTGGTGTTGCGTTTATGTGTAAGAACAGCTTAATTGGTTTATCAATACCTATGAATAAAGGGTAAACTTTGTACAGTACATAAAAGATAATAGACGTATGATGATATATTCTGGCTGTCACTGCAAAATTGAAAGTAAGACTCCTTTTGGGATTACTCTGTAGTTAAAATCATGACCTACTAAGAGTGTGATATATGGCTTGGCCTTTTGCCAGTTGATAATCCAGTAATGATTATCAGACATTACTGTTTATAAGAGGGGCCCAGGGATTATGGATCCCCCGTGCGGTACGGACGTAGTATCAGTAGCTGGACTAAATCTCGGAATATTTCAAGCCTGCCTTTGCGTGCACACAGATGCATTAAGTACATGTAATTAAAGTACTTATGTGCGTGTAAGTAAGTACTGGCAACGAAATCGATAAGATTCTGAGTCTCCGACCCCGAGACAATGAAGTTCCAAGATAATGAGGTACGGAATATCGAGGTAATACTACACAACACTGGTGGAATGAGAATTTGATTGTTAACAGTACAGGACTTGGATTTATGTAGGTACATGTACGTACATACATATTGTACGTACATACATGTACATATAAGTTGCGGCCGCGGTTGCCAAGAACGAGTGATGGTTCGTGAAGGACCCGGCCCGCCAACACCGGTTGCGGGTCGGTTAGGTCTTAAGGGGTCAAAATGGCTTTTGGTATTTGGGATTTTATCGTAGCTTTCGCCTTCACCCGCTTTTAGAAGAGTTTTTCTGACTAGTGCGCACACTAGGACGAACTTGTTTCTTTACAAAAAAAGGTCATAAAATGGCCGGTAGATGTATCGAAAACTGGATAAAGCAGAGTTCGAGCACTTTAGATATATGCACTACTTTTCTCGTGGTAGAGCCTCTAACCATAAATTTTACAGGTTTGATCAATTGAAGTGTCCAGACCCTGATCTGGGTAAATATCAATTTTAAGGCCAAGTTTGTAGAGTGGTTCTGGGGGGCGAGAAATGTAGATATCTGAACGTTAACTGCCCGCTGATTATGAACGGAGCCTAGTTACTCGGCTTTTTTTTGGCCCTTGGATATAAATTCGCCAAGTATTTCCGCTGGAATTCTAGAGCAGTGCCAAGAGATTGATATCAGGAGCCTCTAATCTTCAAAAGAACAGTTGAGAAGCTAGATAGTTGCTAAACCATTCGTGGCAGATTCCTATACTGAATGTGATCGTGTAGGGCGAGAGAGGATTAAAAGTCATGCTAAAAATAACTTTTACCCAAATTAGAAATCTACTTTTATTAGATGTTTCATTTGGGGGGAACCATATCATAGCCTCGACCTCTGCAATGTCCGTACCGTAATCGTTTCATCATAAAAAAATACATACGTATCATAAACTCTGTTTAACCCCCCCCCCCAAAAAAAAAAAAAAAACACACGTATACGTATATGCTTTGAGACCTTCGCTTGGTATCAAAGGCCACCATAATCATCGTCGTCGTCATCATCATCATACTAACAATGTCGGGCATTGACCAAGTACACATACTACCAGAAATCATCGAGGAGTCTGAAATATCTGCCATATCCACCAAAGATAATCCATCGGAAACCTTCAAGACAACAGATATCGCCATGTCGAAAGCAAATAAGCTCGAGGAGGAGCTAAAAGATACCGCTGTACCAGCTGGCGAGCAGATGCTAATATCAGAATCCGTGATCGAATCAGAAACCACCACCGATGTTGACATCCCGTCCAGAGGAACCAAACGTCCTGCTGAAGAGAGTGTTAATGCAAGTCAAAAGGCAGGGAAAGAGGACAACAAGGAGGAGGTAGAGGAGGTGGTGGAGGCGATGGAGGAGGAGGAGGAGGACGTCGCTGCCACGGATGGAGGAGAGCTCTCGAGATGTGAAAGCAGAGCCCAAACTGAGGATAACGGGCTTTTGGACTTGAATATGGACCCGGAACTAGATGCGATGGATGTGACTGACCCGCTCCCAACTACGGATAGCTCGAGTACCAAGCCCCTGTAGCTCGATGGGTGATAATGTTCGGAGTGAAAAAAAAGCTGATGCATGATGATACCCAGATATCGATCCTCATATCCTCACCGACAGCGGCAAGATCAGTTCAGACCATGTATCCCCTGCTGTAGTCTCATCCGGTATGGCCAATATCTCTCCGCCTGATTCTCCACCCTCCTCGTCTAGTAGTCCGCCATCATCGTCTGTCCGCGATGCTATTGAGAGTGTGTGGAGCTCAAGACCGCCATATGCGGACAACTCCGCGTATATGAAACCTCGACCATACAAGTCTCGTAGGGTTTCTGAGCCTAGTGTTTACGAGGCTGCCAGACGCAAAAGAATCATACAAAATGAGCGGAGTGTCGCCAGGAAGAAACTCGAGATGATGCTGTTTTTGGAGCAAGTCGACTGTCATATGAGAATGCTGGCGGCGAGGAAGGCCAGTGAAAACAGGAAAGTCGTGGAGGGCGGGGAGGGCGGGGAGAGAGGGCCCGGAAGGGCTAACTCAGTGAAGCAAGAAGATGATGATGGGGAGGATAAAATGGATTGTACAGTGGACGAGCTCTTTAATCCACACAAAGCGGAGGGGGAGGCTTTCAAGAGGGTAAGTTCCGGCGCTGGATTCTAAGTTTTAAAGATTCGCATCCTCAGAGGGCTTATAAACTACATTAATTGTAAGGATGCAGGCTCGTTTCCGGCGGCTGGGTCGGTGTAAGTCGATGCCTCACATCTCCAACCAAGAGGTCCGAAAAAAACTGCCCTTTTAAATGTCCACCCCATTACAGTAGATCGCTGAAAGCTGCGCGAAGGTTACAACTGCTGTTTCGACGACAATGGCTTTGGGTCTGTTTGTATGAATGGTTTTGTAATGTCTTGTCTTGGTAACTCATGATGATATATGTGTGTGTGAGTTTTTTTTTGTTTTACACATGAGATGCAGAGGATACTGCGATTTGTTTTTATGTAATAGTCGAGGTTGGATTCAATTCAATTGCATTGGCCATGAACGGATTTGCTTTGCAACCTCCATGCAAGTGGAGTCTCTGATGTATAACAAAATCCAACTTTTCTTGCGGTCAGACAGTGTCGTACTAAGTAGAGTACGTAATTCCTGAATGCGCGCGGGACTGGTGTAATCATAGAATATCACTCGTTCACATGGCATGCCCCACAAGCACGTTCAATAAGAACTCATTTCTTTGTACTGCTTCGGAATTGTAACCTTTGCTGAGGTTTTCATGTTCTATGTGTTCACGCGGTCACTAACAGGGGATATATGCAATCATGACTGAATCGGCGAGAATAAAGAAAGAAAGGAACACGAATTGAATTCGAGGAGTTATATATGAAGTAATCATCTATGGAAGTAAAACAGCTAGATGACCGTCGCATCGATAGATAGGCGTAGTTATATGCCCCACGGGGTCAGGTAGGCTTTTGTTAGCTAGGTACATTTTAATTCAGCATAATTAAAGTGACGAGGTCTAGAGGCCCTTTCTTTAACTTAGCTAGTTGTCTCTCTTAGTGTGCTATAGAAGTGGGTTTGTTATAATTTAATCGGATGAATATGATTTGATTGCATGCAATTATTATTCTCGGATCCCTATTAACATCCTGACCTAACCAACAAACCCCCCCCCCCCCCCTCTCCAACCGCCCCATTCAAGCCCCCAAGCACTTCTCCTCAAACACGCCCACCCCCCACCCCTTCTTTGAGTACCTCATACACCACCTCATCCCTTCCTCCTCCTCCCCCTTTTCCCCCCTCCCATACGCGACAATCTCCTCCCCACCAGCAAACTCCTCCTCCGCCGCCCGCCTCAGCGTATGGAAGCAGAAGTAATGCAGCGCCCGCGCCACATTCGCCAGCTCCCCATACCAATCACACACCCTGCTGTCCCCACGGTTTACGCTGGTGAAGCGCCAATCGGCGGTCCAGTCGCGGTCGTAGAGGTCGACGAACTCGGCGGCTTCGCCGGGCGCCAGGCAGGATTGGTTGGGGAGCTGCTGGATGCCCCAGAAGAGATTGGAGTATTTGTTGCGTGAGAGGGGCTTGCTGTCCGGGAGCGGGGTGCAGCCGTAGCGCGTGATGGTGTGTTTGGAGAGCGAGGAGTGCAGGTACTGGGTGTAGGTGATGGGGCGCGGGGGTGCGGGGGCGATGCGCGGGTCGGTGGTGTGGTTGCCGGCGGGGTGGGAGTAGGGGGCGGGGACGCGGAAGGGGGCGGGAGAGGGGGGGGAGTGGGTGTCGGAGTGGTGGGAGGACTTGGAGAAGTCGCAGGTGTAGCGGTTCTCGGTGAAGATCGGGCCCCAGGCGTCGTTGTAGGTGACGGTGTAGGTGAGTTTGCAGTGGGAGGATGAGGAGGCGGAGGCGCCGGCGCCGGCGGGAGGGTGGAGTTCGGTGGTGGGGGTGATGCTGGTGGTGTCGAGGTCGGGGAAGTACTCGGCAGGTAGGGCGAGCGCTAGAGATACTAGCAGCGGGAGAATAAATTTGGGGAGCATCGTGGGTGAGGTAATGAGCTATGGCAGCTGTGGTGCTGGTGCTGGTGCTGGTGGTGGTGGTGGTGGGATGCTGGTATATAAACACTGGTGCGGGGGAAGGTAAAACAAACAGCCCACCAAGAGAGGTCAGGTCTGGGGCAGACAGCTACGTCAAGCGCCTATTTGTGGAGCAGAGCTACATATTGCATGGATAGCTAATCTGCAGATGATTGCCTGTTTTGGATGGGAGCTGTTGTGCGACATGAGCGGTGTCTGCATGGTCTGCACCTCTACATGCAAGGACGTTATTGGAAACCTTGGACCGTCGAGTTGGATGGTATATGTAGCTTAGATAATTTCTTAACTGCTCCGGTTTGGATGAGAGACGTTCTCTGGTATTTGGCTGTGCCGTAGAACTTGCGATGGGGTACATACATGTACATATAGCTATGGACCAGCGACCAATTCGTGAGCCCGATAATCCGATATATCCGAGTAAGCATTCGATCATTATGGTGTGCCAGCCATAACAGGAGTCGACGGTCAACTTAGTTGACTCAGAGTCTCAGACATATACATGTATACCCGCCAGCTAGGTAGAACCGGATTGAGGGGAGCAAGTGCAGAACTAAGCCGTGCTACGTAGGATGTATGTACCCTGCTCATCACATATCGATGGCCCGGGACCTTCGGCAGTGTAGCGGCCGAGCCAACAATCACGAGCCATCACTCGTTGCGTACACCCGTGACCCGCACGACCGCACGGCCTCCCCTGTCGCCGCCGTGTAACCGGTATCATGCACCCGTTACGTGTACACAATTTCTTTCTCGAGCTCGTCTTCAAGGACCGGTGCCTTGCGATTGAGATATTGAAACCGCCTGGGCAGGCAGGCCTTCTCGTTTGTGCTGCTAATTGGTTCGGGTGCTTTCAGTTGCCTGTAAGGAGGCCCGCCGGACGGTAGTATGATCCGCGGGTAAGCCGGTGGTGTATAATGAGCCCGGTGGACGGAATTGAGGTTCGGTAGCATACGACAGCTGCTTGTCTTTGTGTTTTAGCAACGCAAAAAACAGACAGACGTTAGAAGCGGACAGGATGCGGCAGATACGTGGCACGAACTCTTTCATCTACTTTGTGCGCACCTAGGGTAATCGTTTCAGCTCCAACTGGTGTGTTTGTAGAGTATCCTGTGGCCCGTGGGGATGGGAGAAGGTAATTAATTGGTGAGCTCGAGCGGGGGGGCGGGGGCATATACTATTCTCGCATTGTAAGAGTCTTAAAAAGACCTCTTCCTACAACGGATCGGAAAGGAGGCCATAAGAGAAGAACACATCTAGCTGGATGTTTCCTCCATCGTGGTCCACAAGGACACTTGAAGATATCCTCGAGGCGCATTGCCCTGTTCTTGTCTGTCCTCGAGGTCCGGCGGGGCCGACAAAAAGAGCAAAAATAAAATAGAAGGCATATTCTATTCTCGGCTTCATCAAATTCGGGTATATTAGGTGTGCGTTACACGCATATGTAGCAAAGAAATGACCTTGGAAGGCATCGAAGCAAGGGCAGATAGTGTCCTCGAGACAATTAAAGACACACAGACGCTCGTCCTCATGGACCACACTAGTTTACTCCTTCATGTATGTTCCCCGCACGGTCGCAGGATGTAGTCTGGATTAAGAAGAAACGGGTTCTAAAATCCGGGTAGCGATAATGATTTCATTTGCGTGCTGTATTCTTGGTGGCCCTGTTGATCTGGTGCCGGTGTAGAAGTGTGTGGGAGGTGTCTTCTACAGGGTTATTCAATGGAAGGTCGTGGTATCATCTCGGTACGTGATCGATCGACGGATGGCTACTCCTGAGTTCTATCGAGAACCTTGGGCTCATCAGGAAATCGCTCAACTATATGTATGTTTCATGACTGTTGCGAGTTAAGTTTATAGTATGGATGCTATGCGTCTACTTAATGCCTCTGCCTATAAGCGTTAGGTTCGAGTGTAGGCTCTAGAAACGTACATAGTTCTTATAAAGGAAAAGAAACCTCCTCAGATATTAGCAGTACAGGTAGCCAAACTATGGGGCGGTAAATGTGTCAAAAGGAATTTTACCAACGGTAGTAAATTATTTTACCACCGGTGGTGAAATAATACCAGTATTTATACCTAGAATCCTAATTTTTATGATAAAAGCACAGATCTTTTTGGCCAAAAGGGGCCATATAATGCCAATATATATGAAAATTGTCCACCGGTGGGAAAATTTTCATAAGTTTTGGCATTAATGGTTGAACATTTACTTCTGTAGCATAGCGCAGCATAAAGACCGAAACCCAGTGTTTATACCGGTGGGGAATATACTAATGTAGGATAGCGTGCAGACACAATGACCGAAATCCATCCTGCGTGTCTTCTAAGCGTGTGGGAAGCCCTAGCTAGCCTGGCCGCCTGTGAGCCGTGACCACCGCCACCACCAACACCAACACCACACACGCCGACTCTGGGCTACACACGGGCCGGGTGGGACACCAGTACTGCAACGTGCCAACACCCGAGCATGATACCAGCGAAGCATCTATTTCGAGCCATATATATACGCCAAACCTCCTCCTCCTCCTCCTGCATGGCTATTTTGTCGCGCAGGCTACAAAAAAAAAAAAAACGATTACTGACGGGCTAGCTAGCTTAGTACATTACATAGATACATTAGTACTACCAAGGTCAGCCATATATATATATATATACAGCCAAGTACATGTACATGTAGTTCTCTGGGTAAAAAAAAAATTCTTTTTTATGTAGGTACCGTAAGCCCGGTATCCCTAACGGGTCAGGCGGAGAATTGACCATGATATAGCTGCATGCCGTCACGGTCGCCAGGCTGTATATATCCATCTCGTATTCTGTACCACATGCTAAATCTTGAGAGAAATATTATAGTAGGGCGATTGCCTCGCCTAGGAAGACGCATTTTCCTGTGTTCAGCGGGCTGGAAGTACATGGTGTGTGGGTAGGTGTGTAGCCTCTAGATCGCTGCGGCGAGGAGAAAAGTAGGCGAGTGATGGTTGATGATTGTACTTAGCTTTGGGATGTTGATACGCACCCCCCCACCCCCCCCCCCCGCGCTTTTTTTTTTTTTTTTCTGTTCACCAGCGGGAGAGAAAGAGAGAGCTTTTTTTTTTTTTCTCACGACTACTTGTATGATTTATATCAACGGATTATAATTGGGACCACGGGATTACTGGAAGAATCACTAGTAATACCAATGCTCGATTCTACAAGTAATTCCCACCTAATAAAACAAAAACAAAAACAAAAAAACACCCAACTCTCCCTATCTACCCCCCCCCCCCCCCAAACTAAAACCCCCTACCTACCCCTCTACCTCCGCCCCCGAATCTCCTCCAAGCACCTCCTCCGATTCTCCCCCTCCTGAAACAGCGCCACCACCAGCTCACACATCTCCTCCACCCCAAACTCCGCCACCAAGCCTTCCCTCCACAGATAACAAATCTCCACCATACTACTCTCCAGCACCTGCTGCAGCGCGCGGAACTTGATCCACGCCCCACAATACACGGCCACCATCCCCACGCCGCCCACCGACACCGGAAACAGCGCCTCCACCCCCGCCGCCAGCTCCTCGCACAGCCCCGCCAGCCGCTCGCTCTCGGCCGCCGCAATGTCGCTGATGTCCTCGACGTCGCTGATGAGCCGCGCGCACACGGCGTTGAGCAGCGAGCCGAGCGACTGCGAGAGCGCCGACCGCGACAGGATGGGCGACCAGGTGGCGCGCAGCTGCTGCATGTGCGCGACGGTGCTGGCGATGGCCGTGGCGCACGCGGCGCTCTGCGGGTAGGAGGTGCAGTTGACGAAGCCCTGCGCCGAGTCGAGGTAGTCGGTGAGGACCAGGCGCTGGCTGTGCAGCTCGCGCGCGTAGGTGCGCTTTCCGAAGGCGGCGGTGCGCGCGGCGTCTTCGGGCGGGATGGTGGGCGGGAGGAGGGAGGTGAGGCGCTGCGTGTCGTTGTAGAGGAGCATTCCGGCGGCCGGGTGGTGCGCGTAGTGGAGTGGGGCGAGGGCGCGGTAGGCGGCGAGGAGGAGCGGCGGGAGGGTGTGTAGGTCGGGGGCGGCGGGGGTGATGGCGTTGCGCGGGAGGCGCGTGAGGTGGCTGGCTTCGGTGGTGAGCGTGGTGATGAGCGTGAGGATGGCGTCGGGGATGGAGGTGATGGTGTAGGTTTCTTTGAGCGTGACGTCTTTGGAGGTGGAGGAGGAGGAGGTGGTGGGCAGCGGCGGCGGCGGCGGCGGCTGTTCGGGGGAGCTGGAGTGCGCCGACTCGCTGGTCGTCGGCGTGTAGTCGGCCGTCTTGGGCGTCGCGGGCGCAGCGGGCTCGTCGTCGTCGCCCCACTCGCCCCAGTCGAGCTCCTCCTCCTCCTCCTCCTCCTGCGGCGCTGCTTCTGCCTCTGCGGGTGCCGGCGCCTTCTCCGGCTCCTGCTCCTGCTCCTGCTCCTGCCCCGGCTTCGCAGCAGGCTCAGCGGGGGGGGGATCGTCGATATCGAGGTCCTCGTCGAGCCCCCACCCGCTGGCATCGTCGTCGTCGTCGTCGTCGTCCTCAATCGCCATGTCCAGGCCCTTCGCAACCTCCTTCGCCACCGCCTGCGTCTCCTCCTCCTCCTTCCAGTCCTCGTTCCACACCGCAGCGCCAGCAGAGTTCCTCCGCTGCTCCGGCTTCGTGGGCACCTTCTGTGTCTCGGAGCGCTCGACCACCTTGGTCTCGCGGATGCCCTGCGCGACCGTCTGCCGCAGCGTGTCGAGGCATGTTTCGCGGCGCTTTGCGAGCCAGACGCGGGGCGCGCGGCCGGCCCACTCGCGCAGCTCGCTGTCGCGCGTCCAGGCGATGCTCTGCAGGTGGTCCTCGAAGCGGCAGGTGTCGGCCAGGAGCGCCTCGAGCGCGGGGAGGCGGTCGAGCGAGCTGGGGACCGAGTGCGGGAGCGTGGAGGAGGTGAGGCGGGTGGTGAGGCTGGAGACGAGGATGCGTGAGAGCGGGGAGGTGACGGCGGGGGGGAGCTGCGCGTGCAGGAAGTTGATGATGAGGCGGAGGGAGGCGAACATGCGCGCGGCGCTGAGGTCGGTGCTGGGGGCGGCGGCGGCGGCGGCGGTGAGGGTGTCGCCGGTGACGGTGAAGGTGGGGGCGTGGGCGCGCTGGGTGTCGAGGAGGGGGCTGATGAGGAGGGTGTCGAGCTGCTGGTGGAGGTGGTCGACCTTGGTGTTGAGGAGGGAGAGCGCTTGGAGGGCTTCGACGACTGCGGTGCTGGATATCACGGAGTCGCCCTCTATGTGTTCCAGTTGTCCGTCAGCATCACCAACAAGAGCAGCAACTCACACGAGAAAGCGAGGGAAGCCCGACCTGTAATCTCCCGGCGAATGCGCAACTCGCCCTCCTCCTTCCGCACACACACAATCTCCGTCCACCCCCTCTCCACCCGCTCCACAACACTCTTCCGCAGCCCCGCCGCCCGCTCCTTCATCAGCTCCACCACGATCGTCTCGCCCGTCATCTCCGCGAGCGCCCTCTCCGCGCCCTCCAGCACCACCATCGCCTGCGCCAGCTCCCCGCCAGCGCTCAGCGCCGCCGCCTGCCCCAGCGTCGCCGAGACCATCTGCAGCAGCCCCAGCCGCCCCAGCAGCTCATCGTTGAAGCGGATCTCGGCCTCGAGGAAGCGCTGCTGCGCCTCGGCGTCCGCGAGCTCCGTCTCGAGCGCCTCCTCCTGCGCGGCGAGCGCGAGGATGCGGTCGGCCTGCGCGTTCGAGGCGTCGATGTCGGCCTGCAGGCGCCGCGCTTGCCGGATCCACGGGTCGAGCTCGGGCCCGTTTGCGCGGCTGACCTTGCGGATCTCTTCCTACACCACCGGGCGGTTAGCCATCAGCACAGTGGCTCTAGGGGAGAGCTGCGGCAGCAGTGGGCAGCACACACATTGACCTCCTCCTGTGCCTTCTCTAGATGGGCGATGATCTCGGGGAGCGCATCGGACGGCAGGGAGGCGCTGTAGACGTCGTCTGAGTCCGGGTAGGTGCCTGCGACGACGTTGGCGTGGACTGCGTGAGCGAGCTGCCCGGCGGTCACCGTCATGATGGGCTTTCGTTTCTGTATCGCCTGTGTTTGTTTAATTTACCTGGTTTGGGCTGTTTTCGGTGTTTCGTGTGGAGTTGTGTCGTGGAAACACCTATCGAGGCGGGGTTGCAGGTTGGTTGCAGAGCTTGGTGATCGTCACGCAGGTGGATAACCCTAACCCTGGGCTGTGTGGATGCAACTGTCACCGCCCCGGTGAGAGAGCTTTGGCGATGCGGAGCGATGCGGGGCAGGGGGGCGGCGGTATTCCATTTGCATTGCCAGCCCGCATTGTGCTCATGGCACGTATGCAATCCAGCTACGTTGCCATCAGGCCAGCTGGGGGTGCGTGGACTCGAAGGGATATGCGTGTATGTCCATATTACATGCAGCCGACCCGGTGTCTGCCTGCGTCATGAGATATCACTCTTGGCCAAAAACACCCACAACGAGCCTGCTTCGGGGCGTAGAGAGAGAGCCTTTGTGTGCTGGCAGCACCCGTAGCTGCCAGCACCCGTAGCTGCCAGCACCCGTAGCTGCCAGCACCCGTAGCTGCCAGCACCCGTGGCTGCACAAGAGGCTGGAACGTGCATGCTCTGCCTACATCACATGACCTCGATGGAAGCATTCAAACGGTGCAGTGCATCGGTCACGTGCTCTGCTTACTCACCCGCCAAGCCCCGACGTGACAACATTCTCGAATCTCCCTGAGCTTCCTTCCGATCATTCAATTCCCACGCACGCCACAAACCCCCCCCCCCCCCCATCACGACTCTTCCCCACAACCACAGAACGCAAACAGCAGCCACCAGCAGCAGCAACACCATGTCCTACCCGCCCCCCCCCGGCACCTCCTCCTCCTCGCTCCCCCCTCGCCCTCCCCCCCCAGTGCGCACCTACCAGTCCGCGCCCACCAGCACCTTCTCCGGCTTCCGCCCGCGCTCGCTCGCCGCCCCCTCCCCCATCGTCTCGGCGCCGCAGCACCACCCCTACCACCAGCAGCCCCCCCCCTACACGCAGCCGCCCTACCCCGGCGCCGCCGCCGCGCCCACAACCTACGCGCCCGCCACCTACAGCGCGCCCACGACCACGACCCCGCACATCATCAACCCGTTCCCGCTGCCGCAGGCCTCCGCGCCCTACCGCCGCGCCGACCCCCGCTACCCCGACCTCGACCCCGAGCTGCAGGCCCAGATCGCGCAGCAGCAGTCCATCTACGACCCTGCTGCGCGCGCCGCCGCATCCACTTCTGCCTCTGGCGCGGCGCAGAAGACCGCGGACGCGGAGTATGCGAAGCCGGTTGTTGGCGGTGGCGGTGGCGGTGGCGGTGGGGCGGGGGGGGGGAATAGGAATGCGCCGACGGTGCTGCGGCAGGGCGGTGGCCAGACGTGGACGGATGGGACGCTGCTGGAGTGGGATCCGAGCCATTTCCGCTTGTTTGTGGGGAACCTGGCGGGGGAGGTTACCGACGACTCGTTGCTCAAGGCGTTTGCAAAGTATCCGAGCGTGCAGAAGGCGAGGGTCATTAGGGATAAGCGGACGACGAAGAGTAAGGGGTATGGCTTTGTGGCCTTCTCGGATGGCGATGAGTATTTCCGCGCGGCGAGGGAGATGAATGGGAAGTATATTGGCAGCCACCCGGTGCTGCTCAAGAGGAGCAATACGGAGATTAAGCCCGTGGTGGTGGGCGGGGCGCGGAAGGGGAAGGAGGGGGGCGTGCTGGGGGGACGGGTCGAGAAGAAGAAGAAGAAGAAGGGCAGGGGGGAGGAGAGGAATGTGTTGGGGTAGAGGAGAGAGGTTTGGGGGGTCTTTTTTTCCCTGTGGGAATGGTGGGGAAGTTGGGGCCGTATCACCCAGCTTTTTCTCCCTTTTTTTTTCTTTTTTCTTTTCTCGTTTGGCCGTTTTCCGCTTTCTTCTTACGCTCCCTTCCTTTGCCTTTCTTGCTGATGGCTACTCTAGGCGGTGGAGGAGGCTTGGGTTCGGAGCCCTTTCTTCACTACTGTTGATGCGGGAAAGTGGGAAGGGGGTGGGGGTATAAAACGTCGTTCATGTAAGTAGCTACTAGATTGAACTTTTATGACAGAGATACAATAATAAACTAGCAATTCTCTTTAGCATCTTCTCCAGCATTGGTGTTACTATCTGTCTGTGCCCGTGAGAACATGTAGTTTGTGTGAATCACTGCCCGGCGTTGTGGTGTCAACTCGAGTCCATTTCATGCCAACACTGTAATGCCACGGATCTGATATGTGATGTAGCACAACTATTCTACCACACATCCACCGTATATCAGATCCCTCCCCAGCTATCATTGACCCCCCTATCTACCATACCCAAGCCCCGAGTATCCAAGTGACTATTCCACCGATACTTATCAGCATCAAATCAGATAAGATAACCCACTCTATAAATAGTCACCCCACCAGGGTTAGGGCTCCCCGCCCGCCCGCCCGTACCATGCGGCTCTCCCTCGTTCCTCCCCCCAAGCCAGCCATATCTGCATGTGTAACCACCAACCGCTATCTCCACCCCTGTCTGTCTGTCTGTCTGTCTGTCTGTCAGTCTATCTATCCGTCCGCCCCCACCACCAACCACCAACCACCAACCACCAACCACCACAACCACAACCACAAACAGCAGTAATGACCGCCCCCCCGGACGCATCGCAGCTGACAAAGTGGGAGGACGCATTCCAGCACCCGATCCCCGTTGTGCGCGGCCTCGAGCGCCAGCTGCAGACGGAGCTGGGTGCGAGTAAGGAGAAGCTGAGGGGTCTGGTTGGGTATGTACCCCCCCTCCCCTCTTTTCTTCCCTTCCGTGTTGAGTGGGTAGTGGGTAGTGGGTAGTGGGTAGTGGGTAGTGGGTAGTGGGTAGTGGGTAGTGGGTAATGAATAGTGGGGTGCTAATGGGGTGGAATGGGGTGCAACAGAGAGAGCTATCGAGACCTGCTCCGCACGGCAGAGCGAATCGTGGAGATGGACCGCGACGCACAAAAGGTCGAGAGCTGTCTGGCCGAGACGTCGCGCGCGTGCAGCTCCCGGCTACTGGAGCGGAAGGCGAGGAACTTGAGGATGTTTGAGGAGCGGGTTGGCGCCGAGGGTACTGCTCTTTTTTTTTTCTTTTTTTTCCCGTTATATATATATATATCTCCGGGGAGAGAGAGGGATTGTAGCTGACTGCGGTGTAGACAGGGAGAAGTATGTGTTTGCAGCGCAGCTGGCGGTGCTGGGGAGCTGCCCCAGCGTTGTGAGCCGGCTGCTGCAGAGGGACGAGGGCGGCGAGAATTGCCTGCTGGCTACAAAGGTGTTTGTGGTGCTGCGGCTGCTGCTCAAGAGTTTGCTGCAGAAGGTTGGTTTGTGCATGTGGTGGCTGCGATCATTGGCCCTCTTCCGTCCCCGTCCCCGTCCCCTTCCCCGCCCCCGGTTTACATCAAATATCTGGAAGAGCGATCATTGACACACCCCCCCCCGTTCTACTACACCACAGGGCCCGTCAGTCCCGCTACTCGAATCACTGAAGCACCAACGCACAACGCTCACCGCCCACCTCACCACCCACATCGACCACCTCCTCACCACGGCCACCCCCCACCTCACCACAGTCCTCACCTCCTACTCCCTCCTCAAGACCTCCTCCCCCTCCGACGTGCTCCGCCACTTCCTCTACATCCGCTCCTCCGCCATCAGCACCCTCACCGCCGAGCGCACGCCCAAAGCCACCCTGGCCGCAATGGCGCTCTACAACCAGACGCTCGCCCACGCCGACGCCCTGTTCCCAAAGCGCCTCAGCGACGCCCTCATCCTGCTCAAGTCGCGCCCCCTGTTCGCCGACCCCGCGCTCACCCAGCTCCCCGATCTGGCCCTCGACACGCACGCCAGCTGGCTGCCCGACGAGCTGTCGGGCTTCGTGCCGTGGGTGCGCCACGACGACCTGGAGCGCGCGCGCGTGGCCGAGCTGGCGGCGGCGTGGGGCGAGCGCGAGCTGCTGCTGCTGAACGAGGGGGTGGAGGGCACGCTGGCGGGGATGGAGGACCTGGGTGCAGTCGTGGGGCTGCGCGCAGAGGTGCTGGCGCTGTGGGGCGCGGGCGAGAGGGCGAGGAGGCCGTTTGCCGCCGCCGCCGCCGCCGCCGCCGCCGCTGGTGGGGACGGGCTGGGGGGGGGGAGGCAGAGTGAGCGGTTGAGGGAGCTGGTGGGCGCGAGGATCGCGGGCGTGGTCAGGGCGAAGAGTGCAAGGTTGGCGGAGGTGGGCGCGAGGATCAAGGAGGAGTTGGAGGGCGTGGGGACGCTGGAAGGTTTGTGTCCTTCCTCGCTGGATGGATGTGGGGGGGTCAATGATTGGTTTGACCGCTTTCTGGATGTGTGCTAATAATCTTGTTTCAGACTCGACCAGCCTGTGGGACCCCGTCCTGCTCAGCATCCCGCTCACGGCCGGCGGCGCGCTCTTCAAAGAAAGCGTGCAGTCGCGCGTGCACGGCAAAAACAGCGCCATCAAGTCCTTCCGCGCCACCTACGACGCCTTCCTCTCCGACATCGCAGCCACAACCACCACCCTACACTCACTACGCAGCCCGCCCACTCCCACCACTACCACCACTACCACCACCACCGCCGCCGCCACCGACGACGCCGACGACGACTTCGACGCCGAAGAGCAGCGCGCCCAGGAGGCCCTCGAGGACTCGCTGATCGCCGAGACGGAGCTGCGCTCCGCCCTCGACGCCGCCTACCGCGCCCTCGAAACGACGCTGGACCGCCTCGTCGACTCCACCACCTCCGCCCCCACCTCCACCACCACCACTACCACCACCGCAGCCACCCGCCAGACAACGTTCCTCCTGCGCACAATCCGGCAGATCCGGCAGCACCCCACGCCGCTGTGTCCGCTCCCCTGGTTCTGCAGCGCGCAGCTGCCGCGGCTGCACAGTGGCGTCGCGGCGCTCGTGGGGCGCGGCCCGGCCGAGACTGTGGGCACGCTGCTGAGGCAGCGGAGGTGGAGCGGCGTGTTGGCGTCGCGCGCGCTGTGGGAGGGGAGCCCGCCGCTGCCCGTGCAGCCGAGTCCGCTGGTTTTCAAGTTTTTGCTGGATCTGGTGGGGGGGATGCATGAGGCTGGCGACGACGTGTGGACGCCCGCGGCGGTGAGGGGTGTCAAGGTGTTGGCGTGCCAGGAGCTGTGGGGGGCGCTGGAGGGGGTTGTGGTGGGGAGGGAGGTGGCCGAGGTGCGCGGGAAAGAAGAGGGGAAAGAGGGACAAGCGGAGGGGGAAGGCGGAGAGAAGGAGGAGGGGGAGAAGGAGGAGGAGGAGGGGGTGGAGGCAGCGGACGAGGATGCCCGCGTGATTGGCAAAGACTGGGCCGTGCAGCTGCTCTTCGATGCGCTGTACCTGGACGAGGCGCTGCAGCGCAAGGGCGCCAATGCGCGGAACTCGGGCATCTCGAGCCTGGCGGGGAAGATCGAGGCTACGGTGGGCATACGGGTATGTATTCTTCTCTCTCTCTCTTTCTGTTCTTCCTTGGTGGATTTGGGGTGTATGCTGACTGTGTGGGTGTGTGATATGTAGCTGGGCTTCGACGAAGAGCTGCGGCGGCGCCTCGAGGGCTGCGCGAGGGAGTACTGGAAGAGGACTTGTCTGCTGTTTGGGCTGCTTTCGTAGCTGGCTAGCTAGCTGGTTGGTTGTGGGGGGGGGGTGGTGCTTTTTCTTTTCTTTTCTTTTAATAGGTTTCTCTTGTCATTTTTTTTTTTTTTTGTGTGCGCTTGTAGAGGAAAACTACTAGCTGGCTAGCTTAGCTTGTGGTGGTGATATCTAACCTTGAGCTGTTTGTTGGATTTGAGCGTGTGCGCGGGTTACTTGTTTTTGAAACTGCTTGTTTTGTTTTTGGTTTGTGCCCGCTTGGTTCATGTGATTATACCATTGATTTTTTTGCGTCTTTTTCCATCCTTAAAAAACATCGTAGAAGAAAAGAGCACAAAAGAGCAAAAAAAGAGCAAGAAAAGAAACTACAACACGAACTCCATCTAAAAACCTAATCATTACAAAAAGAAAAGGAAAACAACTAAAAACTAAAAAACTACAACTAAAAAACCAAAACCTACACAACGTCCACAAAGCCCGCCATCGGATCCTCCGCCAGCCTGCGCTGCTTCATAAAGTTCTCCATATCCTCCTCCGTGACGCCGTCCCTCATCTGCGCCAACTTGCGCTTCCCCTTCTCCGTCGCCGACTCCCCCTCCTCCTCCTTGCCCTTTCCCTTTCCCTTTCCCTTTCCCTTCCCCTTCCCCTCCTTCTCCTCCACCTGCTCCTCGGCCTGCTCCCGCACCACCAACTCCTGCACCACGCTCCTCGGCGCCACGGGCGCCACCAGCCCCAGCCTCATATTCTCCGCAATCTCCGCGGCCCGGATCCCCTCCACGCCCGTGCAGTAACTATTCTTCGTATGCGACCTACAGCACGCATACCCCCACCTGCCCGCGCGCCACCACGACCCCCACACGGCCTTATGGTTCCCGACCAGCACGTCCTCCGCATACTTACTCCTCGGCGTCACCTTCTCCCTCCCCTTAACCTGTCCCTCAGGCGTATACTCGACATACCTCTCCTCCTCCTCCAGCACCGGCGGCCTCGCCTCCAGATGCTCCCCGCCACCATACCGCTCCAGCAGCCTCCTCCTCTCCTCGGCCCTCCGCTTCTCCGCCGCCTCGGCCGCCGTGCGCTTCAGCTGCTCGGCCTCCGTCGGGTTCGCCTGCAGATGCATGCGGTTGCGGTCGCCGCGCTCCCGCGTCTCCCACGCCGCGCGCTGCAGCTTCTCAAACTCGGCCGCGTCGCCCGAGCTGCGCATAAAGTTGTCCTCGGCCACCAGCGCCGCCGCCTGGTCCGAGCGCGCCCCGCGGTCCACCATCGTCCGCGTCTTGGGGTCGTACTTGGCCGAGTCCAGGTCCAGGTCCACCAGGTACTTTGCCGTGTCCTCGCGGATGCGCAGGTTGCGCGTGCTGATCCTGTTCGCCGAGTCGTACCCCTGCCCGGGCGTCTCGCTCTCCTCCGCATACTTGTCCTCGTCGTCCACGTCCTCCGCGGCGGCAGCAGCCGCAGTGGTGGCCTCAGACCGCTTGCGCAGCGCCTCCATGCGCAGGTGGTCGTCGACCACGCGCTGGTGCTCGCGCGCGTCGTAGCCGTTCCAGCGGTCGCGCTTGCCGTCCCAGCCCAGCTCGAGCGTCTGGATGGCCTCGTCGGGCTGGATGTCCTGGCCCGTCCAGCGGGCGCCGAGCTTGCGCGGGCGGCTGAGGCAGTCCTTTGTGGCGTGCGACATGGCGCCGCAGTTTGTGCACGCGCCCGGGCGGTACTTTGTTGCGCGGGTTGTCTTGGCGCCGCGGTCGTACCATTTCTGTGTTTCGAGGGTGTCGGCGGCGGGCTTTTGGAGGCGCTGGTGCTCGACTGGGAGGGGGCGGTGTTAGTGGTGAGTGAGTGGCAATTGGGGGGGGAGGAGGGAGGGGGGGGGAGGGGGACGTACGGTAGTCGGCTCCGGTGCTGCCGCTGCCGGTGTTGTTGTTGTTGAAGTAGAAGGGCCGTTTGGCGATGAAGTGGGGGATGTACTCGTTCTTTGCCTGCTTCTCGGGGTTGTGCTTGAGGGAGGATGAGGAGGACGACATGTTTGGCTGTGGTGTGCAGTCTGCCTGCCGTCGGTGGTATACTGTGTCTTTAGTTCAGCTGTGTGATCCTTTTGCGGACCGGGTGATGGCTGGTGATTGATTGTCCGAGTGGTGTTGTGTTGTGGCAAGGGACCTCTGCAGCTTGTCGGAGGTGAGGTTGGTTGTGTGAGGTGAGGTGAGGTGAGGTGAGGTTGAGGTGGTGATGGATGGATGGATACACAGCGGTGGTGGTGGTGGGAGTCTTGGCGCCAAGGATGGATGGGCCCAACGTCGAAGGGATGCGAGGTGCAGTGCAATTGAATAACGGACGGTGGGGTGGCTTCACGGGGAGCTGTCTAAAATAATCTTTTCGAAGGAATGGAGCAGACTGTACTGGCTTTAATTTATGGAGCTGGGATTGGAGACTGTGGACAGGCAGGTGGGTGGTGGTAGGGCACAGGTGAATGAGACACAGACACAACTGAGAGCTTCACTGCTCTCCCTTCTTGCAGCATCCATCCATTGCCTATTCCTGGTATTTTAATATACAGCCAATCGTGTGATGTCTCAAGTGACGTTCAGCAGCCATCCCCGTCGGTCCATGAGCTGCAGGTACAGATAAGAAGATACACGAGGTAACAGAGCGAAGAAGACAAGACACCCGACACCCGACACCCCCGACGACGACGACGACGACGACGACGACGACGACGGCCCCACCACCACAGCTAGGCTCTAGTGTGTTCTACAGTAGTGCCCGCATCTCCCAGCCTTCCTTCCTTCACTTGACGGGGGAGGCAGCAACCAAGGGACGGACGGGCACACACACAGAGTTACAGTGACACTCCCGACCGACCGACCGACTGACGCACCCAATGCTCTCCCTCGCCTCTCTAAACCGCGCCACTCCCTCCCGCGCTATCAAGACATTCCTCTTCCTGCGCCGGCCCCTCATGACTCACCCACAACCAGCAGCAGCAGCAGCAGCAGCAGCCATGACTCCCACTAACCCCACTAACCCCACCATCCCCACCACCACCACTCCCCGCACTCGCACTCCCTCTCCCACCACTCCCCCAGCACCCAAACGCCGCCGTCTTCACAGCACCTCCCCCACCCCCTCCACAATGTCCACCACCACCACCACCACCACCATCACCACCACCACCATCACCACCACAACCCCCCGCATCGAACTAAGCGACACCGAAGAGACCGTGCGCCGCCTGCTCGTCGACGCCGGCGCCGAAATCGACACCTACAACCGCACGACGGGCGCGCGCAACAAGGAGCCCGTGGTGCTGCGCTTCACCGGCGGCTGGGTGCGCGACAAGCTGCTCGGCGTCCCCAGCCACGACATCGACGTGGGCATCAGCCGCATGACGGGCTACAACTTTGGCCTCTACCTCGTCGACTTCCTGCAGCGCCACTACCACAGCTATGGCATTGAGCCGGGCGCCGTGCACAAGATCGAGAGCAATCCCGAGAAGAGCAAGCACCTGGAGACGGCGACCATGAAGATCTTGGGCCTGGATATCGATCTGGTGAACCTGAGGAGCGAGGTGTACAAGGGGGATTCGAGGGTGCCGATTATGGTTTGTCTGCCCTGCCCTACTCTAGAATACTACGTTCTGCGGGGCCAGAAAGAAGATGCTGATAGACCCCCCCCTCCCCCAGGAATTCGGCACCCCCGTCCAAGACGCCCTCCGCCGCGACTGCACTGTCAACGCGCTCTTCTACAACCTCCACTCACGGCGCGTCGAAGACTACACGGAGCACGGGCTCGAGGACATGCGCAACAAGATTATCCGCACGCCGCTGCCGCCGCAAGAGACCTTTGACGATGACCCGCTGCGGATACTGAGGCTGGTGAGGTTTAGCTCGCGGCTAGGATTTGAGATTGTGCCTGAGGCGAGGGAGGCGATGAAATTGCCGGAGATTATTGTATGTATCTTTACCTTTTTCCGGGGTGGTTTGCGAGTTAGTTGGTGGTCGGGCATGGCTATGACTCGGTTGGCCGGGCATGAGATATCACTCTACTCCTCCCTCCACACCCTCCCACTCCACCACTCCACCACTCATCCCCACCCTTCCCCATACCACTATCTCACTGTGTGCCACACTAACACCGCCCCTAGGACGCCCTCCGCCACAAGATCTCGCGCGAGCGCATCGGCGTTGAGCTCCACAAAATGTTCACCGGCCCCTCCCCCCACCGCGCCCTCACCCTCCTCTACGAGCACTCCCTCTACCCCGCCATCTTCTGCCCGCCCACCATCCCCTTCCCCGACTCCCTCCCCCTGCACACACTCCCGCGCGCCCTCGCCGCAACCCGCCACCTCACCACCCTCACCACCCCCCTCCTCCCCACCGCGCACGGCCACTACCTCACCTGGCTGCTCACTGCAGTCACGCCCTGGAACGGCGTCGTGCTCGAGGCAGACATGAAGCGCAGGACGCCCGCTGCGGCCTCCGCCGTAAGGGAGGGCCTCAAGGTCGTGAATAAGGTGCATGATGTTGTTGCGCGGGCGTTCCAGAGCGTGGATGCTGTGAGGGGCGTGCTAGCCGAGGGGGAGTGGGGCAGGGCGAGGTTGGGCGTGTTTGTGAAGGAGTTGGGGGCGGCGTGGAGGAGCTGTGTGTTGCTGAGTGAGGTGTTGGAGCTGGTGGAGGTGTGGGAGGGGGAGGAGGAGCGGCCTTGTGAGTTTTTTTTCTTTTTTCCTTTCCTGTTTGCATTCATGTTTGGGGTGCGGGTGTGATGACGGGGACTAATGTGTGTGTGTGTGTGTGTGTGTGCGTGTAGCAAAAGAGGCGCAAGCCATCATCGACAAATACGAACACCTCGCCGCACGGATCATAGAGCTCGGAATGGAAGAGGCATATCTCATAAAGCCACTCGTCGACGTATATTCCCTCGCCTCCCACCCCCTTTCTTTCTTCCCCCATCACTCCGCTAACAAAAACAAAAACCAGGGCAACGAACTCCTCACAATCTTCTCGCGCCCGCGCGGCGCCTGGATCGCAAAGGCGATGCCCAAGATCCTCGAGTGGCAATGGGACAATCCGGCCGCGGGCAAGGAGGAGGCGCTGGAGTGGGTTAAGGCGCAGAAGGCGTTTTTGCTCCGGGCTTAAGTAGGAGCTAGTTCCTTTTTTTTTTTTTTTTTTTTTGTTTCTTTAGGGGCTTATATACCGCGGTAATAAAAGTATCTTTTTAATTTTTTCTTAGTGCGGGTGGTGAGCTGGTGAGGGACGTGGAATTACGGGCTGCAAATGATAGATCTATAGCCTAGCTTAGTAGTATCGTTGCTAGATGTTGTGGTTAAGACCTTGAGTGGGATTTTCAAGAGCCGGAATATTGGGGAAATTGATGCGAGTGATATCTCATGATTGATTCTACCTTAGGTCAGCTGTAACCTCCAAGACAAACCCCGCCTCTAAAATTCCGCAAAGAGCTCTTTGGGTGCCCCGGAGCATGTGATATTACCCACTCCAATATCAATTGGAAATGCAGTGTTTAATCTTGCGTGAGGAAACGTTCTCAGGTTGCTGGTGATCGAGGTCTGAAAGCCCCCAAGATTACTCAGGCTATTGCTCGAATTATGAATATGAGAGTGATAATGATTGGATCAAGTGGGTTACCGCAGCTTAACTTACAGCATCTCAAAACTAACTCATATGCTAAATCGATCGATTACCACAACGTAGCTCTTGTAGTGTCTTAACACCCACTCCGCTAACCTACCCCACAACGTTGACTGATGGCTCAGTGAGACGGCTGATCTCTTAGGTTCTTAGTTCACGAAGTTGCCCCTTCGAGTTCATGGCTATCTCTATATACATGTACTTCTACACATTTACAATTATTACTCTGTACCCGACCTATGCTCCATATCCCAAGCCATTACAAGAGCAAAAAAAAAAAAAAAGAACAAAGGGAGGGCCGGGATCGATGGGCTGCGTAATACGGAAAAAAAAAAAAAAAAACTTTAGGATAGAAGGCCCATCAACAAACTGATCTCTTTCGAAAATTCCACGTATAGTAGGCCTAAATTTAAATCGAGTGAATGGGAAAAGATGGGATGAAAGCTCACCTCTCCCCGGTCTAAAAAAAAAAAAAAAAAAAAAGATCTGTAAGATCACAAAGGACACGGAACAGGGACGGAGGCGCAAGGGACAGGAACGAAAAAGAGGAGGAGGGGCCCACGAGCGAACTGATTTCTTTCAAAAGATTCACGCACAGCGGCCTAAATCGAGTGAAAGAAAAGAGACGAGACGAAAGCCCGCTCCTAACCCGCCGATGAAAATGGTCAGTAAGACCAAACGGACGAGGAAAGGGACGGAGGAACAGTGGGCAGGAGCGAAGGGGACGGGGGACAGGCACAAGGGACGGGGGACAGGCACAATGGACAGGCACAGGCACAGGCACAGGAACAAGGAACAAGGAACAGGGACGCCCACAAGAAAACCAATCTCTTTCAAAAGACGCACGCTCAGCGGCCTACATCAAATGAAAGAGAGAAAGACCAATAAAGGTCTCTCTGGTTTTTCAATCCAGAAATTCCTTGGCCTGCCGAAGCAAGCCAAGAGCAGCCAACATAGTTGTAGTTTTCAACTAGCAAAAATCGAAGCTCGGACGAATCCTCACTGCTATCGATCTTGCCCATGCACTGAGATAGAGAGAGAAGAAGGGGTGTGGGGGAAAGTGTGCTTTTATTGTAACGTCGGGCGGCCAAATTGGTTTATTGGCACGGTATGCTGGCCATAGAAAGGGGCAAGAACCATTATGTATAGAAAGAAAGAAACCCCATATGGTAGGATACGTACCTCGTAATGGCTTGGCCCGGCGTTAAATTTAACAACACAGAAAGATCAACCAATATGAAGAAGGCCAGATTTGTAATTATCTTATGTATGTATGGTTATTCTCTACAATCGTTCTTCTCGGCGTCAACCAATTGTTTCTCATCAGTATGTCCCACGAGGACGCTTGAGGCGAGGTTTGAGAGTGTCCTCGAGGCGCCACGTCCAGCCTCGTTGACCTCTTACTCAAGACTAAGTAGTAGCAAGTACTGTAGCCCGTCAAGGTTGGTAACTGTTCTCTAAACCCGCGCGGGAAAATACAGAGGAGGAGGAGGAGGAGGAGGAGGAGGAGCAGGTTTGGGTCATGTATGGCCTTCGATAGTTCCTGTATCTGTTTGTGATACTCGGGTGTTGGCACATAGTAATAAGTACGTTGCAGTGTTGGCGCTTCACCCGTTGCTTAGGGTTGTTCCGGGTTTCTGGCATTTTACGGCTTTGGCTCGGTTTGTTTATTCTACTACATACCCGGTGGATTTGCTCATACGCCATGGCTGTTGGCTGTGCTCTGCGGCTGGGCTCTCTTCCCATTAGGCCATGGTGGGAGGCACGAACCTTGTACCGTGGGGGTGAACCTTTAGATCGAATATAGCTTATAGTTGAAGTGTTCCTCACAGGATATCACTCGATAAGGCTTGGCAAGGTTTTACAATCTAATATAATTTTTATTCCATTCCACCAGACGAGTAAAAAGAACAAGGATAAAGAGACGTTGCAACACTTCGACTATAACTTATAGAAACATTCCCATCAAGTAGTAGTTAAGTTGTTTGGAAGAAAGAAGGGGTGGGAAGGTAGTAAGTAGTAGTTAATAGTATACAAAAACAGCATTCATAAAAAAAGAAAAGAAAAAGAAAAATAAGAGAAATCAACATTTTCACACACTTTAATCGTAATTAGCATTCCTATGTCTTTTTGAGGCCCCTCCCGCCGGGGATCTTTCTCTTTCTTGCAGGCCGTGTTTCTGTCCTGCCTTTTCTCCGGCAGCCTTCACGAAGGCTTCTACGCCGAAGGGGTCGGCGGTGTCTTTTTCGAACTGGACGGGGCCGTCACGAGCCTAGTACAACACACACACACCAATTAGCAACTACGCCAGAATCCAAGATATGTATAAACTCACCTCCTGGTCGCCACTCCCCTTGAACCCCTGCGCCGCCCTCCCCAGCACCTCGAAGCGCCCGCTCTTCTTGATCCTTTCCATCTCGCCCTCTGCCGCATCCTCATCATCCTCGACAGAGACCTTCGGGCGATAGATACTATTCGCCGCCTCCTGCGCGGCAAACAACGGCTTATCGTACGGCTGGTCCTCGTTGAAGCCCACGTCAAACCCACTGCTCTGGTTGAACAGTCGGCTATCCCACATTGTCTCCTGACTCTGTGTCGGCTTCGCAAGCCCCAGCGCAATCTTCTCGCCAATATCTCTCCCCTGCTCGCGAGCCAGCATCGCAATCTTCCGCTCAGTGCCCATGCGCTTCATGCGCAGCTCGCGCTCCGCCTCGCGCCGTCGCTCAGCACGCATGGCTGTTCGCGCGGCGGCACTAGATGTGTCGGACCCGCGCGAAGACGACCGACTCCGTGATGATGCCGGTGAGCGGGAGTCCGCGGAGCCAGAGCGAGAGCGAGAGCGGGACCGAGTGCGGCTGCGGCCGCGGGTGGCATCCTCGCGGGCCTTCTGTGCGAGAGCGCGGAGATTCTCCTCTTTCTGCATCTTCTCCTTCTCGGCGAGCTTCTGCTGCATCAGTGCGCGCTGCTTGACTTCCTCTCGGGCGTGGCGGTCCGCCGTGAAGAGGGCTTCGGCGAACTGTGCGAACTTATCGTTGATGGTTACGTCCTGAAGACCTCTTCCGTCGGCTGCCAGACGCTTATCAAGCGGGACAGTGTAACCCTTGGGATTCTTCCAGTTGGACACAGGCGGGGGTATAGTCCACGCCTCTTGGTCTGCAGCTGTCAGCTTCCGCGGCGGCGAGTGCATGACCGGCGGTGGGGGGCTGGGCGGTCCTCGGGGGATCTTCTTGTGCTTGAACTTTGGCGGCTCCATGGGGTCCTGCTGGCGCTCGACGATCTTGATGATCTTGTCTGACCGCTTTGTGGTATCTCCAACCTGGTTGCTAGGGGTGTAGCGGACGTACTGCGCCTCCTTCCTATTCGTGCCCTTTATCGTTTTCGGCTTCTGAGCGGCGACAGCACCCGACACGAGAGCGGCCAGCGCGGCCTTTGTCTTCTCTGTTGTTGCCGCAACATCCTCCTCTGACGGGCGCTCGAGCGAGATCTCGCCGACGTCGGCGCGTTGTCGCAGCGGAATGAGGTCCTTAAATGACGCGTGGACAATTCTGGAGCTGTTGTGACCCTGGCGCGCGATAGCGTCATATTTTATCTTGCCGTCCGAGTCGACTTGTAAGGAAAGGGCTTTTGATGTTGTCGAGGAGCCTTTGCGGCCCATGTCGAGTGGGTACTGCGCGATGGGGATCTCGGGAAATGCGCCACCATCGTTAAAGTCATCAGTGGATCTGGGACGCCATGATGACCGCTTTCCGTACTCTGGTGGTGCGTTGTTCTGTGTGCGTTAGCTTTAGAGGGGGGTGGGAGGTAGGGAAATGGAGCTGTAGCGTACCTTGAGGACTAGCTGTGCTTGCTCGGCATCGCCGCCGCCGAGGATGCGGGCTCCGCTGGCACGAGAGGGGGCGGGTTCGTCAGGCGTGTAGCGGGGGGCGGGGAGAATCTTGTTGAGGCCGGCTGCAAGTGACATTTTGTGGAGGTGGATTTGGGGGGAGGGGAGGTTGTTAGAGGTTGGAGGTTTGTGGAAGGATGCGTGGTTGGATTTTTGGTGATGTCGCTAGCACGCCAAGGAATTGGAAGTTAGTGCCAAGACAAATGATCATAGGGGGGATCATTGACAGCTCGAGCTCATGCAACTACAGTGCTAGATTCGATTCTCTGCAATTGGGATTTAATTAATATCCCGAAGAACCAGACCTGGAATTGGAACGAATTTGATATCCCGCGGTGATTCTGGTAACAACTACAATATTAGGTGCACACTACTTAGTTAAACTCACACCCTGTCATTTCCACTTTATCGCGTCGTGACCCAAATCGCGTCTCCCCAAGTCGAGTGCACATACAGCGATCCAGAACTTGCAAACGACCACGCAAACGACCGCGCAAACACCACAATGACTCAGAACAACACCGGAATACCTCTTTCGTTCTCTCACAATCTTGCGCCAATCCGTTTGATTGAGCTGCCCCCAGCGCTGCTATCCTTGCTCTCAAACACCAACTCTCCGCCCACGTAACAAATTCTACCCAAGTTCTGAAAGGCTATAAATATATGGCTGACACCCTCATAGGCTACAAATTAAAGCTTCATCCGCCCCAACAGACACCCACTCAACCAGTAATCACGCCGTTCTCACTACACCAACACAAACCTTCTCCCTCCGCCAGGTCTACTCCTCCAACTCCCTCCTTCTCCTAAAGCCCTCCACCACCACCGGTCTAAACGTCGTTTCCACGGCTAATAGCTACATGGAGCTCATTCCAACCATCCACAATGCCAAAGATCTGATTCTGAAACACATCCCCGTATTCCCTCCACCCGCTGATGTCACCCCCATCACTCGTACGGAAATCCTCGCCTCCCTCCCCGTCTCAAACGGCGAGTTCGACGCCGCCTGGAGGGGCCTCCACTGCTTCACCTGTCCCAAGGGCTTTGCGTACCGCCCTCTGCCCTCGGCAGTTCTTCAGACGTTGAAGACGATCGAGCTAGTCAACTCTGCGGGTGATGACGGCATTGAGCTGAGCAAGTTCATGCCAGAGGACCTTGTAGAGGCTATAGACCGCTACTTTGCCTCACTCCATGATGAGGACGATGAGGATGACGATGAGGAGGTTGAGCGCTGTATCCCTGGCCTCGTAGAGGCCGTACTATTAGAAGTCGGCTTGGCCAATTGCAGGATGGGGTCATGCATGTCAATATGTGAAAGTACATGGATGGCATGGCTTGGAAGATTGGTTTTGGAGGATTGGGCTTTAAAGAGTAAAGGCGATATGCTTTATGCCTCGTTCATGACAAAGTGGAAGCAGGAGGCCCCGGATTGGTGTTCGGCAATCGAATGCGAGTTGAAGAACATCGAGGCATGCATTTACCCTCTCCGGTTTCTTTGATATTGTGCTAATCGTCTCATAGGGATGGTACACTCTTCCGACTCCTAACACGATTCGTTTTGCTCCGGGAGGCGATGCTGTTGCGGTTGAGGTTGAGGTGCCAAAGCCGCAGAAAAAGAACAAGTGGCACGAGAAATTCGGGAAGGGCAAGAGACGTTGATATATTCTGCGTATCGCCCTCACGCTTCAAATGATGGGTATATCTATTTATTCAAGAACATCAATGTTTTATTTCTGCATCTAAACTTCTCTTATTTTAGCTTTGGCAGGAACACTGAAAAACATGCTTGATAGATCATTGACTACTTGACCGTTTGTGAAAACCTGTGAAATCGAACAACTATGTACCAGAAATTAGAAGATACCAAGCTTTTTATCTACTCGGCTGATTTCGCAAGTCGTTTTATAAAAGATCTATATTGCTCCAGGTTGTGACTACACGTAGTGTCAAGATAGATATTTAGAATCATGGTGTATCACTCGGTTCCGTGGGAACTGATGAAAGGCGCTCAAAGAACCCTCGACACTTTAAATACGTGCCTCCAACCTCATCAATGTAATTCTACAACCAAATACCCTCAGCCCTCATACATGTATCCCTACAATGTGTCTCCGGAGAGTTGCTTAAGAGAGCCGAAGTTCGCCTAATCTATATTTAATGTCAGATCAGGGTAAGAGATTTTCAGGGTTAGGATTCATGAGGATCCAGAGTCTAGCCAGCTTAATGTTCTTCCCTAGAAAGAGGTAGTCATTAATATACTTCGTGCTACTAGCGGTTGTCTGTGTGAGCTGGGGCCTTGATGAACAATATCCAACCCCATACTAGAGGGGCCAGAGAGACCAAAGAAATCAAGCGGGTAACAGAGAGTTAGTACATCCGTCTATTCGTATCTGTTCCATTCTATGGTGCACTGGTAGTATTAAAAATAAAACGCGCGGTAGACCCCCCCCCCCCCCCCTCTTCTATGCGGTCGTTTAAAATACCCATTCGCCGGATCGCACTAGCATGGCAGCTCGTCTCTATTAGCTCTTTGCAGTGTGACCAAGGAGGGACTGGCGATAGCCGGGCCGTCGATCAGCTCACAGTTCATGGCCTTTAAATTTGATTGCCTCTACTAAACTCAGTAGAAGCTGAGTGTACCCTTGAGCCCCCGTCATAGTCACACTGTTCCACCAACCACAGTTGGATAGGGCCCTTCTCGGGTCATCCAAGCTGAATTGTGATGCACAAGCAGCGATGGTTGGCCTCGCCTATCTGCACATCCAGTCCTGTCGTAGCACCGATTCCTATCTCCTCTCAGCAATATGCTAGTGGCAGGTCTCGTGTGCTGGTCAACCTCCAAACATCCACAATACCAGAATTTTGCGGGGAAAGGGGCTTTCGTGGTCAGATCAAAAAATTCACCCGGTCTGCAGTCTTCTGGGTAGGTGGTAAATCGACGTCCAAAGAGTCATTAATTTCGCCTCTAAGTAGGCAGTATATTAATATATACCTACGGTGAAATATGTATCTGAATGGGGGTCCCAATATGCATCAAAATTCGAATCACAAGACACAATGAGAGTCAGAAAGCCGGCGGCTGGATAACATAACAGACAGAAGCCGACGAGCCCCTAGGGAGTCTTTGAAGGACGAATCCAGTAGCCTAGGCGGCACCGAGGCCAAAAGCCCAACTACCCGGCCATAGTTTTTCTTCTGAAAAAGAGCCGTACTAGATCGCCCGATAAAGGCACCGCCCAACCGTGGACGGATTCCGTGGATGGAAGATAGAACAGCCTTCCCCAAGCCCCGCCCATACACTACACTACCGCTTTTTACCCCCAGAAACAAACGCCAAAGACCCCCATTCTGCAAGTTTTTGGTTGCCGGATAGAACAAACTATTCTTTTTCAATTTCTTGTGGACGAATATTGTAGCTGGGGGGTTCTAAATATGGTGGTCGTGGAGTATCGCTCGATCCATTGGGACTTGGTGTAGGGATAGATCTATAGATCGGCTCCTACCCAATAACTTTCTATGCCCATGCTATCACCATGTGCTTCGATGCTAATGCTTAAAACTTCTAGGAGTCTAACCAACGGGGCGGAGGACCCGCTATGTATGTGCATGACTAGACGGTTCTAGATGATCACGCAGTGAGACTCTACGTGAGTTTTGAGGAGTAAAACACGCCAAGAGGCCCCAAATCTTATGTATGGCTCCGAGACCTAACTTACCATCCGAGTGATAAATCATGACCAACGCTAGAGATAAGTTTTCGCCAGAAAGAAAGGCTTGAATTTCATACATGTCGGTATAAAAACGAGAGAAAATATTGTAAGGAAAAAAGGCTTTAAAAGTACAACATGAAACCATAAGAAAAACAGAACCCTAATTATTCCCCCAAATCCCATTTTCATTTTTCTATGCACCCTCTGCAAAGGTAAGTTCCACTAAGGAGTCGTTGGCTCCGCATACCTAACTTCATCATCATCTCCTGCCCACACACCTGGAGTCCTCGGGTTTCCGTATCCTGCAGCTGGTGTTGGCGCGCCTTGGTAATACCCACCTCTGGGATCTCTGGCCGCGTATCCCGATGCACCTGGTGTCGGGGCAGCGCCATAAGGTGCAGGCGTAGGTGCGGTGTCAGCCCATCCACTACCGGAGTCTCTTGGCGTTGGCGCTGACATCGGACCTGGGGTGGGTGCTGATATCGCACTAGGTGTAGGTGCGGACATGGGATTCCCAGGGGTAGGTGCGGACATTTCCTTGGATGAATATGAAGGTGGAGCAAAATCCGGGGATGCAGCATTATAGGCTCCAGGTGTGCGGGCACTGTAAGACGACGTGGAAGGACCATCCATGAATGAGTCTGGGCGACCGGGTGTCTTAGAACCGGCATCCCAAGCGCTGCGTTCTGAGTCACCAATATATGGGGTACGGGAAGATGGGTTCCATCTATGTAGCATGTTAGGACGGCTCGGGTGCGCTCGGAGGTCAGAAGAAGTGGACTTACGCTGGAGTACGATTTCCGGCATATGAGGTGCGACTTCCGTCCATGCCCCAAGCAGGTGTTTTCCCTCCAGCCGTGTAGGCAGGCGTACGCCCACCGTCACCACCGGCCATCCAAGCCGGGGTTCTAGAGCCACCAGCCATCCAGGCCGGTGTGCGGCTACCACTGTGATCGACTTGAGGTGTACGGCTACCGCTTTGAGAGCCCCAGGATGGCTGGTCTCTAGGAGGACCGTAACCTCCGTGACCTCCACGGTCTCCTCCACCACGCCCTCCGCCATCACCACGACCGCCCGGACGAATAAATTCCTGATAACTACGGATTGTGCCAGTGATTGGACTAGGTATCTCGTCAGTTATAATCATCTCCGTGTGGCGAGGGGGAAATACTCTTTAAAGCCCAACTTCTCCTTGTCAATAGAAATCGTCTTATTCTTCGTGTGCAACTCTACTCTTGCCTGTAGGTCCGTAGCATCCTTTACAATTCCCATAAGCCCCTTCTGAGGCCCCATTCTAATAATAATGGTCTGACCAATGGTCCTGTCCCTCCCCCCAATTTTTGGCGGCGGGGCCATAGGTGCATTCTGAGGCCTTCCGTTCCTCTGGAGCGCTGGATTCATCTTCGTGAGATCTGGACCGGTCTGTGTAGCAACTCTACCACCCTTGGCGACGATCGTGGCAACGGCGTTTTGTCTGGTCACGAACACACCAGAGTTCTCGGCCTGTTCACGATTGTGAAGAAAGACGAAAGCTCGGAAAATGTGCAGAATTACACCGGTACGAGTTTCACCGGCAACCTCTTTCACAGTATCGCCAACGCGGATCTCGGAGTTGTTACGATCTGTTGCAACTCCGTTTCGACGATTGTTGATTTTGTTTGAAATCTGTGAGGGAACTATCATACGGCTGTTGCCGTTTTGATCAAGTACACGCAGAGAATCGCGGTCTACTTTTGTCACGCAGGCTACAGTAGCCATGCTGAAGATAAATCAGTATAAGTCCAGAATTTCGGAGGAGATGGGTAAGATCCTACTCAAGCTGTACTAAATCGTGTAAATCATATTTACCCGTTTGACTGACTCCACCTGCATCGCTCGCCTCTGTTAAATCCTTTGAGAAGACCGTAATTTCATTCATGTTCAGATCACTGAGAATAGTGACCTTGTCTTCAACCATTCTAACAACCATTCCTACTTCGTCTCTGTATTTACTTCCTCCGGTAACCTTGACGTGATCACCTTCTCTAAACTTCTTTCGTAGACCCTTGGAAGGAATCTCAATTCTTTTCCCCCTAAGATCCCCTTCGGTCACATCCATGGTGACGATATCATTCTGGACACTGGTAACCTTCCCAATGACACCCTGCTGTTCACCGTCATAAACTTCAACAGTGTCTCCAGGCTGATAACTGGACTGTGTGTTTCTCAATGATTGTGCAAGTGCGCCCAGATCCAAATTCTCGGTCCCGTCATCGCCAGTGGAGGATGCGAATTTTGACACCTCTTCAAGTGTTGGGTTAACGTTCTCGGTCTGGACCAAACTAAGCTTCACATCCTTAACGAGGAAACCATCTTCATATTCGTCGCCGAGATATGTAAAATTCTTCTTTCCGGCTGAGGTAGTTGTGCCTTGTTGAAGATACTTGGTATGATTCTTCCGAGCATCAATCTCGGAGAAAAGTCTTTGCGGCGGCCTTCCAACGAGAGAATTTCCCTTATTTCCGAAAGGATTTCGCTTCCTTTTTACGCCTGGTGGAAGGTTGTCGTTGTCATCTGGATTATTGCCGTAATCAAGTCTGGGAACCATACGAATCCGAACTTCGAGACCACTAGCAAGGACGTTCTCAACCTGCGCAAGATCACCTTGATACTTGCCGCGCTTGAAGCGAACCCAAGTTCCTGGGGTGATCTCGGCCTTCTTGACAACATACAACAGATCAGGCATTTCCTTGATTGGAACCAATAAGATCTTTGTCATCGGGTATGCGAATGAAACGCCTTTAAGAGCGTGCATCACATCTGCCTGTTTCCTTGCCTCAAGATAGATATATCCCGGCATAGTGTTCCCTCTCTCGAACGCGCTGGTGATCTGTAATGGCGTTTTCGTCATCTCGCTCTCCTCTTGCTTCTTTAAGATGGAGAATATGATCTCCCTCTCTTTCCCAGGCTTACACTTGACACCCCAGATGCTATTATCATGGACTGAGGGCAGTAGTAAACGCCTCGGTACCACCTGGGAATCTCCCAGATTACGCCTCGAGGATCTTCCATGTCGCTCCTTGAATCCGGCCGCAAGTGCTTCCATGTCCTCCGCCTTTTCCTGCTCGAATTTTCGATCAAGCTCACGATGACGATGGTCGTCGCGCGGGTACATTCTCAGATCATTTAGTTCAGGCTGGTCCCCATCATCAGCAATAAAGCCGTCCTCCGCGCGATCTTCGTCATCCTCATCAATATCGTCTTCATCCGCGTCGACTTCTGCTTCGACATCCAAGAACACATTTCGAGGGGCTTTGCGGTGGCGCTTTCTTCGAGGCTCCTATATTAACCATTTGATTAAGCGAATGGATACCACCAATTGCAATTCCCCTAGCCGCAACGTGAAGCTGGGTGATAGGGGTTTAACTTACGACCTCCTCGTCTTCTTCCTCGTCCTCATCATCGTCCTCGTCGTCATCGTCATCCTCTTCCTCGTCATCTTCCTCCTCTTCGTCGTCCACAGCTACGGGGACTGTGTTGACCTCATCATCAGGTTCCCCTTCGGCATCTTGGTCGCCGTGCGCAATTCCGGCGCTGAAATCCTGGTCGTCTTCGTCTGATTCGTCGAATTCTTGGTTATGTAGGTTCGATGCAGCCATGGTGTTTAATATTAGGAGGAGTGATAGAAGATAGACTGGGAGAATTTCGCGTATGGGCGGGGGGTAAGTTGTCCTTATATACTCACGGGCAAGGTGTGGAGCTTTTGGAGAACCGGAAAGGTCACGAAGAGCAAAACAAAGCTCGGAGCTGTGGCGTCTGCCTTGGCGCATGCTGGGCCCCAGGCAGGGTAATCATAAACTGGCGCTCGGCTTGCTCAACATGTAGCGACACCTAACCCTGGTTTTCATAATAATTGACTCATCAAAACTCCATACCTACATGTATGTACCAAACCTAACATTCAAAAATAAGTAGGAGGTACAAAAATTCTTAATTACACTCTAGCATTTTGTGGTCCCCCCCCCCCCCCCCCCACTGCAGCACATTATACATGTACATGTAAGTACATGTACATACATGTAGTACGTATATACACGAACGAATTATAGAATTTTGATAGGATTTAAATCCGCATGTTATACCGTGTATATGTGTATCCACCACCAGGTGTAGTATCCGAGTACTTTATCACTAGCAGAACCTTTGGCCCACAGAATGTGGTCATGCTTTCATGTATAATATAAATGTTCATGTTCAAACTCTTCTCTCAGAAAAAAAGAAAAAGAAATAGACAAAAAATTCCACTTCTTGAGGGGCCCGAGCTAGTCCACGACCCCCCAACACCAAGATTACCGCGGCCGAAACGGGGCGCTGACTCGAGGAGAGTAATGTCACTACTACACTACCGAAGCTACTGGTGTACTGCGGACGGAGAACATATTTGACCTTGACGCTCTCCCCTACCCGCTACCCTCCCTTCCACCCTCTCATTCAACTCAACCCATGCACTATGGGGCCTTTTTTTTTTTTTTTGCGCTGTAGGACCGCTCAGTATTGTAATGTGCCTCCTTGGCCACCCAGCCCTGCTGTGCACACCAAAAGAACGGATGTAGACAAAACACTTCTAAGAGATGTATATAAATTCTTCGAAATAGACTATTCCAGCCTCATATATATAGAACTTATCGGAGGTGCACATGAGGCAATTTCCTTAAATCTATGCGTCAAATAACCTAAGGTTCAGTTCATAGACGACAAGTACTACATAATTGAAAGCCTCAAGTATCCATGGCCATCAGATATTCCAGTAAACCCAAATGCCTTCTAACATGTAGTTGAAGAAAGTATCGTAAAGTACAAGACCACCTCCCAAAAAAAAAAAAAAAAATGAAAATGAAAATGAAAATGGAAAATGGAAAATGGAAAATGGAAAATGAAAATGAAAAATGAAAAGGAAGGAAAACAAAGAAGGAAAGAAAGAAAGGAAAAGAAAAAACGCCCTATTCATCTCTGAAAAAGAAAGAACCTGAATATACCTATACAAGTGTATTGTCCAATTTATCCCATCAAGTCAATTCATGTCCAACGCAAATCTGCGCATGACCTTTTCTCTACATTGGTACATCCTCCATCTCGACAAGATCATCGTCATCATCGTCATCAATCTGGATAACATCCCCAGCGCCTCCAGTTGCCTCCCCTCCTTCGCCAGGTTCTTTCTGACTATCAGGCTTATACTCGTCCTTCAATTGCCACTTCCCAACGTAAGGTCCGTTTCGATTGATTTGCGCAATTTCTTCGAGAACTGACTTGAGGTACTGTTCAGGCTGTACGAGCCTCTCGCGGAGGCCCTTCATTGACCAATATTCGTGTTCGCCAAAACAAGTAAAAAGTGCTGAGACAAGCTCGGCGTGTGGAATACGTGCAGCCTTATTGTCGGTGGGTTTTCGTACTTTCTCGGTTTGTTTCTACAGTAAAAATTAGAAGCAAATAACAGTAAAGCGCCATGTAGGAGAGACATACAATAAATGCGCTGAAACTCTTTGAACCAGCACCTGTAGTACCCGGCGCCAACAAATTTCCACCAATATGCTGATCGTCCAAAAACTTTGTCGTAACTCTCGGGGTATTTGCCTGATCGAATTTGGAAGCTTGAAAAGCCTTATACTCCGTATTCAACACCGGACTCATAGAGCACTCGTGCCTGACCGTTCCTGCTAATGCCGTCCGTTCTAGGTCCCATTAATAAAAATTAGCTCTAAGTGTTAGCAGGAAGCGCAGTAACGTACTCGGTATAGCCTTCCTTATATATGGCTGGAATCTCTGTGGCTTCCCCCAATTTCCTTTCCCGCCTCCACCACCACCGCCGCCACCTCTGTCACCACCGCCCTCCTTATTCCGATCCTGGTAGAGAAATCTCGGTGGCATTGGCGGCTCCCCTTCTTTTACTCCGCCGGTATTCATCTTACTCGAAAATCCCGGCATATCCTTTTCCGTAAACACAAACGTATTCGTAACTTCCATGTTCGTAATTCGGAGGTCATACTCTGTAGGCACATCTCCATTCACCTCATTTCGCTCCAGAGATAATTTAAGCTACTCGATGTTAGCGAGCCAACCCCACGACCTCCAAAGTCGACTTAAGACGAACCTGCTCGTTATTGTTCGGGTTGACCTTCACAACACCCAACACAATCTCCTCATCCTCATCGATATCATTCCAGCGCTCCGCTACAAAGCTTGGTAACTTAACGAGCCAAACGGCTTTACTACCCTCGACCATATCAAGATCCCCGGCATCCTCGTATAGTTCATCATCGGACTCAGGCTTTATGGATGGAATACTGGTCATATCGATATCTTGGTTCTCAGATTTAGGCTCGAGCTTTGTGCCTGGGTCGGGTTTGACGGTAGCCATTATCGCGGGTTATGGTGAGATCCTAAGTATTGTAAGGGTTGAAAGAGCGGGAGTAGTAGTTAGGCGTGAAGTGGTTGGTTTGAGTAGGATTCTTTGTCTGCGCGTTAGATGTTCATTGTATCCAGTGGCACTAATTCACGCGTGTAGCTTAGGCATTGTGTCACTGATACCATTTGTGCGCTAGGTAGGGGTACAGCTGGTACCATTCTCCCACCTATCAATGCGATCATTGATATGCTAATACAAGCTAGATGTATATGGAACCACCTAGTAGAGACTACCTCTAGAGTCACTCTCTAGATAGCTTGGCTCATGTCAAAGATACTGAGAAACGAGCGAATGAAATGTGTGGACCAAAATACTTGTATGCAGGTGGGATGTGCATGGGTCTAACACAGGACACAGGGACAGGTTGTAGTAGGGGGTCCTTGGCGGGTATTTTTAAGGATACATTTACATCTGTATCTACGAAAATCTATCCCGCGACCCAAGTTTGTAACAGTACCAAGCTACCCCCAGGCCTTCTTTGGGATCTTGGCCATAGATATAAGTAGCCATGGTCGTAGGAATTCAAGCTCTTCCGATTGAGGTGAGTTTGTTTCTCTGCCGGTGAATACCTGCAGTAATATCTATTATCACAAAATATAAGCCAATCATCCTAACCTACACATCCCGGACAGTTAATCCAACAGATAGCCACCAATCTTACTGCCATCGACGACCTCAATAACTTTTCTCGCACTTGTCGAACTTTCCATTCCGCAATCCAGCCCCAATTTGTCTACCGCGAGCTCTTCCTAAGCACCTACGACCGTCCAAATAATGAAAACTACAACTATAAGCACAACTACCGTTGGAGAAAGATTGTCCTCGAAAAATTCCTAAGATCCAATCACTATAGAGTCGAAAACTTGACGCAAAACCAGGTGAAGATCAAGGTAGTAGAAGATGTGCCACTTACAATAGAAATCCTTGAAGGAGTTCGAGAGCTTATCTTCGGTCTATCCACCCGTTCCCATATAATATCAACATACACTAACACACATCACAGAAGCAACCTCTAAGAACTTCGCGCAGCTCGAAAGCTTTGCCTCTAAATCCCGCAACCTCCTTATTTCTTCGGGTCTCAAAGCTCCCCGAACGCAATACTTCATGCTAGTGCAAATTCTACTCACTAATATTGCCCTTACCAAGCGCATAGTTTGGGCCGACACCAGTGAATACTGCAGCGCCTACACTCAGGCCCTCGCATACGGTGAGGCGGATAGGAAGCTCTTTGCAAATGATTACGCAGATGAAGATGATATAATTCAGATATGGGCTACTGCGAACCTTTTTTTATTACATCTAGGAAATCGCATTCCTGGATCGGAAAGCTTGGGGTTGAAATTGACATTTGATGGAATTTGCGGGGAAGGACGAGGGGCGCCGGATTTATGGAAGAATAACTTGTGGGTTGACGTAGAGCCGGAATTTCCTAGGTATTGGTTTGGATTCTATGGTAGGCCATATTGTAAAATTATAGTAATTTGGATTTGTAGCGGGGGTAGGCTGAGGCGTGCTTGTGAGCTGACCTGTGGGCGCAATAGTGTATCTCGATCCACCAGATCTTCAGGTGCTTCATACCTTCCGCCCCAATGGCGAGGTGAGGCTTCAGGAAGACCATTATGACGGCAAACTGACCGTAGCACCCTCTTCCTCTTTCTACATTTGACTATTCTAACTTTCACTTCCAACACAGATGATGGAGTTCCTTGCTAAAACACCCACAACCTTCGTCGGCACCGGCACCGACGCGGATGAACCCTTCACCATACAAGGCAGCATTAAGCCCCTCCCCACTTTTTACTCAATATTTAAATTCCGCCGTGTCTCTTTCACGACTAACTACAGCGCCGGCGATGGCTGGTCGTATGAGGGGTGCTTACTACCAAATTCACAAACCATCCTTGGAAGCTGGTCTACTTCGGATGAGGATATAGCTGATCCCATGCCCCCTCGGGGTCCGTTTATCATGTGGGCAGTAGGGAAAGAGTACTGGGAGTATGAGAAAGCACTTAGGGATGATGAGGGCAGGGTTGGAGAAGAAGACGATTTTTTGAACTTTTAGAAATTCGGAAGCGATCGATTGTCAGTTTAAATATATCTTGCTTTATGTCTGCAGGCTCATGAAGTCACACACAGACATACTAAAATTACACATGAAATGAATGGTAAAAAAATAAAGGAAAAAATAAAGCCCGACCCAAGTAGAAATAGAAGGGGAAAGGTTGAGATCATGAAATGAAAAGAAGGGCAAGGCAGGGCTTGCACCAGTCTTCTTCCTATCCTGGTCCCATCATCACTAACTCCAGGCTATCCCCTAGTTTTTTAACATGAAGAAACGAGACAAGCTTGAGTATATGAGAAAGATAAGATACACAGAATTGAATGAAGGTAGGTTTATGCTGTAAAAACTGGTGGAAAAAGTAGGGGAAAGGAGGGATTTTATATCGGTCCAACGGAGAAGGGCAAAAATGGTACAAGAAAAAAAGGAAACTTCACATTGGACCTTCGCGACATTTCTTTAAAAACTTTCTTTCACATACTATTCTCTCCCACGCACATGTTGCTTTGGTATGGATTACATAAGGAGTTGACCGAATTTTTGAGTTTTGAAAAAGAGGAATTCAAGAGAATTGAAGATAAGGAAAAGGGAAACGAAAAAAATAAACAGTTACAAACCCCCAACGCTTTTTTTTTGCGCCCAAAAACGCCTTATATAGTCAACTCTCCTTTTCCCTCTGTTTTTAAAAATTCGTATGTGTTATTAATGGAAGGGGTTAGGATAAACCCGATAGCTTTTCTTTTCACCGGAACGAGCAAGGCAAGCAAGCAAAAGAGCATGATGGTGATGGTATGGAGGTACATAGAGATTGGTTTGCATCACGCTTTGTTTGGCTTTTTCTTTTCTTCATGGCTCTCGCTTTATCTTGATTTTAGGGTTGATATCGACATCCTGTAATACGTATTAGTACCAAACATTAATAATACAGGAGGTGTTGAATGCATTACAAGAGAATTACTCACGTCCGCCTTCCTCTTCACTCCACCGACACCCACATCTGGAGTTCCCGCTCTACTACGTGGGGTGCCTGCGGCCTTATCTTTACTTGCCTCAGCATGGCAGCTGGCATGGAATATGCGACCCCCAACCTGCTTCGCGTCCATAAATACGAATTCCTCTGTTTCCTCGTGCCACTGATACTTGAGTTCTTCCTGACATATAGGGCACACAGTACGGGTAGGGGATGTTTCAGAAACCACTACATATTGTTCCTTCGGATCTTGCTCTGGCTTCCCGGTGGTTGAGAACTCGGCACTTTCAGGGCCACCGGGCGCGAGCGAAGAGCTGTCTTCGCCGTCGTCGCGCGATTTTATCCATTCCTGACAATTGGTTGGTCAGTGCGTTTCATAGACATAAATGAGACACTTTGTTGTGTGGATTATTACCTCTTCACCCAAATACCAACTTCTGTGCTGTCCACGCTTCATGGACTCAGCCATTCTCTGATGTACACGGAAGTGCCAGTCTAGATGAGAAGCTTTCTCTCTCTTTCCCTGTTCAGTATCCGCAAAGCGTCTTGCGCAAGAACTGCACTGATTCGGTAGAGCCTCGTTCAGCATTGGAAGAAGGTGTGGTCGTGGTCTTTAATAAGCAGCAAAAAATAAATCAATCACCAACTCTCATCAGCATACGTCTTTCTACGAGGATAATAATCTATAGAACTAGTCCTTCCACGAAAAATAAAGAAACAATGGAACGAAAAATCATGGGAGAGAGTGCACCGCGTAGCTATTACATTTTAAGGGACATAGATTTCATTTCTACGTCTATTGAGCGCCAGTCCAGCTTCCCCTGCCTTTGCGGGGGTGTCTGGGTCAATGGCGGGGGTATAAAATTGCCTCCAGGTGGGGCAAAAAGAAATGAAGGCAGCGCTGATGGCGGCGGAGGTGGTGGCGGCGGAGGTGGGACAGCACCTCCCATCATTCCTGGGAGTAAACCTGCTTTTTGAAGTGATGCTATCAATGATGCCGTATCTCCATTTAATGCCATCGAAAAGTTAGGAAGTTGCGGTAGTCCTTGAGCTACTGGCACTGGTGGTGGAGGTGGCGGTGGTGGGGGAAGATTCATGAATGGCTTCTGCGTCGCAGTCGCCAATAGGGCCGCAAGATCCTGGGACGAAAAGGGCAACTGAACCGGAGGTGGTGGTGGTGGTGGCGGCGGCGGCGGGGGTGGTGGTAGAGCCATCACGGGGGGAGGTGTTGGATTTGCCAACCTTTTAACCTGATCCCTGACCGATGCAAGTTGCGCTGGAGGGAGCTGTTGGGTCTTTAAGATATGCTGTAAGTCAAGTAATGCCTTCAATCTTTTCTGGATATCTTGGTTAAGTGGATCTTCTGCAAAACGTTTCTGCGATGTTTCAATTAGACCAGATATATCACTATGCAAACTGTCTACACTAGCAACAGGGGGTAGTTGCTGAGACATTCCCGCAGACGGTGTGAGATGGTGATTCGCCGGCGGCTGGGACACATGAGGATGAGAATTTATACTGGAATAATTTTGATGATTGTTGTTTCCACCCACCGTACTTCGACTATATGCTCCTAAGCCATTCTGACTATACTCATAAGCTTGTCCATTTGGATACTGTGGGGCAGCACCATTCATGACAGGGGGTGTACCCCGATATTGTGGTGGTGGGGGTGTCGGAACACCTGGACGATTATAACCTTTTGGATCCTGGGCCTGCTTCATCTGCTTCTGCTGAGTCTGAAGCGCCACTGTCCGGGCTTTGATTAAAGCATTGTCGATTTTCCGGGTGACTTCCGAAGAGAAAACCGGAGATGTAGATGATGAATTTGGCACTGGCTGCTTCCAAGTATGCAACATTTCCTCAAGTTTGCGTCTGATTTGGGGGTCCACCTTGGAATATGCGCCCATAAATGTAGAATACAGATCTCTCTGGAAGAATAGAGTATACGGGGTCCCAACGTTCTTTGCTATAGAATCCAACAGATACAGCGCCGGGAGCTTTTTGGCTGGGGCTGCCTATTTTGAGGGGAAGGAACGTTAGCAATCTAGCTGCGCATCGCATTTATTTACGCAAAAGATCATGCACAAGAGATATAATGATAGCTATGATCTTGAGTCATGATATTTGTAATTAAGCGAAGGCAAAGGAATGGAACAAGACGCGTCGCATATATCGAGGCAACAAGCCCGGGGGCGTCGACAGAGAGGGCGCACGATATAGACCAGACCGCCTTAACTTAAGGAAATTTGGGAGGCTTACTTTGTTGATGTGATCTTCGATGGACCGAGCGATTGCCTGCGCTGCGTGAATATTTTCCTTTGCGATGACCGTGAGATTGCTGATTTCATATCTCGAGTTGAAATGTAAATCCTCCAACGATGACTTATAATCTTCAGCTATCTCCTCGGAAGAGAGTTGTGTGGAAGACATCGGGGATAATGGCTGACAAAAAAAATGAAAGATTGTAAGGTGGAAAAGGTCGCGCGAAAGGCAGACAGGCAGTCAGGTAGCAGCGCACAACACACTCTCTCTTGAACTTCCTTTTCTCTCTTGATCTTCAAGTCTTTTGGTAGATGTCTCTAACTATTCACTTTCACAAAAAGGAAAAGCAATACGAGACTCCGGATCCGAATCAAAACACACGCGATTCACTTATGTTTGTCCCGCTGTTCTCCTTTGTTCCTTGTGGCCTTGAGTACTCCCCTCCTTTTCCGAAGTTTTCTTCTTTTTCTTTCCCTTGTAACCCCAGCCAAATCAAAACCAGTATCACCTTCTTGTATTAATCGCGAGAGGGAAGAAGAATGCTGATATCGCTTCACTCGCCGAGGCTGTAGTAACGGGTGTGTAGGTGGTGTTGAAGAGCTGACGTTGGATATCGTCGTCGTCGTCGTCGTCGTCGGGAAAGATGAGGAGAGAGGTTGGGACGTGAGCGCTGGCCTCCGCCCAAGGGTTGAAACGGTGATACAAGGTTGTGATTGGTTGCGGTGAGTCAAGGGGAGAAAAAAAGCCTTGCTTGCAATCTGATAAGATTGTCCCAAGTCCTCGGACACGGCCACTGAATTATTATGTAACCTATGTAGGTACTTACTGAACGCCAGCCGAAGCCCCCGGGTTTTGTTGATTTTCAGGATTTCCCTTAACTACATGTATGTACTTACTCTTCTTTCTCTACAATTTTTTTTTTTTGAAGCGACTACACGCACGTATCTCCGGGTCATTTATGTGACGTTGAAGGGTCTAGAAGCAGCCACCTCGGCTAACGAGGAATGCCGGTTGTCACGACTAGCTGTGAGACATCATTTTACGTCTAAATCTTACCGCCCAAATCTCCACAGGGTGATCTGTGACTACATGTATTGCTCTATCAAAAGCCTTCATTTAATGACATTCAACAGCCCGGTACGTCCTAAAACATGAAGAGTGAGTCGGGAGTGCGTGGCGGTTGTGTTTTGCGCCAGACCTTAGAGATTGAACTTGTATGTACTGGGGAGAACTCTTATCAAGAACGGGATCACTCTACTTCTTGTGTAATATGTCTTTAGTGAAGCTTTTCATCTAATTTTTCCCCCCTGAAGCCTTGAAATGGGGGGGAGCTGTAGATAAATTTATCCACTTTTTATTTTTTCCAAAAATAAAAGCGGTCGGGTTGCGGGTTCAAGCTCTTGGTGGGGCCGAGTGACGTATCATGATCCAACTGCCGCTATACAATATTACACAAGTAGGCTAGTATTTTATTCCACATATAACTCTAGTCTACTACAGATCCCTCCCTAGTTTGTCTATTCTTTTAGACTGGTATTTATTCTCCCTGACCACCACCACCTTGCCTGGCGCCCTTAGCACCACATATCTCATCAACACGAAGCAGGAGGCAAGCAGACTATCATAAAATTATTAGCCAAGAATTCCTCAAGACTTCTCAAAAACGCAATTAGAAACTCACTTCAATAGCAGTCTTGATACTCTGCAATTTAACAGCCTCGGGTTCCCAAACACCATACTCCTTCATATCTACGATTTTACCAGCCTCGCCGTCGATCCCAAAAGTATACTCCTTCTGTGCGTGTTTTGCCCTTAGCTGAGTAAGTACCCTAATTGGAGATGCACCACAGTTCTGAACGAGAGTTCTTGGGATGACTTCCATTGCTTCAGCAACGCTACGGTAGGGCCACTGCTCAACACCCTCCACCGACTTCCCAAGCTCAGCGAGACGGACAGAGACGGCCATTTCAGTGGCACCTCCGCCGGGAGAGAGACGAGGATGGAAAAAGACGTTGCGGGCAACAGACATGGCATCTTGAAGATTGCGCTCAATCTCGTTGAGGATATCCTTTGAGGGACCGCGGAGAAGGATAGTGCATGCTTTGGGATCAGCACATTTGGTAATGAAAGTGAAATATCTAGTAATATTAGATAGAGGGCACTAGTAAGGGAATGCGAATTAAATTCATACTCATCACCAATTTTCTCAATCTCGAAGAGACCACAGCCAGTTCCAACATCCGACTCTGCGATATCATCGACACGATTGACAATAGTGGCGCCAGTCGCACGAGCGATACGATTGTTGTCAGTCTTTCGGACACGACGAAGAGCAGTAACGTTACCCTTGAGAAGGTAGTGCTGAGCGAGATCTTTGAAATTATTAGTTCATCTAAAATTATATCTTTCCTAACAAGGAGTATTGAGATACATACCAGAGACACCCTTCTCGGTAATGACCAGATCTGGTTTGACGGCTAAAATATGATCACACATAGCCTTGACCTGCTGTTCCTCGATCTCTAAGATTTTGCTCCAATCCTCCTCCTTTGAGATCTCGATATTCGTTTGTGACTCCCCTTTCTTATATTCCAGAGGGCAATCCAACAATACAACTCTGGGGTTCTCGATTCTTCTCCTCATCTTTGGGTGGGTGATATCTTTGTTGACCATGACACCATCAAGCACCCTTGAATCCTCGATTTCTCCACCCGGAACCTTCTCAACCTTGGCATAACGTTTAATATCTACCTCGGTCTTCTCTCCAACTTGTTTTGCCACAGTACGAACCGCCTGGAGGGCAAGGCCGCACATCAATTTTGACCACCTAGAAACAAATTTTGTGCCGATTGAAGATGAAATTAACTGGTACATTGCCTCGTCGTCAGAGGTGTCGATAGGAATTGAGACCTCCTCGATGATCTGGAGAGCATCGGCGAGGGCACGCTTGAATGCGGAGATGATGACAACCGGGTGGATATTGCGTTGAAGATGAGGAAGGGCCTGGGCGAGAATCTCACCAGCAAGGATGATAACAGTTGTGGTCCCATCACCGACCTCTTCATCCTGTAGTATCGGGATAGTGGAGTCAATATTTGCTTAAAAGCTAGATAAGGGGGATAGCTCCATTGACAGAACCATCACGAATGCCATGAAAATCATCACTAGTAATAACTAACTTGTGTCCTGCTCAACTCGATCATGCTCTTGGCAGCCGGATGCGCAACCTCAATTTCTCTCAGGATAGCATGTCCATCGTTTGTCAACACAATCCCGCCCATTGGATCCAACAGCATCTTTAACATAGCCTTAGGGCCCAAACACGACCGAATGATATCGGCAACGGTTTTAGCAGCCGTAATGTTTGAAATTTGGGCCTTGCGTCCTATTTGCGAAGACCTATCAGTAATTACCATTTCACTGATAGCTAATATACGGTGGTGTTGAGATTAACAAACCAGTTTGACGCTCTCCCGCCCCGGTGTTCACCACCATCACTGGTGCCTGCATCATTAAATTATTTAGGCTACTTTAGCTGAAACTGGGAGATTTTTGATTAGGAAAACGGAAATTCGTGTAGGTGAGAGAAAGGCGGTTGTGGAAGGGTTGATGGTGGGGGGATTAAGGTCGCGGGGGGATGCGGGGGATGAATAATTTGGATGGTTTTTCCGTATTGTTGGTTGCCGCCAAGGCCATGTGAGTAGGGTCCAAAGGGGCCACGGGATTTCCTCAGAGCTCTCTTAAAGCTTCAACCTCACCTACCTCTGTCGTTCATTATTAACCCCACAATGGTGTCTTGGTCCACGATCCAGACGCTCCTTGTCCTCTTTGGGCCTATTTTGTATACCAGAGGCAAGGCTTTCTACCAATCAACCAAATCTCGTGGTCCTCCTCAACCACTACCCAAAGCTTCAAGGCGTCTTCTTAACGTCCTTTTCGTTACCGCCCTCATTGCTCTCGCCTCAACGTTTGAATACTTCACTCCTGAAAATATCTTCACATTAACAGACTCTCGCCTTCTACAAACTCCGACAGACGTCTTGTTCAATCGTGTGTCTCACATCCGCGAACTTACTCCATCAGATGAAATTCTCCGCCGGCGCCTAAGCAGTAAGGAGGGTCGGCTCCTCTACGCAACATATGGACCTGGCCCGCTCTCCGAATGCACCTGGTGTAAAGTCGATGATCCGAATACGTTCTTTTTTTACGCACTTCCAATGATGGCGCTACCACATCTTCTCCATATTGCTGTCATTGGAATTGTGACATCATCATTCTTTTCTCGTCATGGTGTCATCTGGAGGACTCAAGCCACTATAGCCGGTGTTGCATTATTTCTGGCTGAAATCTACATGGCCGGCATTTCAACCTCTGCTCATACGCTCAACACTATAGCCAAAACCCAGCAGGAAACCAAATGGACACATTGGAGTCTGTTTTTATACCGAGGCGTTGCCATGGCTGCCTTGGATGGAATCCTTGGTTACTTCGTTTTCTTGTCTGGAACAGGCCGCTGGACTCTTGGTCTCGAAGGTGTCCGTATAGAAGAAAGACTTGAAACCCTTACAAAATCGATCGAAATTGTGGCGTCTAGACTTCATGCAGATAACCTATTGCGCCAGACCATACTGCGCAATAAAACCCTTCGAGAAAGAATGGTTGATCATTGGACAAACGAAGAGAACGTTGCGCGTGAAATTATGGAGGATGATGAAGTCCAGCAGAGTAGGATAAACTTTGCTACGAATAGATCCAATTTGGATAAACTTGAGGAGGAAGCGGGAAAAAAGAGTGAGGGGGTGGTGGATAGGATCAGTGCATGGAGGGGTTTTCCAGCTGGAAAGGCTTCTTAAGTTTGGGGGATTGCACCATGTACGCCGATTTATTAAACTTTTAATGGGAGCAAGGCATTTTTGGACAGACATTTTAGATCCCCAGATTATCACTCGTGCCTGAAAAATAGGACTAGCCCACTTCGGAATGCTTGGCATATAAATTCTGGTTCTATGTACTACATGTACATATTCTCCTCTGTTTCCTATGTCCTGAGATAAAATTGCGTAGCTGGTACGAAAGTATATGGCCCGAGGAACGGGACGACCGAATTTCTAAGTTTGCTTTTCTGCGGAGGGAATGTCAGGGTTTCTTTTCAGTTATTGCTTCATGTTTATATCTTTCCTTTGTTTACTTTCTTTCGGCGGTAAGGTAGGGGAGGGGTGTTCACGCCATAGCCTAGGCTCCATGCGATATTCTTGTACCCAGAAATAAATGAAACACTGATAAAAAAAAAAAAAAAAAAGGTACTACATGTACATACTCTAATAATAGTGAACCTCATCACAAAAGATAAAGTGCAATAATTTGCAAAGCACTGTAGTTGATCCGACCCATAAAGCGACCAAGAGTATCGAAAACCCACACCGCAAGCCAGCACCTGCAATAATGCACTCAACATCTACTATTATCCTCAATAGATGGTGACTCCCACTGCGTGATGGCATGGAGCTACTTCTGATGGGACTAGAACGTTGAGTCTGGCATTTTTTTGGCCATAAGTACATACATGTACCTACCTACAGTAATTGTACTTCATACTCCATTCATATAATGTACATGTAGTAATCGTGGTTATTCCCAACAAACTTCGTTATTCGAATATCTATATCATTTCTTATTACAGAACAGCTATATTTATCAAAAATAGAGGAGATCATAAAGGGCCACCGAGTGTTCTAAACCATAATGGTCGCTCAGTTTTCCGAGCCCTTCCGAATGCCATGCACATACTGCTTAAGGTATGTACTATGTACTTACTCAGGATTATCCATCTACAAAGTTCATAAAGTACATGTAGAGAAGAACCAGCTTCACTAGAAGTCAAGCGTACAAGGGTAGAAGTCCGTTCAGGTTTCATATCAAGCAATTGAAACTATATTTTCGACACGTGTAAGTTCGACTCAATCACCATCGGCTCACTCGGTCATTGACATCACGAGTAGGTATTCTCCCTCATTTGGCGATCAGATGATCCTTGGTGCGCGGGTTAGGG